GCTTATTTTATGAGCTGTTAACCAAAATCAAAGCACTTGAAAAACATTTTTATATCTCCCAATTGTACGTCAGCGGTACTTGGAATATGTACCGCACTCTATTTGCATCTCCCATTCCCGTTGGCTCTTAGCAGACTTTTTGCTCCATGTGCTGCTTTGCTCTCATCAAGCAATGACTGCTTCATTACATGATGTTGACTGAGCTGGGATTCAACCCTAGAACTGCTCTGGAAGTCGATGGCTTTGGAGCAGAGCTCCATATGGGTGGAGATGATACACTTCCAGTTATCGGATTGATACATTAAATTATGAGGACAAGTCGCATAAACTTGGTCTCTATTCCATTGAGTTTAGAAGGTTGAGGGGTGATCTGATTGAGGTTTTTAAAATAATAAGGGGATTCAATAGGGTAGCTACAGAGAAACTATTTCCTCTGGTGGTGGAATGCAGAACAAAGGGGTATCATCTTAAAGTTAGAGCTAGGCCATTTAGGAGTGAAATTAGGAGGCAGTTTTTCACCCAAAGGGTGGTGGAAACTCTCTCTCCAAAAAGCCGTGGATGCTGGATCCATTCACATTTTCAAGAATGGCGGAATAGTCTGGAGGGGCTGATTAGCCTCCTCCTGTTTCTATGTTTCTATTATACAGCTTGGATTTGTTATTAAGGAAAAAACACAAATTAGATGCCATTAAAATTTGTAGGTGGTTATTAAAAAATAAAGTATTGGTGCCGATGTTGGGGTAACATGAATTTTGTGCAGAAATGATCTTATCCATTCAGGTTTTCATTTAATTCCGTTAGACTTGTAATATGGAAAAGCTTTTGCTGAAGGACCCAGGCGGTTAAGACCTTACATTTTATACACTGTGACTAAAGAGATAGGAAATGCTAATTACTCAGAAGGCTATTAGTCTAACAACTTGTTTGCATAATTTTAATCAAAAGAAACGTTAACTTTCATCATATTTACTTTCCCATTAAGTATAGTGCCTTGAAGACTGGACAAGAGAATGAAAGCTTTTTAAGCATATGTGACTAATTTATTGTGGTCTGAATAGGCGATTTGTTCATTATCCATGCAGTGTTAAATTCTATTACTTCCTGTCGATAAAGCTCACCCAAGATGTTTGAGTTCTTCATAATAAGATATTTTACAAGTTGTAACATTTTCAAATACCTGTGGCTACAATTTCATTTGTGAGTTAATTCTGCAAATCTTGACCTCATAACTAACATTTTTGCTCTCACTGTACAATAGTGCTTCGGGGAATTTTAGCATTATACAGTATTACAGCATTCAGATGGCTTGTTGGGTCTCCCTGCTGCACAGAATTATAGGATGTAATTATTTCTTCCTGATAGCTCTATAGCACAGCTGGCAGATCTTCTGTCATGTCTCTTTTTATACGACTGATTCAAAGCACAATGGACAATTGATCGTGCGATTTATTTCAGCATCATCAACTAGTTGGAAATGATATTGCTATATAACTCAATAAGACTATTACTGTCAATATGTAAGATCTACAAGTAAACCTTTGGATTCGTGTGTTTTGGATGTGATTTGCATATTCGATTTTAGCCACGAATAAAATTCTTCACTTGAACTCCCTTTGCAGTACTGGAGATGACCAGTGCAATCAAATTTGCCAGTTTTGCTAATCATTTACTCTAGATTTTTTTTTTAAAAAGTCATCCAATCTATTGCTGTTTGTGGGACATTACTATAGTCAAATTTGCTGCTGCGTTCGTCTGAAAAATACAATCACTGCACTTTACAGTAAATCCTGTAAAGCATTTGGAGATATCCTTCTGACAAGGTGCTATTTCAAATACAAGGATTGTTATCTTATAATACAATTTACATTTATATAGTGCCTTTCACACGGGAAGGACGTCTCAAAGCGCTTTACACAGATGACTGGACATTCAAGTCCAGAATGGAGTGGGTGCACATTTACTGTACATTTACGAGGTCAGAGTAAAAGGAGCTATATTCCACATCTGGCTGTGCAACACATGCTTGACGCTGATAGATCGTCCATTGCTCAACATTGACATCCCTCACCTCACTAATCAACAAAAACAACAAACTTACATGTGTATAGCGCCATTCACGTCAGGGAGACTTCCCAAGGCGCTGGACAATCAGTGTTTCGGACCCGAGCTGGGGGTTGGGATCGGGGAGGGTGGAGGGTGGGGGGGGGGAATGAGGAGGGTGACCGAAGGCACGGTCGAAGAGGAGGGTCTTGAGACTAATCCTCAAATTAGTAACAGAAGGACAAAACAAGGTCACTCAAGCTCAGGAAAGGGAAGGTAACCAGATGGTCCAGATGTAAAAACTTACTTATTTGATGGTCAACTTTCCTTCCTCTCCGTCTCACTGCTCAGTGGCTGAGACAGTCTTTGTGACATGCTCCGAGGCATTATCCGACGTGAAGCATGCTAACATAAAAGCAAATTGTTGCATTTACACAGAATGCAACATGTGGCATAGACAACCATAGGAGGGGATGAAGGCAGATTGTGCCAGCGAACCGAAGAAGGCATTAATACAGTATGAGATTGCAGAGTAAGGAGAGATAGAATAGTATAGGATGCTCCAGGTCTTTTCTAATCCTGTACATTCCTGGGACATTTTAAGACCAAAGATAATAATGTAAATCTGTCAAATACAACACTGATATAACTAAAGCTCACAATTCTTTTTTAATTTATGCTCAAAGTTAATGCTTTTAAGTTATGGAGTGACTTCTCTTCAGATAATGGTTTGGGACTCAGAGGAATTAAATATATTGCTGTAATGCAAATTAGGATTCTTTACGAAATAGTACTTAAAAAAGCATTAAGTAATCTGCTGTTATGGAAAAAAATGTACAAAGAAAATTCGCAAGTTCTTTTAATACTTTTGAATTATAGTGTAGACAGTTTACACTACAGGAGTATGGATATTAGGCTTGTTATGTTTGCATTGGTGTTTACAAATTTTAGATTACAAATCTGAATTCTAGCATTCCCCACTTCCATTTTGTAACCAGGAGAACCAAGAGTGCAGTTGGAGGAAAATGTGGTGGAAGACAGGGATCTTGAGTTTAGACAGCAAAGGTTTATTTAGCTCTAACTGTCTTGATGTCTACTCTAAAGCCTCTTTTTGACAAATCTGCTCCATCCAGCGGATGGATGATAAAATTGACAATGATGTATAGGGGTTGAGAGACCATTATATAATTAGATCTTTAAATAATTAAACTGTACAAACTCCTTTAAAGTGGAGTTACAATCCACGGCTGTTTGTGAGACACTGCTGTGCGCAATTGGCTGCTGCACTTTACCAACAAAATGTACAGTCACTGCACTTGACAATTATTTTTAATTTATGCTCAAAGTTAATGCTTTTAAATTATTAAGTGACTTCTCTCTAAATAATGGATTGGGTTTTAGAGGAATTAAATATATAGCTGTATTGCAAATTGTGATTCTTTACAAATTAGTATTTTTGAATTATAATGTAGAAGGTTTACAATACATGAGTATGGATATTAGGCTCATTATGTTTGCACTTGTGTTTTATAAATTTAGATTACAAATTTGAAACCTAGCATTTCCCAGTTGCATTTTGTAACCTGTGAAGCACTTTGCGATGTCTCGAAGACGTGATAAGGCGAAATATCAAACGCAAGGATTATTATTACAAGGTAGCAAGGCAAAAACATGTAAGTTTTTACCAGATAGTTCAGCCGATCAGATTTGATCCCAACAGTACTTTTCTAGTAAAATGAAAATCTAATCAACAATTACTATATGAAAAACGCAACAACAAAAACATTTTAATACAATATAAACTATTTATTTAGTGGCATCTAAACTTAATGCAATGAATGAAAGTGCTTTTATGCACAGATTTGAGGCAGTTGGAGAAATCTGAATACGATTTAATCTTAAATACCTGTGAAACCTTATTACATGTACTGAGCCAATTTGCTACATTCACCTGGTACTGCATTCAAAACAATAATTTCCTGATGGGTTTTGTAAGTTAAAGTAGGGTAAGCTCTCCTTGGATTATACAATGAATCCTATGGTAGATTTTCTCAATTCAGACTGGATTTGGAACAAATTTTTTTATCAATAGGATCACTTTCTCCAATCTTCTTGAGAGATTTTTTTTACCAACATATTATAGTCTTACATATTCGCTTTCAGCTAATTGTCACTTTCAGCAGTCTGTACGAATAGGGTAATTATGTGCAAATGCAGATTTTCTTCTGTGCACTTTGCCAATTTATCCATGCGAGTGTTATCAAAGCATTCACTACTCATTCACAACTTATAAGTCTCCTTGTTAGATCACCATTTTTTGGTTAAAAAAAACATGCCGTATACAAAAGGGTTAGCAGGATCTGAAGTATATGTTTAAAGCAATGCTATTAGCATGAAGCAAAACACTGAACTTCAGTTGTTATTGTTAACAAACTATAGAGTCAAAATTCCGATAAATAAGAACTGAAAGTGTTAATGATTCTTCAGATTTTTTAGGGGCTGCACCAGTTGTGCGATGTGCTTAAGCATGATGATGGATTTCCACGTGTCAAGATACCTGGTTGGCCAAAAAAGACCCCACAAATATTTGAGAGGCTGGATTCACCATCCTTATGTTGCACCTTGTCACTAAATCTCTCCCACCCATGTCAATCTCATGGGCATTTTACTCTCCTAATAATAATTCAATAAATATTTGGCTGGAATTTCTCTCCTATGTATGTGCAAAACAATTTCACTAAGGCAACTCTGCTAGTTTTGTAACACTTAAGACAAAAGTATGATTTCTTAGAAATAAAATATTACTAAGGACTGACTTTGTGAATATAATGCTTTCAGATTTTTTTAAAAAAAATTCAAGGAAGACATGTCCATACATGTTCTATTGTATAAATACAAATTTACAAAAGTTTAATGTTGCAAATACCCAAGACATCTAATTATCAGGCTAAAATCATTGGTTTAACTTTTAAAAAATAGTAAATTCAAATTTTATTCACAGCAACTATTTGTGTTCACAGAAATGAGAACAGGCCAAAATACAGAAATACCAGTTGTACCTACATTTTCAACAGTTATCATAAAAATGTTTATATTGTAACACAACAATTGAAGGTTGTATTTATATTCAGGTAAATTACACAGTATATATATATTCTACCATTCACAATTTAAACTCTGCAAGTAATGATTTAGATTGGAAGAATCATTTTCGGGATCTATAAACCAGTTCCGAATTACACACAAAAACTCAAATGTAAAAAAGAGTTTACTGAAACATATACACAGGTTATATGTTACCATCTACTCCTAACATTGAAGCATTTGGCATTTTAACCTGCATGTTTAAAATTCACCGGACTTTTCTCTCCCCAATATTCCTAGGAAAAATCAAGGAGTCAAAAATCTTGGGTCAACTGAACCATCTAAGATTACTCCTTGCATTTCAAAGATTGATGGCTTTTCCTTCAGACGTACTGGATTTTAATGTTAACTCTGCCCTTCTGCATGTTATCATCATATCCTACTTGTGCATCATACAAGAAACTAATGTTTTAATTAAACTCATCAAAGTACAATAGGTGATTTTTGATCAAATGTACTGTCATTTGTCAGCAAAATCATGACTTCTTTCTTTCTTCAGCAAAGCACATTGCGTGGAAATATAAAAATACAATATACTTGTTTTCCTGCAGCTTGTGGACAGATACGGAAATGAATGACGGAGAAGCTATTAAGTGTGGAGTGTGTAAAATAGTCATGTTTTACCACAGTTTAACACCAATCATCTACACTTAAATCTGTCCATAACTTCAGAAGTTGACGAAACATGTTGATATTACAATTGTATAAAAAGGCATGTAGTTGAATCTTGCTAAATGAATGTACTGGCTTGTGAGGTTCTGCTTACATTAAGTTCTCTGAATGACACAAGATGGGCTTGGTACATTGGAACTTTATTCCTCACACAATCCTTTGGCCAGAGTTCACTGAATATCTATATCGCTGTACAAATTAGCATTCTGTTTTTTAAAATTAACTGCACTCACATTTAAATTTCATACCGAGCTGCAGTAAATTTCTCTGGCATTACATCATCTTTTGGCAATGAGGTTAGACAGGCTGCTTCAAATGTGTTTGTTAACACTGGGATCTGGCCTGACAGCTATGAAATGAAACTTTTAAATGTCACATCTTTTATTGGTACATATTAAAAATATGATTTAAGTCCTAGTTTGTGGCTCGAGGTGGACAAAATTTTAAAAATTGCTGTAAACCGGTGACTTCTGAACATAAGTGAGCTCAAATCTCCAGCCCATTTCTTGCAAGGTTTGAGCAGCATCAGCTGAAGAGTTAAGTGTCAACTGCATTACCTCAAATATATAGAACCTTTTCCTCCCTTTAAGTTACAGCATTACTCTAAATGACTGCGAACTTATGGCTGTGAATCCACCTTTGACCATGAATAATATGAACCTGGGACACATCTTCCACAATAAGCATTATCCACAAGTTCTTTGCATTTCCCTCCAAAAGAGGTAAATTAACACATCTAGACGAACAGTCATTTCTGGTTCCAACGCAGCCTCAGAATACACAGCTTGGCTCTCCACAGTTCTCAGCTGATAGTGTGGCAGTTTGAGAACCAGCTTTACAAAGGCCATGTTTGCGGTTTCACGATGCTGCACATTTCCTTAGTCTGATTTGTCCTTCCTCTTCCCACGAAAAGGTACTTTACTTGTTACGGTAGAGCCGATAGCAGACACCCCGCCTGCTACTGCAGACACTCCGCCCTTGACCAGCCCCACGCCCAGTGATGGCACAGCAGTCACAGCCGTTTTGGTGACCTCGTAACTTTTGCCTCCAAGCCAGGCCACACCACCCACGGTAGCCCCGACAGCTCCTTTGGTCACACTGTAGACTCCACCAGTGACTCGCGAAAACATACTAGGTTGTGGCATTGGATGATCTTTTGCAGAATCTAAAAAATAGTTAGGAAAAGCAAAATCATTAATGGTTGGGGTGTTTTTTTTACCATTTTCCAAGCTTCATCTAAAATGCAAGAGGTATGTGATGGTAAATTTGAGATTCCAAAGTAAACTTTTACTTAGAACTAGAATAGAGAGCAATAGTTTTGATTATTAGTTGGAATGTCTCTTAGTATGTTTATTTAAAGGATTATAAGATTTTTCTTAAAACACCCAAGCGAAGTATAGTTAGATCGTGGACATCTCAAATGGGGTGCCCTCTGGTAGTAGCCTTTGCTCAACATGGTAAAATATTATATTAAAATAGTGTATTCTGTAACTTATCCTGCCTTCTAAATGTTGTAAATGCTTTTGCAAAGTGGCTGTAGTTACAAACCTATAAATTTCTACAAATCAGAGTGGCTGGAGTGGGGGAAAAAAATCTCAACAAAGCATTAGCAGAAAATATCAAATTGTACAGCTATGCCAAGGAAGTCATGATTTGTGTGCACGAGCTATCATGATTCATTTTCTCAGGGTGCAGAATTAAATGCAGGTTGCAATATGCTGCTATCATTGCAAGTTGACATTTTCAATGTTATGGGAAAATGAAATGCGCAAGAAACTAAACTTAGATTCCACTTTAGATTTAATCATATTTAATACAAACATTATTACAAAATCTTGGGCTTCTGTGAAAGCATGGATATGATTAAGAATATGGTGCTGGCTGTAAGATGCAAAGCAATTATAGGACTCGCTGAAGTCAAAATCACTGCTCCTAATTGGGTTTCTTTGCATACCAAATGCAATATGTAGCGACAGTGTATTTTAGCAAAACAACATGAGGCAATGACAGCTAACTGCAGCTGAATTTGACTATTCTTAGGTTTATATGAAATCCCAATTAAAATTGAATGAAAGCAAAACTGTGCGCTACAAAACATCTAATATAATTACAGCACAATTGTTCATCAAAACAGCCATTTGTTCAGCTTCACCATTCCTACAAACACCTTTAGATAAATGTAAACTGCCTGGCTGATCACAATGAATCCACACATATTGTTTGGGTGAGATGTTAAACTGAGATCCAGTCTGCCGGTTTAGGTATGCTTTCAGATTCTGTGGCACTACCATAAAACTTATACAAGTCGTATCAGTGTGGAACACAACTTTTAATACGTCTCAAACAAAGTCTGATTTGCAGGGAAACTGTATAAATTGTAGAAAATCTGATTTAATCAATAATCTACACTGCGCATGGGTAATTTAACGCAGTGCACATGCAATAATTCAGCACTGAAGACAGTAAGTGCCATGTGGTGAATGGGACTCGGGTGAATGTACAACTTAGGTGATGATACGATTTAAAAAGAGAAGACTTATGCAAGTTTTACTCCATTTTGAACAGCCCAGAGTTCTCCTAGTACAGTCACTCTAATACTCGTATTATGGGTAATATTTGTTCTCATTTTCTGATATTTAAGTTCATTTGCGTGAGAGACAAAAAATTAAATCCAGAGTGCCATTTTTATTCCACTCTTGGCTTTTGTATTTCCAGCCTCTCCATCCATTCTGCAGTTACATTTGTTTCATTCTCTCAATGTCTTTCAAATGTTAATCTTCTCAAACCATGAAAAGGATACTTAGGAACTTTAAAAAGGTGTCTGTCCAGTAGCTTAATAATACTTTCATTTGATACGGTGCCTCGTACATTAGGAGGACATCAGAAAGCACTACACAAGATATATTGCAAGCTCCATTGACTGTGTCTTGCAAGTAAACTAAAGGCCTCCTTCTATGCAAAGAATTTCCACATACCATTTTCTATCTTTTGTCTTCATTGTTTATCTACATATTCAGCTTTTTTTTTTAATCTTTATGAGCTGTGGACTCCAAGGCATTGAACACATTAATTGTAGTTAAAAAGAAATGTTGTTTAATGTTAAGTGCTTGTCAACCTTTAATTTTGCAAATACAATTATAATGGGATAATAGTGAAAGGAATATTGTAAGAAACTGCCTAAATAAATTTATCAACTAAAAAAGCTAGAAATTATTTTAGACTATTTTAATAGAATTTTCCCTAACTGATGTTGAAGTAATAATACAGATATTAATAGGGGAAAATACTTTTTTTTTAAAAAAACTGTTTAATCCCAAAATACAGGAAATGTAAACTAAAAACAAATGTATTAATAATATAGTTCATGGATTTTTTTCCCCTTCCAAAGCAAAGCTGAGCCCTTTTTTATTTGAGCACAATCCTATTATGTGGGTGGCTGGTCAAGTCTAGAGGGAAACCAATTCATAATTTAAAATCACAGTAAAAGAAGTGTTCTGTAGAGATTTAAATTCGCAAATGGAATGTCATGCAGCTACCTTTGTGCGTCACATGAAATATTTATCAAGAAAGTCCGATCTACATCGCTTGTATGGGGGATTATGTCTAGTCATGTGCAATTTCTAGAATATAAATTGTAGGAATGAATATTGTACATCATGTTCATTGCATAGTTTTTGCGCATTCAGGCATTTGTTCCAAATTGCGTACTAGTTGTGTGATTTGCAGGCCGATCGCTCAAAAGAGCAGAAGTTTCTGCTGAATCAGCCACCTTCAAACAGTAATTCTGATCACTGATCGGCACAAGCACTCAGGGCTGGGAGATTTTATATAGGATTATTCCACGTCAAATCAAGCATCAATTAATTATTTCTACATTCCTATCTCAGATAAAATAGCTTCCTCAGACAAAATTAAGCAAATTCTGATGGGTGGAAAGATCAAATCTTGGCAAGTCCATTTATTCCAAAAAATTTTAAACACTTGTTAATCTCCAGTTTAAAAATAGATTACGATATCTCCAATACATGGTTGTCTGTTATCAAACAGTTTCATTATCAGAAGAGGAGGTTTAAAAATGTAATAACTCACTTTAGAAACTGAACTACCTCCAACATTTAGGTTCTAGTGTTGGCGATAGATTTAAATACACAATCCTGAATGAACAACAAACCACCCCACTCACTCTTGGTGGCAGAATTATACACTGTCAGGTTATGGCAAAGAGCTGCTGAGATAAATAATAGTGAGCTTATGTATTCACAGTTTCAGTGAATTCATAAGCCACTAAAGTGAAAACAGAGTTAGCCATACTTTCAGACCCTCACTTTTCATCATTGACAATTTTGTGTATACCAGATAGTGATCATCGTTACTGATATTGCTCGCTGCTTTCCAATTATTCTTGATATAACCAATTTTGAGCCAACCCTTTTCAATCTAATAAAGCAATCTCAACTACAATTATGTAGCGCTGGTTGGCAAAGGCATTCCTAAAGTCCAAACATTCACTGACTTATCCTTATCCACCAGATCTGTTTCTCCTCGTAAAATAAAATTAGTACAGAATAGCTGAAGGCAGCAGCAACATGACCAGAATGTATTTAGAGTGTGTCGTCTTAACTGCTGTTCCACCATCATTCATCCATCAAGACTGGCTTTAATGTTCAGAGTTTTATGGGTATAGCACATTTACTGGAAAATTCTTAACATGCTCTCTCAGCCTTCATGCCTCACTCCACTTTTCTCACCAATAGCTGACCCAAGGAGTCCTTCTTGCCCAATATCTCATATCCCCAAAACTGTTTCTCTTCTGAATTTAAAATATCAAGCACACAGTTTTGTGAAATTCAATATGTGTGGCACGTTTCAACAGAACAATTTTACCAAGATAAATACCAATTATTTTCATTTTCAATGCCAAACATGCAAGCCCATACTCCATGAATTTAGACAATTTAAAATAAAAGCTTCCTTCTTCTTCGTCTTCTTCTTCTACCCATACTGAAACAATTCCAGCATTCAGTAACTAGGTTAAGGTTGCCAACTGCAGAATAATCACAACATCCATTAAGCGGTTTTATTTGCTGTACGCCCAAAATTCAACATGTTCAGAATTGAATGGCAAAATTTAGTCCAACAGTGTCACCATGTGGACAAACTTATATTTACTAAACATTCGTGAAAGAATGCTCACCTGTTTCTATAGCACTTGGAATGAAATTAAGCTCCAAGGAATCATTCATTTTAGGAATGGGCTCCACAATATTAAAGCAATGTGTGTCTGGTTTCTTAACCTGCATTCAAGGTAGGAGAATCTGCATCATTCTTACCCCATTATCGAATACATCAGTTAGCAACTTGATTACTTTCTTCTTGAAAAATGTCCACACATTCTGTATTGCTATATCCAGTGGCACTTAATTCCAAAAGTTGAACAATTTATTTTTGTGTCATTTACAGTTTCTGAGCTTAGAAAATACAATCTTTTACTCTCTTGTTTTTGTCCAAACTACATGTCTAAACTAAAGCCTTTTACATTTTTAAAGGATATGAATTACACAGTTCCCCCAAATCTGTAGGGGCAATATTTCATTGGCTCTAAACTAGCTCCTCTATTAATGGGTTGCCAAGATATAGAAGATCGAGGTTTGTTTCATAGATGCAACCAGTTCAACCTCTCGTATTTAAAAAAAGGAAAGGCTTTTGATGAACAAGTATTTTTTCAGCACCTCCCAGTGCAATATCAAATGCAAGGATTATTATTATTATTATTAATATTATTATTATTATGTGCCTGGACAAGGACAATGCACTGTGACTCTCTAAGGATTAAATTATATCCTTCTTGTTGGAACATCCAAAGATCAGTTCCAATGATCAAAAAAACTTGCACACCTCAGTTAAAAGGAAGTTAGTGTAATGAACAGCAACAATCCCAGGAATCCAGTAATGTCCACTAAATTGTGTCTGAAAATAAAGTTACATTTCCATTTACAACTACCTTTTTGAATACTTGCTTTGGGAGCATAGTCGAGAAAGCATCTGGAAACAAGTCTTTTGATATCCTCAGTCAGATGTTATTAGAAATTACTACAATTCGGGGTCTGTGCTATTAGAAAATCAATCCCCATTTCATCAATTATACTGTTACTGTTTGCAACAGTGAGTTTATTGATTGTCCACAGTTCTTCCAAAATTAGATTGTGTGAAACAAATTGGGGTTGATTTATTTCAGATCTGTGTGCTGTTAAGTCTAAAACAAACCTAAATGGATTTTGCTTTAGAACTTATAGCGGCTAAAATATCTTTGTATTGATTGTTGATACTTTGCTTTTGTTGGAACAATAAATATCATGGAAGCGGATTTCAAGTATAAAATCTGGAACACTATATTAGGTCTACAATGGAATCTCTGGGTCTCACAATTTCAACTGATCGTTTTAGATGTGTTACCTTTGGGGCAGTCCTCCTCATCCATCAATTATCAATTAAACAGGACACCATTCAAATAAAGGATATATTTTTGAATTATTTAACATAGATGTTATAGGGCAGACAAGAGGGTAATTCTACACACACACAAATCAGACTTCAAAATAGTAAGCTCTCTCACTCCAGCATGTCAATTGCACTGGACCAGCTTCTTTCCCCATACCTTATAGGAGGTACAGAACCCTCTGCACTTTTCCCAGCAAGTCGATTCACTGAGCAGTTTTGGCAGGATTAAGATCCTGTAAGTGACATCACTTTGGATGACAGACTCTTCCCACACCCATGTAAATTATCATAGATAAATACAATTTGTCCTTCTACTTCACAGAGTCCCAGATACAAATACTGTTTAAACACCTATTAGAAACTGTCATTTTTCCCAGGAAAGGATAAAGTAAATTGCATTATAGCTGCCAATTCTATGCTGAATCCTGTAATCCTCAATATGTTTCCTAGTTGATATTTATCCAGCTTCTTTTTGACACCATTTTTAATGGCAAATCTTGGGAAAGAGTCCAAAGTTCACAGTGAAGAGCACCACCATGGTCAAATACAGTAAGAAAGAAGATAAGTTAATGTAGCGCTTAGGTACATTCCCCAAGGAGCCTGTTCTCCATATTCACATAATGGGAAACTATTCTTCTGCTCTGTGGTTTCAAATGAGTGCTGTTCAATTTTGAATTTAATAATAAAATAATAATCCTTGCATTTGATCCTTGCCTTATCACATCTTCGAGACATCTCAAAGCGCTTCACAAAATATACTGTAAAGTGAATTGACTGTATATTTTGTGGGCAAAACACGGCAGCTAATAGGGCACATCAGCGTCCTACAAACTGTCATGGATTGAGTGACCAAATCATTATTTTTTTTAAGGATTATTATCCCTGGAAAAGCGATCCGCCAATCGACTAATAATTGGGTTCCTATTTACTGCTAGGTAAACAGAGGTGTGTGGAGTAAGGAATACTGGCCAACATTTCACCCTGCCGGGAATAGGAACCCAGGTCTCTCGCTTGCGAGGCTGGTGCTCTAACCACTGAGCTGCAGGACTATATAACTGGAATGTTAACAGCGTCAGGTCTTTCAGTTGGATAAGAGAGGTACGGAGGGCACTCATTTTTGATATTAATTCTTTGTACCGTGACAGGTCCATATGATGACGGATAATTGGAAACATTGAGATTAAACTTATCTCCTGTGCTCAAATTATAAATCAAAAGAACTGCCTAGAAGGTAGTCTTAAAGCATAATTACAAAATTATCGAAATGATATCTGAAGTCTCATTAAAAATAGAGGTATGTGGCAAATATGACACAGTGAGGGAAGCCTACATTCACAATTGATATACACCAAATGTTGAAGGCTGAAATAAATGCTACAGATACTGCTGTACACATGTTCCTCTCATTGTTGAGCACCAGTGTTTTAATGGCTTCATTTCCATACTTAGTGTGTGACACCCACTTTAACCCAACATGTTAATTGACTGTAATTAATCAATAGAAACCTTGTAAGTATAACACTCTCTGGGCGTTTCACAAAGTAAATGTTTAATACTTTAAAAAAACACTAAAGAATTAGTGTAATGTTGTTTGCATGGCATATTTTCTTGATGAATTTGCTTATTGCACCTATCAAAATGTGTGTACGTTTGCTGCATAGGCTCTTTGTAAACAGTACTTACCTTCTGGTGGTTCTTCCCTGAGGTACGAAGGCACTTTAGTTTGATCGTTGTTCGTTTGATCCATCCTTTTCTATTAGAAAAGGTAAAATTAGAAAACCTAGAAATGCCGTCTTCAATTTGTACAACCTGAACTCTTGCATGATCAATGATTATCCACAACATTTTTAAACATCATAAAGTAAGTGAAATAGATCTGTTGCACAATGATGTTCTGAATTGCTTCTTGCATGGCAAGATAAGCACTCGCCTTATCTTGGCCTGCACAGAGAATTCACAAGCCTGTAACAAACCATTAGGATTTTCTTTGCTACCCTTTCCACCGCCTACTCAGGGTTTTTAAGTAGGAATCATAATTAGATCATGTCTGTCCTGTCAAAATTTTTACTAGTATACTGTATCTAGAACAACCACTAAACTACACAGCATTAAACCTTTTCCATAACAAAAATGCCTGTGTTAAAATCCAATAAGTTGTGCATTTTTAATTAAAAGAACATTTTGTAACAGATTTATATGGTTGTAGAAGTATCATGCATTCAAACTCATTCCAACATACACCTACAATAAAATAATTTTGAACATACACTATATCATCTGCTGAAACGTAAATCTGCTTACTGCCCTGGTTATAATGCTAGAAGGTGGAGGGAGATTTTTGTACAATGTACAATACATTTTTTTCATGTATTTCACAGAAGGGAACCAATGCTTCTCAGAACAGACATGAATGTCACAAGACCTGATAGGTAACGTGAAAATGATTACTTTCTGTCACCAGTAAGTGTCCTGAGTAATGGGACTGGACAATCTTAATCCACAGCTGAGTAAATATGAAAGAATCTGCACAAAATAGTCCCTAATACAACACTACACTGGGAATCTTACTCAAGTGAGGCAGAAAAGATGACAAATATGGGAATATTCTGAGAATACTTCTTTGAATGTTAAGTTAATGGAGGATTTCAGGGAAACTCATCAAATTGTATTCAAATGTCGTTGTAATTCTAACATTACATTTATTTAATCTATTATTTAAACGTACATATTTTCAAATGAAATAAAGAATTATGAACTTGCTGGGAAAGCTTTATTTCATCTTTACCAGAATGTTTTATACTATTCACAACAGAATTAAACATGAATCACAACAACAGCAACAACTTGGACTTATAGCGCCCTCCATGCCGGACGGCATCTCAGAGTGCTTCACAGTAACGGATCCCGGGGCCAAGCCAGGGGGAGAGGGAGGAAGGTGACCAAAGGCGCGGTTGAAAAGAAAGGTCTTTAGGCGAGACCTGAAAATAGGAAGAGAGAGGGCGAGGCGAAGAGAGAGAGGAAGGGAGTTCTAGAGCTCAGGACTTAGTGGCTTATTTTGGCTTATTTTCACCCACAAAATATACAGTCAATTCACTTTACAGTATATTCTGTGAAGCGCTTTGAGGCATCTCGAAGACGTGATAAGGCGCTATATCAAATGCAATGATTATTAGTTATTATTCTTCCAGCCTTATGTTCCCACCTTATGTTCCTCCCATTTCAGCAAAAACCTGTTTTGTTGCCTGTATAAGTCAGGTGTCCTGGCATCTCTCTTCCTGCACATCAAGTCAAGCTGTCGATAACCCTTTGTGTAACGAAATACTTTGATGTCTTTGCTTAAATTGCCCTCAACAACTCAAAATCAATGCCCCTCTTTTCCTGCTGCCTTGGTGCATGTGAAAGTATTAGGCATGTGTGAAAGTATACTCTCTAAGATAACCTGAGGCATTATTTTCAAGGCCAGTTTACCGTGTTATTTCTCATAGTTCAGCTCTTTAAATCTAGGGCTCAGCTTAAGATCCCCTCTCAACAGTCTCATGTACACAGAGAAAAGATCCCACCTGTCCAATCTTGACAGCTGGATCTCTTCATCCCTAGTAAAAATTATTTTAAATCAGCCAAGATCTTCTTGGACGCTACAACATTCTTCCCGTGAGCAGAAATGCGCTCAATACTCCAAATGTAGTCCAACCAAGGTTTTATATAAACGTAAAATCATTCCCAACTTTTGTACTCTTGCAAATCACTCATGGCCAGTACATGGTCTCCGTTCGTCAACTTTAGAAGTCTATGCACATGTGCTACATTCCTTTCAATCCAACAAACAGATCTAGTGAATACGATTTTCTGATGAGATTGCTACATCATTTCAGTAAAACATTTTTCACTGCAGCTAGCCAGCCACAAACAGCTATACTTACTGAGTCCATGAAACACTGAAGAATAACATCAAGCTTTCAGCAATGCAAATATTGTAGATCCTCACATACAAAACACATTCACTGCACTTTACAGTATATTCTGTGAAACACTTTGGGATGTTTCTCCCAGTGTGAAAGGCACGACACCAAATGTAAGGATTATCATAATTTTATGAGTGCATGTACCTTTCATTTTTTTAAGTAATTGAATCTACAAATTAATTCCTGAACTCTGCAGCCCGTGTCCTCTCCCGCACCAAACTCCTCGACCCCATCTCCTCCATTCTCGCCCGACTCCATTGGCTCCCTATCCTTCAGAGGATCCAGTTCAAGATCCTGGCCCTCACCTACAAAGCCCTCCGTGGCCTCACCCCACCCTACCTCTGCAACCTCCTAACCCCCTACCGACCCGCCTGCTCCCTCCTCTCAGCCGGCTCCAGACTGCTCCACATCCCCCGACTCACCCACCCCACCATTGGCAGGAGAGCCTTCAGCCACTCTGCCCCCAACCTCTGGAATTCCATCCCCCAATCACTCCACCTCGCCTCCTCCTTAGCCTCCTTCAAGTTCCGCCTCAAAACCCTCCCCTTCGACCATACCATCGTTCACCCCCTTCCCCTCCCCCCCTTCTCCCGCCTTGACGCCAGCTCGGGTCTGAAATGCTGCACACTGTCCAGCGTTTTGGGACATCCTCCCGACGTGAAAGGCATTAAAACGAACGTAATCTTGTTGTTGTTGGTGTTGTTGTTCTTCACAATTATACGGTACATAAGACCATAAGACATAGGAGCAGGAGTAGGTCATTCGACCCCTCGAGCCTGCCCCGCCATTTAATAAGATCATGGCTGATCTTCTAACCTAACTCCATTTACCCGCCCTATGCCTATATCCCTTAATCCCTCTATCCTTTAGAAATCTATCAACCTCAGTCTTGAATATGTTCAAGGACTGAGCATCCACAGCCTTCTGGGGTAGAGAATTCCTCAAGTTCACTATCCTCTGAGCGAAGAAATGTTTCCTCAACTCAGTTTGAAAAGGCTGATCCTTAATTTTGAGACTATGACCCCTAATTTTATATTCTCCAACCAGGGGAAACAGTCTCACGGCATCTACCCTGTCAAGACCCTTATAGATTTCTATAAGATCACCTCTAATCCTTCTATATTCTGGAGAATATAGGCCTAGTTTACTCAACCTATCCTCATAGGTCAACCCCTTCATCCCAGAAACCAATTTAGTGAATCTACTCTGCACCCCCTCTAAGCCGAGTATGTCCTTTCTTAAATAAGGAGACGAAAACTGCACAATATTCTAGGTGTCCTCTCACCAAAGCCTCATACAACTGCAGCAAGAATTCCCTACTCTTGTACTCTAACCCTTTTGCAATGAACGCCAACATGGCATTAGCCTTTCTAGTTGCTTGCTATACCTGTATACTAACTTTCTGTGACTGGTGTACAAGGATACCCAAATCCCTCTGAACACTAACACAACCTAATCTCTCCCCCTCTAGAAAATAATCCGCTTTACATAGTAATTTGAGGAATGGTACTTTTCATGGATTAAACAGGCTTCTGAGACACTTCAACTGAATTTTTTTTTAGCTCTTTTAGCATTACTGTATTCCAGATATGCAAAATCTATTGAAGCTTTTTTTGAAAACACAAATAAAATGTTTATTTTCGTGAATGCTTTCAACTAGCAAAAGTGGTATCTGAATAAAGAAAAATTACTAACATTTTGAGTCGGGATTATCCTACATGACATATACATATATATATATATATATATATATATTTAATGTTATGCTCATGCAAATTTTAAATAGCAAACAATACATGTTTACTTTTTTTTGTTACTCTTCTTGTTATTGTAAATGAGCCATTTGGATGGAAGGGAAAAGTGAAATGGGGCCAAAAACAGTGGCACAGCACTGAAATAATTTTTTCCAGAATATTATTCCTCGAGGGCACAGTATGACAGATTGAATACGTCAATGTGCAACTAAGAAACTTGACATTAGATATTAAGTAATCTTGCCCAATCCGTAGCTTCATGGGAACTCCTTGTCTGTCTCAATGCATTGTAAACAAAATTAAACTACTGTACTCTATTTGAACAGTAAATGTGTATGAATACCTATCACCCACAACCCCTTTCATTCTTAGAAAATGCTAATTATCAACAGGCCCTGAATGTCATGTGACGGTAGGATATGGATTTAAAACAGTACAGAAAAACAATTTTAAAGATTGCACTAAGAAGAATTTTTGCTCAGAGAGTAATAAAGTTTGTAGCAGACCACCAGTTGAGATATAGTACTAACAAAGGAACATTACAAATCTTCAAATGAAGCTGATTGGTATACTGGGTAAGATGGAGGGTAATAAAGGAATGAGCTCTGGTGAGCCAAATGTGGTAATCTGGACTTTACTTACGACTTAAGCTGTACACCTTTAAGGTGGCAAAACAATCACATTCTCCATCACGATTGCTACACACCTCAATGAGCACAATTTTCTCACAACAACAATTTGCATTTATATAGTGCCCCTCATGCAGGGTAACGTCCCTGAGCGCTTGACAGTGGCAGAGCATAAGGCCGAGCCGGGGGGAGGAGGAGATGACCGTGGGCATGGTCGAATAGGAAGGTCTTTAGGCCGACCTGAAAATGGGGAAAGAAGGGGCAAGGCGGAGGGCTAGAGTAAGAGTGTTCCAGAGTTTCAGGGCATAGTGGCTGAAAGTGAGTCCAGCAACGGTAAAACGAAGGGCACAGAGGACATGCAGAAGGCCAGAGCCAGTCAAGCAGAGGCCATGGGTTGGGGGCTAAGCAGGTCGGAGAGGTAGGGAGGTGCCACAAAATGACATGGTCCTGTTCAGCACTGTTATCATTTACCATTGAGCACAATGTTCTCACAAAATGTTATATTCTGTGCAGTTCAGATATCACTTAAGAAAATCCCTGGTGAAATGATCATGTATTTGCATATGTACAGCTAATGAGCTAACTTCAGCACCACAAAACACACACGTACAGTAATTATTCTGCCTTCTAGTCTCGTACACTTCAACACTTAACAAACTGTAGTAACTTTCCAGTCAGCAGAAGTCAGAAGCAGAAGTCAAGAGCAGAATTTAGATGGGTTTTTGTTCATACATTTTTTAAAATGTTGGTGCCAATAATGGGACAATGAACTCTATTTAAGAGAATCAGTCCCTGCAATACACATTCCAGGTACCATTAAGTGGAAGTAGTAACATAATGAACATATCTCTTCTACAGCACAGGTCTCCTGAGATTAATGTATAAAGCTCATTTTGCAGAGGAAAAGAAACCAATGTGTGATCTCATCTCTGAGAGTCTCAGCCTGACAATTCGTAAATCTCATCACAGGAAAAAAACACTATTCATATTCTGCGTGCCACAGGACAGGTAATTGAATACAGCTCACCTCAAGGTTTAATTAGATACTGAAAAGCAAAAAATAAGCGCTAAATCAATTTTCTACCATTTTGTTCATTGGGGAAACACCCATATTTTGTGCTACTATGTTAGGACTCATAAATGTCCACAAAGTAATGGAGCAATGGGAGTTACTAAGTGATGGCTGGGAGTAAAGGAAATAAGTCATATCAAATCACTCTCACACTAAGAGTGAGCCTGATCAAGAATAGCAGTGGCAGCAACCAAGGACAATGTCTCTTATCCATACTATAAGCTGGAAAATTGCCCAAACACAAAATATTCTTTCATATAAAACTTTACCATTCCATCTATCTTCCAAAAACTGACAAGATCTCCTTTCGCTATCTTTCATTAATAGGGCAAAATATTAGATGCAATAAACTGCTCCTGTCCTGTTCTGTTCGACCCTGAGCTGTCCTTTCTTCCTCATATCCGCGCCACAACTGGCACCGCCTTCCATCACCTCCGAAACATCGCCGGACTACGGCACTACCTCACCCCTCACACTGCTGAAACCCTGGTCCACGCCTTTATCACCTCGCCGGCCGTCCCGGCACCTCCCTCCACACTGCAGGTCATTCACAACTCTGCAGCTCGTGTACTGTCCCGCACCAGACACCGCGACCACATCACTCCCACCCTCGCCCTCGCTCGCCTCCACTGGCTTCCCATCCCCCAGAGGATCGAATTCAAGATCCTCATCCTCGCCTACAAGGCCATTCACGGCCTTGCTCCCTCCTATCTCTCCGACCTACTATCCCCCTACCTACCTGCCCGTACCCTCCGTTCCTCTGGCTCCGGTCTGCTCCACATCCCCGCCCCCGCCCCAACCGCCCTACCATCGGTGGCCGGGCCTTCAGCCTCACAGCCCCGAGGCTCTGGAACTCCATCCCCAGTGCCTTCGCCGCTTCCTCCCTTTCCTCCTTCAAGGCCGGTCTCAAGACCTTTCTCTTTGACCTTCAGCCTTCAGCTCCCCTCTCGACTCTCTACCCCCTCCTCGCTCCCTCCCTTCCCTCCCCTGACCATTTCCCTCCTGCTCGGGTCCGGACCCAACTGTCCAGCGCCTTGGGATGTCCTCCCGACGTGGAAGGCGCTCTATAAATGAAATCTTGTTGTTGTTGTTGCTCAATACTATTATTCAAATAACCCACTTTCATCTGTATTTGAATGTTTTTCTCTAATCCAACTAAAATATTTAGTTTTGATCAATTTAATCTTTTTTCACCCACAAGACTTATTTTTAAATGTGAGAGGAAAACAAGGCCACAATGAGGGGCTTACCCAGATTGATGCCATGTGCAAATCAGTACAATAATCTATTTTAAAGGAACTCTTGTTTTAAGAGGAGTTTCATAGAACATTTGCCACCCACACATGCAGTGTACAAACATCTGAATTGGTTGAAACTACTCACACAGCAGAGGAAAAGGGGCTTCGAGCAGAGCAGTTGGATACCATCATCTTACTCTCCAATAGGTAATTTCACGATTAGATTATTGGCATATTCAGACTTGGAATCTTATTTTAGACAAGGAGGGAATGGGGGTGGGCAGAGTTATTTGAGAACTACTGAGTGTGCCCCTGACAATGTTCCTCCTAAGGAGTTCCTGAACCATAGTGGATGGCATCCAACAGAAACTAGGCTCTCCTTCCTGCAAGAGGAATATCAGCAAATAACCAAGAGGTGCAATTCTCTGTTTACCTAGTAGGTTGTTAGTCAATTGGCAGATCATTTTTTCGGGGGTAATAATCCCTCAAAATAAATAAATAAAATGTGGTCACTCAATCCACGACTCCACCAATGTTTGTGAGACACTGCTGCGAGCAATTAATTGGCTGCTGGTTTCGCCCACAAAATACACAAGTCAATCCACTTTACAATATATTCTATGAAGCGTTTTGGGACGTCTCAACGAGGTGATGAGGGGCTATATCAAAGGCAAGGCTTGTTATTATACCATTCAGCCCAAATAGTTTCATCTGTAAAATCCACCCCTCAAACATTTGTAATTGCAAATTGTGATTTTTTTAAAAAAAAGAAGTAAATTATACAGCAAATACTGAGTTTATTCATTATGCTTATTGATTTAACCAGATCTGGAAGACTGGTACGAATAATAAAGAATACTGTTATTCAGAATACTGCATAACTAAATAATGTAATTGGTAAATACTCTTAACAGTCACAAACAATTGCAAGTAGTGACTCAGAACTTTGCTGAATTATGGTCTGTAAACTATGTAAGCTCGGATCGTTGTGTCGCAAGTCTGGCAATGAAACCCAATGCAGGACGAAAAGTGTGGGGTTGAGCCTGAAAACACCCAACTAAGAGCTGAGCTGATGGTTTTCCACACGAATAAGCAGGTTAGCCTTCTCCTGGGGGGGACGAGTAGGCAAAGGGGGGGGGGGGAATCGTGAGCACTGAGATAAAACGTTGCTGGTCTCCATGCACGAACTGCACAGCGGTTGGATTCGGGGAGCACTAAAAGAGTGGAGAGAGGTTATCACTTGGCGTTGCCACGACGTGGCAGACTTTGCTGCTCACTCTGACTTCCACGTTGTAAGGAGAATCGCTCAACTATTACACAAAGGGGAGTCTGAAGCCTCCAGAGAGCAGCAGATCTGCAGGTCCCCTCCAGCCCAGCCACTGACCTCCAGTCCAGATGCTGCTCCCCCACCCCCCCCACCCCACACCCCACACCCCAACAAAGTCCACCCAACACCTTCAACCTTGAAAAAAAAATTAAAAAAAACCTCTCCAAACTGCATATAAATAACCTCGTGGTATTTTTTTTAAAAAGAAGGGCTTTAAAATAATCTCTCTCTCTCTCTCACTCTCACACACACACACACACACACAAAGGGTTGAAATGTGGCTGAAATCTGTTGCATTTTGTTTTAAAACCAACACCCCCTCCCTAACCCACCCCCCCCCAATTGAAATGCTGTAAAACCAGAAATAAGTTATTGGAAGCACAGACGGGACAGAAAGTTCCCTGCTCACCTCTTGCTCAGTTTGTCTTGGGTGACTTGTCTGTCTGTCTGCAGAGGCTCTGAGGCTGGGTTGGCTGCTGTGACTGTTCCCTGGGCTGGAGTGTGGGTGTGTAAAAAAAAAAGGAGATGCTTTAGTTCTTACTACTGCAGCCAGTTTCTTACCCTCCTCTCCTCTTGCTGTATACGTGGCATCCCACGACTCCAGCTTCCAGCTCTGCACATAACACACACACACACACACACATAGGACCAAGCAAGGAAGTGACGCCCAGTCAGCTCTTTGCTAATCAGATTGCCAGACCCAACATTTTACTCTCAAAGACAAGTTCTGCCAACTGTACAGCCAGGCCAGATGTCCAAACCGTTGCAAGGAATCCAAGTGTGTCGTCCCCCCCCCCCGAAAAAAAACCACACACACACACAACACAAAAAAAATTGCCTTTCACGTTTTTTTCTAGTGATACGTCTCGCATCACTTTTACACTTTTTTTTTCGTGAGCGACTGTGAAGGTGCAGCACCGCGAAAGAGCTTTCACTTCAATGTCCAAAGAATCATAGAATCGTGGATTTATATATAGCGCGCGGAAGGAGACCGCTTCGACCATCGTGTCTTTGAAAAGAGCTATCCAAATCAATCCCACTCCCCCACTCGCTCCCCATAGTTTTGCAAACTTGTCCTCCCCAGAAGATTTACCTTCTTACCCAACCCCATCTCCATTATTTCAGATTTCTATGACAAATGTTGGCATCCCAACAGGGGACATTATATATAAGATATATATATATATATAATGTATAGTTTTATGGGTTTCAAGAATTGAAAAGTATTTTTGTCCATTCGAATATATAAAGATGTGTTTATTTTCAGAGTGAGCAAACAATGACAACTTTACATTAAGCTGTTGCTTTAATGTGCATTGTCCCACAGAACTAAACAAATATAAATCAGGATTAATATGCCCCAAATCACTGAGAAATCACTAAGGTAGCCAAAATAATAATAATAATTCTTACATTTCATGTCTTCGAGGCGTCTCAAAGCGCTTGACAGAATGTACTGTAAAGTGAATTGACTGTATATTTGTGGGCAAAATGCGGCAGCCAATTCCGCACAGCAGTGTCCCACAAACAGTCGTGGATTGAATGACCACATTATTGTTTTTTTTGAAGGATTATTATCCCCAGAAAAACGATCTACCAATCAACTAACAACCGAGTTCCTACTTACTGCTAGGTAAACAGAGCTGCGGAGTAAGGAAACTTGCCCAACATATTACCCTGCCGGCAATCGAACCCAGGTCTCTCGCTGCAAGGCGAGTGCTCTAACCACTGAGCTACAGGACTCCAAAATGAGCAATGGAAAAGCATATACTGGTGAAGAAGGGAGTAACAATGACTCCCTTGATTTTAGTTATTTTCATCTATATTCTCATGGTTTCCCCATCACATATAAAGCAGCTAATGGAAAGGGTGCATTTATATATCATTTAAAACCACTCCAATAATCTTATGGATATTAAGTGCATCTAGTTTATATACTGTAACAGTGGCCTCAACTGTAACATGGCAAAACAAGGCCCCCAAGGTACTGGTTAAGAAACCGGCAGTAGTTAAAAAGTGAATGGCCCTAAAAACTCACTGTTACATCATTGCATTAATATTCCAACAGTCAGTCATCTGTGGCTAATCAGGTGGATGCTTATAGGGCTATAAGGGAACTCCAGATTTAACAAGAGTTGTGATGTCTTAATCAGTTGGTCAAGAAAACCTTGGAAAAAATACACCAATAGTTTGTGATATTCACTCACATGACTGACTGGAGAATCTGACAAAGAAAATGAACACTCAATTCCATTGCAGCACTGTATGTGTGTGCCTGGGACTTGTAGTCCTGGTTCCTCTGGGTGAACTATGTGGGGCCTGCCTTTGGCCAACACTGAAGGCAAGGATATCCTGGAAGGAGTGATGAATTATTTTATTTTTTTATATGTAGCTTTATTATTGTAAATCAAGTATTGTTTCAGTGTCATAGTAGGTTAGATGAACATAAACATAAATTGTTAGCTGTCAGGTACAGAAGAAGTCTCACTATAATTCCAGACAGTCGAATGATTAAAGGTTTTCTGAGTGCAATCGCTTTTGACAGAGGATTATTGAATAATGACTTATGTTTGCATGGTGTTCATCTCCTTATGCACTTGACTAAGTGTGTATATATGAGGCGTCAGCCTGGGGATTTGTAGAGTAGGACTTTTACTAAAATCGATGCGCATCTGAACTTGTAATTATTAAAATAAAGGTGCAATGTATTTGGTAAGGTTTATAGTATACGCCTGACTCCTCCTCTGGAGTAGAACCTTGCGGATTTGAATATTTAAGAGAAAATGCCTGTTAACCCATAAACGGTTTAATCACTCTCTTTGTAGAGGTATTGTGTTTCAACGTATTTAGCGGTTAAATTATGAGATGGGTCCCTCAAGGGAATAGTTTACAATTAAAAAACATAGGTACATCTTCAAATCCTACCTCTTTGTACATGCCCATGACCCCTTCTGATCCCCACTCTCCCTGGCTTGGCCCTGTAAAGCTCTCGGAGATATTTCCCTACATAATGGGGCTGTATAAATGCTAGTTGTTGTCGTTTTGCTAACCTATAATTCTAGCAGGTTCCACTTTAATGTTTCAGACTGATTTCTACAAGTTTGCCATTGACAAGACTTTGTTAAGACTGCATTGTTTAAAAAGTTGCACAATTTTGATTACTGAACAGAATTACCTTGGGACTGAAGATAAAGCAGACGAGTTGTTAACTTTACAGTTGAGGCCGCAGCAGCATGCTTAACTTTGTTTTATTCTAGTCGTCAGATTATCCACGCACCGATGATATCATCGCTTCCCGTTTGAGAATTTTAGCAAAGGCCATAATTTGCTCAGCTGTCATGTCCCCCAAAAAGAATTGGATGAATATCTTCAGCAGCTAGGGCTTCATCAATTTGAACTGTCTGCCAAAGACAAATTGATGTTAAAATAACTTTGCAGAAATGTATTGAGAAAATCTTGACTCATCAGTGGGTAAAGCCCAGATGGATTCTCAGTATATATTAAAGTAGAATGTTCAAAGCAAAGATAAAATTCCAAGTAATCTTCAGACACTAAAATGCAGGCTGATTCATTTCAAAAGTAACATTTTTTTCTGCCTGCGGCAAAGGATGCTGGTTGGCCAGTCAAATCATGTTTTAAAATCATGTTGTAAAAAAATATTTAAATGTTGTCAAACATACAAGGGATGGGTCATAAAAAGTCTGGCTTGGTTGCTGTGTATGAATACAAATTAGGATCTAGGGAGATTTGTGTGAACAAAAGATGTTTACTCTTTCCTATGTTATTAAGAACAAAGTCCTAAATTGAACAATTGGTGCTAATTTCTGAGTTCTGCACCTCAAAAGAGTTAATAAGCTATTGTGATTTTATTTACCTATCTTATCTTTTGAAATTTACATTTTTAAAACTTGCAGACATAAACTTAGCAGCTCCTTTGTTTTCTCTTAGAGCTACAATGCCTTGATTGACCGATTTTAATCCTTTAATAGATTTTTAACCTGTCTTAAGGCCTAAAACCCATGACAAGGACTCTGAGATCAAATCATTTGGCCTAGGCCAAGAGTACCTGCAAAAATTAACCCACTGAGATTTTACAGAATGTTTTAGCTAACCTCTACACATAGTATTATAGATTACCATATCAAATTGACCAGATCTAATATTTGCCAATTTTCTTTCGGATTGAAGATTGTTCCAAAGAATTGATATAACACACCGAGTTAAGTGTTTGATTTTAACTTTTCTTTCAGGACCTATCTGCCATTTCAAGGAGTCAGTCTGGTGCAGTTGGTAGCATGCTCGTCCGAGTCAGAAGATGTGACTCAAACTCACATCATCTAAACTGACTGTGCAGTGCTGGAGAGTGTGCTTCGTAGTTGGAAGTCCATCCATCAAATGAGACATTAAACTTAGGTCCGTCTGCCTGTTAAGATGGACGCTAAAGATCCCATGGCACTATTCTAAAAGCAAATGGAGGTTCTCTCAGTGCCCTGGCCAACAACAACAACAAAATTACATTTGTACAGTGCCTTTCACGTTCCAAGACATCCCCCAAATAAAATTGTTTTTTCACTCCGTGGTTGTTTGTGGTCCATTGCTGTGCGCAAATTGGCTGCCGCATCCATCCAGTCACTACACTTACAGTAAACCCTGTGAAGCTCTTTGAGATTCCTCGACGACATGATAAGGGCTATACCAAATGGAAGGATTACTATTATAATTATTATTATAATAAACTCCGTTAAGTTCCACCACTGTCAAACGCTGTGAGACATTGCATGGTGTGAAGGGCGTTAGATAAATACAAGTTTATATCCAACAAGTTGGGGAGGACAAATTTGAGGGCTGTGGGGAGAAAGCGGAGGAGTGGGATTGATTTGGGGCAGCTCTTTCAAAAAGCCGCCACCGGCACGATGGGTCGGAATGGCCTCCTTCGGCGCTGTATAATCCTATGATCCTGAGTTGCTATTTGTGAGGTGGGGGAGTGAGGGGGGGGGGGAGTGAGGGGGAGTGAGATGGGGGGGAGTGAGGTGGGGGGAGTGGGGGGAGGAGTGAGAGTGGGGGGAGAGTGAGGGGGGGAGTGAGGAGAGGGGAGAGTGAGGGGGGAGTGAGAAGGGGGGAGTGGGGGGGAGTGAGAGGGGGGGGAAGGGGGGGGAGGGGGGGGGGGGGGGGTGGGGGGGGGAGTGAGGGGGGGAGGGAGGGGGGGAGTGAGGGGGGGAGTGAGAGGGGGAGAGTGAGGAGGGAGTGAGGGGGGAGTGAGGGGGGGAGTGAGGGGGGGAGTGAGGGGGAGTGAGGGGGAGAGGGGGAGTGAGAGGGGGAGTGAGAGGGGGGGAGTGAGGGGGGGGAGTGAGGGGGGAGTGAAGGGGGGAGTGAGGGGGGGGGGAGTGAGGGGGGGGAGTGAGAGAGGGGGAGTGAGGGGGGGAGTGAGGACGGGGAGTGAGGGGGGGGGAGTGAGAGGGGGGAGTGAGGGGGGGGAGTGGGGGGGGGAGTGAGAAGGGGGAGTGAGAAGGGGGGGAGTGAGAGGGGGGGAGTGAGAAGGGGGGGAGTGAGGGGGGGGAGTGAGGTGGGGGGAGTGAGGGGGGGAGTGAGGGGGGGAGTGAGAAGGGGGGGAGTGAGGGGGGGGGAGTGAGTGGGGGGAGTGAGAGGGGGGAGTGAGGGGTGGGGGGGAGTGAGTGGGGGGAGTGAGAGGGGGGGAGTGAGGGGGGGATGAGGGGGGGAGTGAGGGGAGGGGGAGTGGAGGGGGGAGTGAGAAGGAGGGGGGAGTGTGGGGGGGGAGTGAGAAGGGGGGGAGTGAGAGGGGGGGGGAGTGAGAAGGGGGGGAGTGAGAAGGGGGGGAGTGAGAGGGGGGGGGAGTGAGAAGGGGGGGAGTGAGAGGGGGAGTGAGGAGGGGGGAGTGAGAGGGGGGGGGTGAGAAGGGGGGAGTGAGGGGGGGGAGTGAGGTGGGGGGAGTGAGGGGGGGAGTGAGGGGGGGGGAGTGAGAGGGGGAGTGAGGGGGGGGGGGAGTGAGTGGGGGGAGTGAGAAGGGGGGGAGTGAGGGGGGGGGGAGTGAGGGGGGAGTGAGGGGGAGTGAGGGGGGAGTGAGGGGGGGAGTGGGGGAGGGGGGAGTGGAGGGGGGAGTGAGAAGGGGGGAGTGGGGGGGGGAGTGAGAGGGGGGGAGTGAGAGGGGGGGGAGTGAGAAGGGGGGGAGTGAGAAGGGGGGGGAGTGAGAGGGGGGGGAGTGAGAAGGGGGGGAGTGAGAGGGGGGGGAGTGAGAAGGGGGGAGTGAGAAGGGGGGGAGTGAGGGGGGAGTGAGAGGGGGGAGTGAGAAGGGGGGAGTGAGGGGGGGGGTAGAAGGGGGGGGAGTGAGGGGGGAGTGAGAAGGGGGGGAGTGAGGGGGGGAGTGAGAGGGGGGAGTGAGAAGGGGGGGAGTGAGAAGGGGGGGAGTGAGAAGGGGGGGAGTGAGAGGGGGGGGAGTGAGGTGGGGGGGAGTGAGGGGGGGAAACGTTTAAGCCGATGCACCGGGCGGAGCATCGCATGAAGCGCTTGGAGACGTCTCAACGACGGTCAACTGTGAGGAGGAGGAAGAGGAAGAGGAGGATGAAGATGAGGAGGAGGAGGAGGAGGATGATGATGATGTGACGTTACCTCAGTGCGGGCCCCATTTCAACCCCCCCCCACGTGGCTGTTGTTGTCACGTGCCGAACAAGCGGCTGACGAGGGGCAGCAGCAGCCGCCCGCCGCCGCTTGGGCCGTTTCCATGGAGACCCCCTCTCTCCCTCTCCTCTCCCCCCCCCTCTTGTGGTCTCGCGTCACTTCCTGCGTAGCTCCCGCCCCGCCCCGCGCCGCCCCGGCCCCGGCCCGGCGCGCGGCCAGTGGGCGGGGCGTCTCCGAGCGGCACCTGTCCATCAACCCGCCACTGCCCGCACCGGCTGCAAAAGGGAGAGGGGGCGGAGTCACTGCAATTGTTTCCATTTGCTCTGCGGATACATCACACACAGTGAGTGACACACACACAGACAGTGACACACACACACAGTGACACACAGAGACACAGACAGTGACACACACACACACACAGTGACACACACACATGGACACACATAGAGACACACAGTGAGTGACACACACACAGTGACACACAGAGAGACACACAGTGAGTGACACACACACAGACAGTGACACACACACACAGTGACACACAGTGACACATACACACAGTGACACACAGAGACACAGACAGTGACACACACACACAGTGACACACACACATGGACACACATAGAGACACACAGTGAGTGACACACACACAGTGACACACAGAGACACAGACAGTGACACACACACACACACACAGTGACACACAGAGACACAGACAGTGACACACAGAGACACAGACAGTGACACACAGTGACACACACACATGGACACACATAGAGACACAGACACACACACACACACACAGTGACACACATAGAGACACAGACAGTGACACAGACAGTGAGTGACACACAGAGACACAGTGACACACATAGAGACACACAGACACACACACACAGACACACACACAGTGACACACACAGACAGTGACACACATAGAGACACACACAGTGACACACAGACACACACACACAGTGACACAGACACACACAGACCAGGCAAAAGGGGTGAGCAGTCAACTATCTCTCTCTCTCTCTCTCTCTCTGGTCCATCACCAGAACTTGTTGCACAACTCGCACACGACTGTTTTTTTCTCTCAAATCGAGTGAGTTTCTTATTTTTTATTTATTCCTCACTCTTTTTTTTTTAAAAAATTAATGTCATTTAATTTTTTATTTAAAATGTCTATGTTTATCACCACTCCCCTCCCCACCCCCCAAAAAAATGGGTTGTTGTGATGATAATAATAATTAATAATAATTGTTATTAATAATAATAATAATAAGGGATAATGCTGCAAAATCTGGAGAGAGAGAGAGAGAGAGAGAGAGAGAAAAAACCCACACATTTCAACTTAAATCTGGCAAAATGTTGGATTTATTTATATAATGTTGTTACTGCCAGAGTTTTGGGGTTTAATTGCTATGTCTGCAAGTTTCCCCACACACCCATTTAACTTTTTTTCTTAACTTAAAAGTTCTTTTAGACGTTTCTTTCAATTGTAACTTTAATTTGCAAAAGTTTCTCCCTCCCCCACGCCCAACATTTGGTCATGAGAAATATTTATTTCAATTCATATAATCTATTTCATTGTGATATGAAGTTCCAGTAGAAATTGTGTGGGAATTGCAATGTATGAGTGAACTGCAACTGATAGATTGTACTTAATAGAGTGAATTCTTAAAACAGATGATACATTTCAATTCCTTTGGTAAGTGACTGTGTGTGTGTGTATTTATATGGGTCTGTATAACCTTTCTGCATTGATGACCAGACTTGTGTGTATGTATGTGTGAGTGAGGGAGATCTCTGATTGCACTCACTGACTGTGCAAGTTGAGTTGTATTTGGCTGAGATATTTTGAACAGTCCCCTAATAGGAACTTCTGATATAACCATCACAGAGGAGTAGGACTATTGACTGAGAATCAGCTGATTTATTGTACACCTTAGACTAGAGAGGGAAACTGCATTCTCTTAACTATAACTTAGACTGGAACATAATGCTGTTCCCCACTCCCTTCCCTACTTAATTCTCTTTAACCCCTGTATTCAGAACAGAAGTTTGAGAAGATATTGAGACCTTAAATCATTCTCTTTCTCCCCCTCCACTCTAATTCATTGAGATAGAATTACATCCAACCATGTGAGTGTGGTTCATGATAGTGTTTGTCTCTTTTTTTCAGAGCAACTTGCAGCCATTCATGCATTTCACAGATGAGTAAAGATGCCCATATCTGGGAAAGATTAAGAGTTACATTTCTGGTTTGTCAGAGCAAGGTTCTTTGTGGTTATTAACACACCTGTGAACGTATGGATTGGCACTTGTTAGACTAAACACGTTCTCTGAAGAATGGTAGCAAATGCACATTGTGGAGATTGAGAGATTAACAGGTTTGTTAAAGACAGCTGGTTTGCAGTTTGCACAAACTAGACCAATTGACTCTTAGATAAGTGTGGCAGATGCAATATGACCATTGAATATGTTTGATATTTAAAGACATAGCCTGAATGCATTCATTATATGTTATTGCAAATTTGGCACAAAAATCTGTTTACTGCCGTGGTAAAAGGAGGCTGTAGTGATCACCAGTCTGAAGAGGTTTATAATAATAATAATAATTTATGATGTTAACTTGGCATAATGGCATAAATGTTTGCTTTTGATCAATGCAAACTCAATAAAAATGCAGGCCCAAGACCTTTTGATGGGTTTTGGTATGAGTATATAATCAAAGGGTCAAATGTTAGAATTGTGCGTAAACTTGTGCATAAAGTTGAAACTAAAGTGGTGTATTTTTTAAACGAACTAAATCTCCGTGCTCAATTTAAGATGAGTAAATTCCTTATCGTTCGGTTCCATTATCAAAACAATTTTTGCCTATTGCAGGAGACAGATGGAACATGTTTTTGGCCCTGTATTAGGTGCACATTGAGTTCTCACAGTGGCACAAGTGCCTTGCGGGAGAAATAATAATATAATAATCCTTGCATTTGATTTAGCGCCTTATCACCTCTTCGAGACGTGTTAAAGATTGATTCTGCTGTGTAAGGAGGGAGGAGAGTTGCTCATTGGAAATTCAGAATAGAATTTCCAAGCTTTTCCTTCTCTATAAAGACTTTAATATCTCACCTACATTGTCAAGACTAGGATGTTGCAAATACAGACTTATGTCCTAGTATTACATGTATGGCTATGTTTCACTCACCATATATACAGTCAATTCACTTTACAGTATATTCTGTGAAGCCGTTTGAGAGTCTAGAAGATATAATAAGGCGCTATATCAAAGGCAAGGGTTATTATTTGTTGGAGTACAGACACAGTGCTTTTTCCTCAACACAGCTGACTGAGGATCCATTCTAATTAGATCATATCAACAGAAGTTTCCAATCTTCCTTTATTATATCTTGTTCCTCAAATAATTGTTTCTCTTGTTGATTCTAAACTGTCTACTAACCCTCAAGTTATTAATGAGCTTTGATAATAATAATAATCCTTGCATTTGAATAGCACTTGTCACGCCTTCTCGACGTCTCAAAGCGCTTCACAGAATATATTGTAAAGTGAATTGACTATTAATGCAAATTTCAATCAATTGCATAGCTGTTCTCTTAACTTTTTTTTTAAAAGTCAACATTGTATCCCTTTACAACCAGTTATTTAACAATACATGAACCTGATTATTATGGTTCTTTGAACAATATGACCTATATCCTATGTGTAGTGAGGGTGTGGTTAGTTCCTGGACCAGTACTTTCCTGATAAACCAAACTTTTTACATTGTTGTATACAATAAATAGAATTTATGTCCCTAACTTGAAGGCAAGACATGCTGACCTGCAAGAAGAATTTGAATAAATTCAGTGTTCTTTGACTAACACATGTTTTTGAAAGTCATTGAACCAAATTGATCAAATACAATGCATGTGCCCACATTTAGATATACTGAAGCAAACAGTGCTGCCTCTTTGCTTGTATGGTGCTTAGAAGCGAGTAACCTTTTTAAAAACAAATGGAAACAGTATTCAAGAATACAGAGATAGGTAGCGATTGAAATGTAATGAATATCTCAAGGACGCAATGTCCGTTGATGGATGTGTGGCTTTTTAACAACATAGAAATCTAAAGTTGCAATTCCTTACCGTGTACCATAAATGATAAGCTTGAGGCATATTTTCTTATGCTACAGGGAGCTGAGAAGTGATTGCCAGGACTAGAAGAAATTGGAAGAATGCGTGTGTTGTACCGTTTTCTTGAGTTCAGCAATTCATGTTGGGCTATCAATCCATAGGTACTGGAAACGCTTGATGGAAGTGGCCATTCGTTAAAACTAAAGTGTTCTTGACGGTGAACTCAACCACCATACCTTGTAAGCTGTTCCAGCAGTTAATTGCCCTCCGGGTAAAGAAACTTTTCCTGTTGTGCTGAACTTGCGCTTTGCAACCCTAAACTGGTGTCCTCTTCTGCGGTTTAAAGTCAATTGCAGAATCACAGCCTTCCTAATCTGTATATCTCAATCTACAGTAGAGCACCTGTACTCATGGCAATTATTGGAGATTTGGAGATACAGAACTGTGCCTTGAATAGCTATTTATCTTGGTTCTTGAGCAATTTTCAAAGAATAAGACAGTATTGGCATAGCCTGATTGTTATGCCACTGTATTTTCCTCTCATGTATTGTATTTAAGCGACACATTGTGTAAAATTGATGCTTGATTATTACTCCCTGAGCATTGTTTGGGATAGTTGTAGTTCAATTGAATCAATTGTCATTTACTGCACATTTTTATTTTCTTATGTAGTGCTTGAATTCAACACTAGAGGATGCTCTTAGCAAGTACTGTAATATTTGACCCTTATCTGTTTTATTGTTCAGACTGAACTAAGCTTATTTACATAAGTAAGGAACTACTGAAGTTAGAAACTGGGAAACAAACTAAATGCCTTCAAATACTATAATCTATTTTTAAATTACTGTCTCCTTTACTATTGGAGCTATCCCCTTTGTGTTTTAAATTTGCTTCACCACAAAACATAAACTGCGAAACTACAGCAACAATGAAATATTATACCATTTATTCAAATAATTTGCAAAACTACCATAGACACGTGGGGTAAAATAAACCGACTTGACCCAGTGAACCAAATATCCGCTTGTATTGATTGATTCCATTTGCTCAGAGATTAACCAGTAGAGAATGCTTGTTTAGATTTGCCTTTCTACACAAATCTTTTCCCAGTACAGAACGACCAAACTAGATTTTTCAGTTTGAAAAAGCCGATACAATAATGATTTATTTGTGAGTAAAACTGAACGCCCTCTACAAGCGATTAATGTCTTATTCGGCGAAAAAAAAATGTGCAATCTTTTGTAAAAGTTCAAAGGCTGAGAATAACTAGAAGCTCATTGAAGCAGATCATTTTGTTTGAAATTACAGATGAATCCTGGTCAATACAAAGCGATGTCCTGTTTGGATCAGGACCTCTATGTAATAGGAGTGAGTGACAAAGGAGGCACTGGAATCCAAAGCCTTGATCAGAATGTTGTTGGTCACAGATACAGTATACACATTTAGCTCGATTCCTCCGAGTATTCATCCTTGTGTTAAACTGCTGGCTCAATGGTATGGCTGAACAAATGGCAGGCCACTTTGGACTCTGCAAGTACTTGAGTTAAAAGGATTAAAGTCTGTCGTCTGAGTTGAGGGTAGAGGTCTCACCAAAGCCTAGTCACTGAAGGCAGGCTGTGAATTGAAGACTTGGTGTAATTAGATTACTGTAACGAGAATGAGAGGCTCTGTCTTGGTGGTCCGAAATGTCATAGGCCACTGGGGAATTGTGTTTGTTGGATTTCAGACCGTTTGAATGAATGCAGAGCGAAAATCTGAAAATCCTTTTAATCCAGTTCAATTCCTTGGGGATTTATTTGTCATTAAACAACAATCAAGGGATTGTGGGGGCATCAAACAGTATAATTGCACACAACATATTTTTTTCACATATATCCGTCACGAACCAGATATCTTTAAACCTAACGGAGCAAATGTTGCTTTAAGTTCAGCTGTCCTGAATCACCGCGGTCAAAATAACATTGCTGCAACTTATCGTCTCTCCGACCACCTCCTTTCTCGTTTTGTGGGTTTTTATATCCTGGAAAGGTCATGTGTTCTGTGCTGTTGCTATGCTGCAGAACTGTGAAAGCTTAAACTGTGCGTGGCCCATGCTAAACTAATTTGAGTCAATTTGTCTACATCATTTTAACAATTGTTCAGTGCATTTTGAACCACATATACAAAGTTGCATTGTAAAAACCTACAGAGCAGATGCTGACTGCTCATTCCACTGTGGCCGAGCTGTTGCTAGTCATTCACCATGGTTTCTGTCCTCCCTCGTGGCAATGTTAGCTTTTCTACTGCGGAGTTATATCTGTACCTAGGTGGTGGCAGTCGTCTTGTAGGAAAAAAAGACACAATTTTGCAGAAAACTTTGCAGCAGTCTTAAATCAGCATGACTTTTTATGTAACTCGAGTGAAAGCTAACCGTCGCATTTCAAGATAACTGGAAGTGCAATACGAATTATCTAATATTGTAGCCTCACGGCTGTAAGTAGAAAGTGTAGAATCAGGAACGCCCCCTTATACTCCTCTTTCTGATGCCATGCACATTATTTTAGACCCCAACCAAATGTATGTAAAGTTCGTGTAATGGTTCATTTTTAGACGAATGAACCAACTTTTTACTTTCCAACTACTCCTCTTCCTTTCGTAGCGGTTCTTTTTAACTCGACTATGGTTTCCCAGGTGCCATCCAAAACCTAGTCCAAGTAACTATTATTGGTGTATGAGCTTCGAAACAGTGTCAGTTGGCAGTTTTGACCAGGCTGAGCTGGCTCCAATGGAGCTAACGTACCTGGCAAAGCAATACTGGAATCCACTCAGTGCTCCGAGGCAGACTCGGTCATCCAGTTCCAGAGCCAGGCAGGTTCTCAAGACACTGTTGCCATACCAGTTAGCTTTGCAAATTGGCACGACTTGAAGGGGCAGATCACTCACTGTAAGCCAAGCCACCAATAGTTAGGGTTTCTGCATACGTCGGACACGAGATACGAGTTTACAAAGATAATTTAGCCAACGATTTTAATGAATATTAATCTGCGTCTTACATTATTGCATATAATGCAATGTTGAACCGGCATGAAATTGTGCAGAAGAATGGTTAGTAGTGTTTAACTTTCTAATTGTTTTTTTTAAAAAAAACTTGGTTGTTGATGTTAGGGGGAAGAAAAATCTACCGGTATTCTGCAAAGTTTAAAAGAAAGTTCAGTTCTTATCCTTCCACAGAGTTAACAGCTCTGTATTTTCCTTGTAACTGCTTTACAAAGACTATCACAATTTGCATTTGGAAGGATTTGTTCTGGTAGTGTTTATTGCTCTCTTTTTGGCTCTTTGTTGTTCAAACATTATTCACCCCAGATGGGCCTTTTTTTTCTTGTTTAATTGGATGGGATTGCTTTCCAGTCTTTATTGTTGGGTTCAGTGAGGGTATTAGGGATGGACATGAAACCAGGATCCTGCGGGTTTAACCCCTGGATTCCAATTTTAAATGTTTAACAGGAGAAATTCTGCATGAGTCTAGAATTACTTTTCTGTAGCATTTTTGAGTGCTCAGAATTTGACAAATTCTTTAAATACAACCTTCATTTGAATTTTTTTAGAAAAGTGCTTTAGAAATCCAACTTCAAAGTGAAGATGGCATTCAACAATTTGTCGAATTCTGGACAATCTAATTAAATTTCTCCCATACATGTGTTTTGGGGATATCTGATTCAAACAATTCATCTGCATTTTCCGTTACTTTAACCCAGGAAAGAAGTGCCTGGATAATTGAGATGATCTCGGTCTGGCCTCTATGTCGTCTGGGTAGTGTAAGTCTTAGCAATGCACCCAAGATATAATTAAGATGTTATACCAGAATGTCTGATAAGATGAAGATTTGTGGCCTTGCATAGGTCATCATAATTTGGAATTGAACAACGTTTTCAGATGCTTGCTTTGCCTCTTCCTGCAATGTACTTTTTTTCAATATGGCCACACTTTCTAACTAGGAATGCTAATCTATTGATCGTCTGAAAGGCACAGCAAGGGAATCCGCAAATGAAGCAGAGGTTAGTTGTGACCTGACCTAACCTACTGATATTGAACTGCACAGCACTTGTATTTGGAAATGTAGGTGGCCCGAAGACCAGCTCCTCCTCGGCTTTCTACCAGTGGAGGGCTCTCTTTGCAAAATGTTCCTGTGCGTTAAAATATTCTACAGCATTAAAGCAGGCAAGCACTGTGATTGTGTCACAATGTTAACAAAAATGCTGCTTCAAATGGGTGGGTGGTAGGAGGAAACTAGTTTTCACAGCCATTCATGACTTGTGGTTTAGATTAAGAACTGATGTGGACTTACAGTGGAGGAGGCATGCAGACCAAATTTTAAGATGGCCTTATTTCAGCTGAGACATTTTGACATGAAGGATACAGAAAAGGGCACAAAATTAATAGTGCACAAAGAATTGGGTCCTGAAGTTACCCAAGGAGAGGCTTCAAAAGCTTGAATTGTTCACAGTGTAGAACAGGAGGCTTGTGAAGATCATATTTAAGTAGTCGAGATCCTGAAGGGTTTAGTTAAACTGAATTCTAAATTGGCCACAAACTCTACAAGGGAGACCGATGCTCGCGGGAAAGGAGTGTGAACAGTTCAGATGTAATTGCTACATGATAGGGGTGACTGGATGGAATGGACTACTTTGAGGCAGATTGTCGACGAATTCGACAAAGACGGAATTGGATAGCCACTCCTCCTAGCTGCATGTTCTCTAAACCAGCATTTATTGCAATAAAATAGCCTGACTCTCAAACTACTATTGATAGAGGTAATGTTAGTCAATGTTTTGTTGATACAAATTAGAATTCAGAGCCTAGTGGACCTCACTGGCCCATAAACCTTGACCAATAAACCCTTCAGGCTGGTTCTGCTAAGTAATCCTGCCAACTGAGGAACTAACCTATAAAACAGTGTAAAAAGGAGTTGCATAGGTAGCAATAACTGCTGTTTTCCTAAATTATAGGCTATCCTTGCATATGTATGCAACCATTTCAATGCCCACCGATATCTAAATATAGATAGTGATTTAACAAACGAGCCAAAAGTGAACGCCAACAGTTTGTTTTCATAATCCGAAGAAGTACTATTACTATTTCTGATGGCTGATTACTTGTAATGCTCAATTATTAAACTAAGCACTAATTCGTGTGGTACTTCAACACATCCTGAAGAGAGGGAAATGATCATGCTGCTGGCTTGTATAGTTTTTATGCAGTTAGATTTTTATTCCGTCTCTTCATAATGTATGGTTGACACGAACAAAATACTTTGGACATCAGAAGCACCCATTTTACCAGATTTAAGATGCATAAAACGAGATTAAAACGCCGGTTAATTATTTTGGTTACTGATGCTAGAGTTAATGCAGTTCAGGCTTTGTGGCAATTTCCAAACATTTTCTGGAGGTTCTTTGTTGCCGTTCTTGGCTGCTGTATCTTTTATTCTGTGGCTAATTTTGCTCATTTCTCTTGTAAGCTGTCTAGAAGCAGAGAAAGGCTTTGGGTCTGGTAATGCCCCTCAGTCTGCCTTTATTGAATTCCACCTCCACTTTTCAAATGGAAGCATAATTTATCTTAGTTTTTTAGAACGGCAATGGATGCCTTCAAGGGACCGCTCCTTTCTTTCCCAGCTGCATTTGTTGACATGCAGTCAATCTGTATTTTTTTCCTCCCACTCTCTCTCCTCTTCCCTCCCTCCCCCCACCTCCTCTTCTCTCCCGCAAGAGGCAATAAAGCATCTACAGCTGTGGTCTTTTATTAGCATAGCCATTCTGAATAAAAATAGTCGGGAGACTAAATATATTACCCCCATTACCTTTGTCAAAAGGTGACAGTTTTAAAACAATTTAGCTTTTCACACGGAAAGCAAATTGAACAGCGAAAAGCACTATAATTTAATTATAAATACTTTTAAATAGGAGTCAGTTGTTTTTTTCAAAGAAAATCTGAAATGCAGTAGAAAAGTTTTGAGCCGTGGAAAACGCCCTTTTTGGTAAAGAAAAAGAAAGTAACGTTTTAAATTTAATGTGGTTAAAACTTTTGAGAAAAGTCCAGGAATCTCTCATGAGTTACTGTATTTATGTCTCACTGGGTTTGCTTTGTCTTAACTGGAAGGTTTTATGGATTAAGGCAGACACATGGGGTGATGTGATGTGACTGGACAATTGTACTGAACTCTTCAGTAAATTTTGGTTAACATACCACGTGATACTTGATTTGTACAGAAGTGTTTTTATTAAAGACATTGGCACTACCAGTTTCATTTTGAATGTGGATTTTTGTTCAGATTAGGTTTATCCATAAATAGTTTCTTTCCCCCGCCCCCCCCTCCCCTCAATACAGTACCACCAAAAATAATCTTTTTTTCTTGAATGTTTTTTTTCTTCAAATACTGTGGACAAAATGTTTATCTGGTACAAAGGTCAATCCACTTTCCAGGATATCCTGTTAAGCGTTTTGAGACGTCTCGATGACATGATCAGGCGCTATATCAAATGCATCAATTATTAAACTCAATCCAAATTCACTTCTGGCTGCCTGAACGTCACTATATGTCCCAAAGAATATTTGGTCAACTCTTTCTCGTCTTTCTAATCTTCAGCATAGTTCCCAACGAAATATTGCAGTCATCTTGCAGTTATTTTTGAAGGAGTTGGTGAACATGTTCTTTTAGCTTTGTGCTCTACCATGTAATTAGAATTTCAGCTATATATCTTAGTCTCTCATCATTTTACAATAATCTCAATAAATTTTTCAGTGAAACCATGGTTCTCTTCATAAGTTAGAATTCTGTTCTGTTTTTCTGAAACTTCTCCAATCATTATTTTCAAATGGCATCCTGTAAGCTGGAAACGGATGAAAAATAATTATACCCAAATGCTTTAAATAGATCTGTTACAAATAGCATTTGAGATGTATTTTTGCATGCATCTCCATTAACATTTTCATTGGATTGGCACAGACCTTCTTGAATGCTAACAACAAATCGTATATTACAAGAGATACTCTGAAATAGGCAGCTTTCTGTTTCCAAGCAATTTGTAGTTAAGTACATGTTAAGTCACCTCCTTCAACTTTTTCCTTGTGGAATTTTTGTCAAGGTCTGAAAATACAAATGAAAGAGTTTTTGCCCACTAGTTCAGTTACCTCCTCAATTTCGGTCAATCTATGTGTTGTATTTGTTTGCCACACTGAAAGTGAATCTTCTAGATTTACATTTAATGATTCACAGAAACAAGAATAATTAGAAAATGCGAAATTAATATTGCTATCTAGTAGATTATCATTGTTTAAGCTTCCTACATATATAATAATCCTTGCATTTGATATAGCGCCTTATGAAGTCTCAAAGCACTTCACAGAATATACTGTAAAGTGAATTGACTGTGTTTTGTGGGCGAAAGGTGGCAGCCAAATATATTATGTAAAATGACAATAAACATTTTCTCCCTTTTTAGGATTAAGATTACAATCATCAGAACAGATTTAAAGATATTCTGAAACAGTTTCTATATGAGTTCAACAGGCATCTCCTCTTTATCGGCCAAGCGAAAGGGAGAAGGCGTCGGAATGGGAGCTGATCTTGGGAAGAGCCAGAGTAGCAGCCAAGGCACTAGCATTGGCAAAGAAGAGTATAGGCGAATACCAACAGATCGGGCTGACCTGATCTTAGCAAAGAACATCAGTCAGCTAGCAGTCAATGAAAAACCAACTGCAATTAGGTACTGTATTCTAATTAACCTTTTAAGTTTTGATCATTGGAGCCTCACCCCTATTTTAGTCTGAAAATTCAGCTCATTGCAGGGGGTAATAATTCCTTCAAAATAAATGTTAAAAAATTTTTTTTGGTAACTCAATCCATGACTGTTTGTGGGACGCTGCTGTGTGCAAATGGCTGCAGCGTTTTGCCCACAAAATATAGTCAATTCCCTTTACAACACATCCTGTGAAGCACTTTGAGACGTCTCGAAGACCTGATAAGGCACTAAAGCAAATGCAAGGATTATTATTATTATTATTATTTCTTTATCACATTTTTTGTAGCAAAGGAAACTCTAGGAAGACCACCCTAGTTCCTCCAAAGTGTCTCCAGGATGCTAAAGCATCGAATGCTCGAGGCAAGCTAACAAAACTCCAGGATGTTGCTGCGCTAATCAGGAATCGTCATTGCAGAAACATTGTTGTGATGGCGGGAGCAGGTATAAGCACTGCCAGTGGAATCCCAGATTTCAGGTGAATAAGGAATAAAGTACACAATATTTTATCTATAGAAAGTATAGGTTTACAGACCAGTTTCAATGGTCCTGATAGTCCTTTAAAGCAAATAATAATTAAAACCTTTGTTTTAAATTTGTGGCACAAGCTAATAAAATTTATAAAAGAAAACTGAGTTGTATTGCTGTGTCTAGTCTTGATTATTTATTCCCCATGTTACAGCTACTTTCGTACAGTAGATGCTGGAATTTTTAATTACCGCAAATCACTCTTAGTGCAGTTATTTTTAATAGTGTTTCATTCAGTCATTCCTATCACTTTTGAGGCTCAGTCCAAATCAGTATTTCAATCAGGAGGAGAAGGTTCACTTGGGTAGTCAAACTGATTAATGATTTACTTGTTAAAGATATGTGAAGTCTGGCCTGTGAATGTTTGAACTGTTAAACACGCTTGTTAAAATGCAGATTTTATTGTGAGCTCTATGTCAAGTACCACAGTAGGGGCCCCAAATTCTCCAGGCAAAGCGATGAAACTTTTTACCATGTTTTTTTTCCTCTCTCACCCAAAACAGGACGCCAGGCACAGGCTTGTATGATAACTTAGAGGAGTACAATGTTCCCTATCCTGAGGCGATATTTGATGAGAGCTACTTTGTTCATAATCCACTCCCATTCTTCTCTCTGGCTAAGAAACTGTACACTGAAAATTACAAACCTAACTACATCCACTACTTTCTGCGAATGCTACATGAAAAGGGACTCTTGCTGAGATTATACACACAGAATATTGATGGATTGGAAAGAAGTAAGAAGCCTTTTATTTGTTAAGAAATTATTTTTAATTGTATACACAAATTGTTGGTAAGTAATTTTCTCCAAATTCAATTGTTTGCTTGCGTACTTGGGCATAAATAAATGATCGTTATTTATTTTTCCAAAGTATGAAAATTATTTTTTTTAAAAATATAACAAATTTCAAAAGGGAACTTTGTTTATAGAGAAAAAAAATTCTGTACTAATCAACCAGTGAAACCAAAATGGGGGCAATTTTTACTTCCTCAGAAAATCCCTCAGATGCATTTATTTATATAGCGTTCCTTGCGCATAGTAGCATCCCAGAGAGCTTGACAGTGGGAGGGGGGGGCACAACGCCAAGCAGGGGGGAGGTGACCGTAGGCACAGTTGAAGATAAAGGTCTTCGGGCACGACCTGCAGATGAGGGAGGAAGGGGGCAAGGTGGAGGGATAGAGGAAGAGTGTTCCAGAGTTTCGGGGTGTAATGGCTCAAAACGTAGCCACCGCTGGAGAAGTAACTTTGCAGAGGTAATCTTTCAGGCTCAGTCAATGAACCAACGAACCCTTACTTATTCGAGGCCACTTTGGTTCAAGTCCCCTGAATGGTTGCTGAAGACAGGTTTGACTGGACTCTTGGTTGAGAAAACTGGAACATTAAACATCAGCAAGACCTGAACGTTATCGAATCATTTTAGTCTTACCCAAAGCGAATCCCTAGGGTAGTTTAACTGCAGGGACTTCAGCCATTGACCCTTTATGAAAAGAATTTATTTAAACTTCAGGGTTGTTTTATTTTAGCATCCTAAGTGATTCAGAACTGAAAGGCAGTGGAAGTAACTATAATCAACCTGGACATTTTCTTACAGTGGCTGGGATCCCTTCAATAAAAATGGTCGAAGCTCATGGCACATTTTTAACTGCATCTTGTTCTTCCTGTCGTTCCCCCTATCCAGCAAGTAAAGCAAAGGTAAAAGCAGAGACATTGAAGCTAATGTATTGTATCGTGGGCTGTGGTGGAAATTGCATTTTTATCAATTCAGTTACAAAAAAGGTAGCAGCCAGGAGCACAAATACATGCAGAGAGTTTCTACTTTCCAGCCTGGGACTGTGCGAGATAGGATGAAGAGTGTGCAGATTATTTGTGGTGCATTAATTTAAATTGCTGCAATTATTTTAAGTCCCCTGTTAAATTTAATTTGCAATGAGATGTCACTCCCCAACTATAGCTGTTGAAAGTTAATTGTGCATCATTTGTAGGACATGTATAAGCAAATTGTGGGGTTCAAGGATGTGGATTCAAACCCTAAATCAGGCCTTTAGTTCCGAGCTCAGGATGACATTCCAGTGCAAAACTGGGGAAAATACTGCATTGTCAGAAGTCAAAACTGGGAAAAAATTGCATTTGTCCGTTGGATTAAAATGTTAAACCAAGGTCCTGCCTGTTTAGTTAGATGGTAAAGATCCCATGACAGTACTTGAAAGAGGATGACTGTTATTAGTTGGCAAAACCATTATTTTCCCCCTTCAGTGTGGGTGGAAGAGACTAAATCTTACCCCTTTAATATGGAGCAAATTTGTCAGTCTTCTAGATTCATTAGAAACTAGAAAAATTCTCTCGCGGGTGTGAAAATTAGCCACTGGGACAGAATGCAAGACTAACTGTCAATCACTGAGTAGTATGGTTCTGTTGACTCCCTAGTATAGGGGAAAGAAAAGTTGTATTGTCTTGTCATGAGTTGTGGGTGGGGAGGAGACTATTAATCTTTCTGCATTATATTCTACCCCCTCCTCGCTCCCTCCCTTCCCTCCCCCTGACCATTTCCCCCCTGCTCGGGTCCTGACCCAACTGTCCAGCGCCTTGGGACGTCCTCCCGACGTGAAAGGCGCTCTATAAATGAAATCTTGTTGTTGTTGTTGTATTTTGTATTAAAAATGTAAATGAAAACGTAACTGGTTATCTGTAGTAATTAACATGACTGAATTGAATAGCTCTAGCTCAAATACCCATATGTGCATGTATCAAACCAAATGACATGCTTGGTTGACCCATCAGCTGTAATATTCTCTGTTCTAGGCTGAAATTTTAAGTGACAAAATACCAAAATGCAAACGCTGCACTGGGATTGTGAAACCAGATATTGTATTTTTTGGTGAAGATCTTCCTAAAAGATTCCACTCATTGTACAGAAAGGATTTTTACAAGAGTGACCTACTTATTGTAATGGGAACATCTCTGGAGGTAAACGTTCTCGTCACCATAATGTTTATTCTAACGTTATAATTAAACTTTGTCGAAAGTACTCCAGAAAGTGGAAGTGCAATACTAATGCAATTAGAACTGGAAAGGATTATGATTGTTGAGTGGATATCTAATAATCTAATTTTAGCTGTTTTTTTCTGGGGGCTGCAGATTGAACCCTTTGCTGGGATTGTGAATTCAGTTCAACCTAATGTTCCTCGACTTCTCCTCAACCGGGATCCCGTTGGCCCATTTCAGGGAAAGTGTTTGAAGAAAACTGATGTCCGAGCACTTGGTGATCTGACTAAGAGTATCCAGTTGTTTGTGGACATGGTCGGGTGGAAGAATGACCTGGATGAACTAATCCAGGTATGGGTCAGCTATTGAGAATTGCTCAGTATATTGCCCTTGTAACCTTACTCTGTTATTGATCACTTTCCTTCCCACTCCAGGTTTCCCTCCCAAATATCCCTGAAAAAGGTTTGTGGGGTTTATATTTTTTTAACGTATCTGGATTTGCTAAGTTTTTCAGATGGTCATCATGGAAAGAATAACTCCTTTTTTTTGTGTGGGGATTAAGTACAGATTGAGTACAACACTAAGATCTGCAATTGGTCTTGTACTTAGAATAAGGATTTTTTTTAGGATGGCAAATTAATGAGGTCAGTTGCCGGAGTGCAGAAAATATTAGCCACCATTGCAAGATATACCTGATAGATTTGCTACCATTGAGAGGTTTGGGTACAACCACTATGATTTAATCAATCTAAATACTTTACAATTTCACTTGTGTTTTATACAGCAGGAAAGAGCACTTTCTTTAAAGGACCAAGTAAGCCTGGAATCCAACACTGAAATAGACTCTGACACTTTGAAGATGTCGCCTTCTGGCAATGAGGTACCAGTCTGTAGCTGAGTTTGCTCTATCAGCAGAAAACAGTACCCAGTAAAACAGCAACAAACATGAGAGCAGCAAGGACGAGAGCTCATCTGCATCATTAATCCAAACTAAGGAATTAGCTGAATTGTGTGTAAAGGTTTTAGAATGACGTGCAATATTTCAATAAAAGCAGTTAATTCTTAAATGACAATCGTTCAACTGCATATTCTGAATAAAAGCAAAGAACAATTCTTCAATAGATTGTGTGTCTGGAGATTAATGTACATCATAACCATATTGGTTCAGTGTAATTTATAAATTATATGTTGAATGTATGTCCAATAGTTTTAGGCTGGTTTTATTTCTGAATGGTAAAATCTTTGCACATTTTAAGATATGTATTTTTATTACTTAAGTATGGAAACTGGATACTAATTAATCTGTATGGACAGATTAAAATCTGTCCCAGTCTGTTCAGCATTAATGCCTAAAATCTGAGGTTTGAATCTAATATGTCAATTAGTTGAGACTGTAGTATTTTATCATTTGTCATGATTTATGTATTAACTTAATAAACTTGTTAATTCAATGTTCCTAAATGAATACTTTTTGTATAATGTTCTGAACAGTCATTGCTGAGTGATTAACTACCTCATTATAAAAAGGTTCATGATGTGCTGATCAGCTTGGGTTTGGCCTTAACAGTGACTTCCTCTAGTTAAGTGCTGGTGATCAATAACCAAAGTACCCACTGAGCCTACGCAAGCTACATTTATGTACAGTGGTCACTTCAAAAATAGGTAGTGACTTATGATAATTGCCCCATACCTTAAGTTCTTTTCAAAACTATAGAATGGGTGGGAATCATCTGCAGTCAATAGAATGCACTAGCCTGGAAAAAGCCAGTCCAGCCGATCGAGCCTAATTCAGTTTCTAAAATACTCCTGTCCCCCAAACAGCTACACATTTATCAAATTGTATTAACTTGGCACCATTCCTCCTTGGCTAACTTCATATTGGAACTCAGTGAGCAGAGCAAGATCTTTAATTGATGAACTGTGGAACCAAGAACATTTTGCAGCTGCTGTTACCCAATAGTTAAGATTTTATGTTCACCAAAACAATATTTTCTTCATGCAACAGAAAAAAAAATCCAATTAAACATCAATGAACAGCAGCTAGCAACTTTCATTCATTATTACATTTTACAAACATCGATTTTCTTTGTTTTACAATTAGAATATACACTTGCTGGATAGGATTTGAATAGCACCGATTATGAGTTTGGTGCTATTCACTGAAAAAAAATCCATGTTTAGGTGGGATTCATGGAACTCTGGTTTGGAATATTCAAGCATGGTGAACATAATATAATAATCCTTGCATTTGATATAGCGCTTTTCGACATCTCAAAGCGCTTCACAGAAGACTGTAAAGCGAATTGACCATATATTGTGGGCAAAACGCAGCAGCCAATTGCGCACAGCATTGTCCCACAAACAGTCGTGTATTGAAAATGACCAATTTATTATTGTTTTTGTTTTTTTGGAGGGATTATTATTAGAGTGTGGAGTACGGAAACTAAGTGAAAACGTCGAAATGAACTCAATCCAACCAGGATCAAGTGGTTAATTTTTGATTTTTATAGATATTTTTTAGTTGTCAATATTCAACATACCATCATAACTCTTCAAAGGATAAACAGTGGATCCAAAAAAATCAGTACCTACTAGGATTTGTTTCAACCTATCTGGATATCTTTTCTTTTATAAAAAAAATCAATTTCCTAGAATCTAGATGCAACAGTTGCAAATGACTTGGAATAAAACAAGTCACCGCGCTCATCGATTAAAATTGTGGCCATTGAGTAAGTGCTATTCCCTTTCTATAACTACTTAACCATTCAATTTAGCCAGGAATGTATGGCAAAATCTCTTATTTTAAACAATACACTGGATCTGAAAATGCAGGAATAGCTTGCCATTTGACTTACTGACAATCAAAATATTCATCTGAAATATAAAAACTAAAGTGCTTATTAAATTGAACAGCAACAGTAATTTGATCATTTCAAATCAAAAATGATAAATTTACAAAAAACAAGGCTTTAAGTTACCTTTGTATTCTAGTTACAGATTACTACAATCAATTTGAACTTTAATAATCTAGATCAAGGCTTTTTGGTATCTGAACATGCAATCTGTGATAAAGATTTAAATACAAAACTGGCAATGATTCTTTACACAGAGAGGCACCTTCTGAGGAGTTGTTAAATTCTCTTAGGAATCTCATGGTTATTGTAGTTCTAAGCACATTCACTGAACTAGAGCAAAAAAAGCTTCAATACAACTTTAATTATATCAGTCACCTGGGACAAATTGACCAATTGCCCAGTCAGCACATTGCTCCTAATGACAAAGCACCACTGACAATTTGCTGTAAACTGTAAATTGCAAGAAGCAGTGCCAGTTCCTGGACACAATGCACAGGAAGTGATGTTCAAGGTATTTTCCTGACAGTAGCTTGGCCAGTTTTCCAGTACAATATAGGAAACCAGTTAGTTGGTGCCAGAAACTGGATGTACTGCACATTAGGGTCTGGTTCACAGGGACACCGCACTATGGGTGAAACTGAACTATATTGGGGTAAGTTATAACTGGGTCACTGTGTATGGGGCAAGGGGATATGTCAAAAGAAACTTCTAGAATGACTCTAGAAACTTCTAGATTGTCGAGTTTTTTTTTAAAAAAGGAAAAAATTATGTCAATACCAAATTGAATTTGGGGGGATTGAAACAAATTACTAAGAGAAAGTTTTACGAACCATGAAGTTGTGCCCATCTGTGTGATAAAAGCACCAAAGCTGCCTACACTCTGGCTAAAAACACAATCTTGTTCACCACATTCCCTTGCTAACACTTGTGTTTACCAACTCAAAGCTGAGACCTTAGCTCCTTTGTATAATCTACAATTTTAACTCCCATTTACTATTCCTCAGTGTGCTTCAACCACAAATACAGAATTGAACCTCTACTTCAGCACTGACGTTTTCTCCCTTTGGGTAAGAAATACATTAACAGTAAATTTAGAATTGAATGCATAATGGCTTGGAACCAGATTGAGACGTGCTAATATTCGTTTCACATAGAACCTATACAGACAGATGCACAAGAGATGTGCTTTTTCTCCATTTGTCTCGTTGTGATTCAAAGCTAAGTTACAAAGGTGAAAGCCCAGTCCATCACCCAACTGGTCCCTTACCTTAGCTTTCAATATGTAATTCAATTCAAATTATTTAATTTCCCCAGACAGATAGTACCTAGCCTTTGTTCGGTGCTTTCTCCACTTTGTACAGATCAAGCTCACAAACCAATTGATAATATGCATTAATATGCTGCTCTCTGTACAGATTTTGAAATTAAATTTCATCAAATTCTAACCCTGTTGTTCACCTTCCTTTTCATAAAGCAGTTTGCTTCAGAAAAGGTTGCTTTTGTACAAGGTAAATGCTGTGGTAAACTTGTGAAAGCAAAACTACATTAATGGCAATGTATACCAATACTCTCACAATTAATAAGGTCATTATGTGAAACATTACTTTGCCAGCTGAAGAATTGGATTCTGTATTAATCTTGGGATTGGTTTCATCATGCTGATAAAATTAAATGTACTAGGGGAAGCAGCTGAAGTTTCTATAATATCACAACAAAAAGGCTGCAGTATAAATTCTGAAACACAGCACAGTTTCCCAGGGGTCTAAACATAGTTTGCAAATCCTAGAGAACTTTCTGTTCTGCACTTAAAGGGAAACATCCCATAATGTATTATCTGCCTATCCTCCTACCCCACCAAGCTCTGGTTTCAGTTGCTTCAGGATAATTTGAGAATACCTAAACCATTAATTTCAGATTTTCAGCAATTTTTTCAAGTGACAGCATAAAGTACCACAAAGTGGGATTGTGAGGAGGTCAATACAAAAATTAGAAAATGCAAGCCCTCATTTTTTTTGCATAGCTAACAAACTAGTGTACTAATATCTTCATTTCAAGCTGGAAATGTTTTGGTGAATACACCTTGTAGTGGTACAACAGAAAAGAAGGGTATGGTTGCTATAGGTTCCTGAAGATGTTCAGTTGGAAGACGAGGCATTTTAGTCTGAATCTGAAGAGGAATTGTGATCGCTGGTGTAGTCATTAACTGCTTCTTCCAGGGGACCCATTGTGCCATCTGGCTTTACTCTCATTGGCTTAATTATCTGCTCCCTGAAAAATAAGACAAAGAATTTTCCATTAAAGTAAGACTAAAACAGCAGCTCTCAGTTTACTACTTAGTAAAAGCTTCAGACTGAATCATGGTTTGCTCTTTCCTTGGCTTCTTTTCAAAGAATCCCACTAAATGCACTAAGCCAATTAAAGGCTAATAGCAAAGTCAAATCCTAACGAACCCAGAACCGGATGCAGGGACATTGTTTCATACAATACCTTTCTCTTTCCTCTATACCTTTGCTTTTACAGAATTGCAGCCATAGTGTTTCCTACCCTTGTACATGCAAGCAATCCTATTAAATCTGTTATGGCAAGTATGTTTATTTCATTTGAGTAAATAAAGCTATCATCCTCCAAAATGCACTCTGTCAACCCTAGTGCTTTTCAAGCACTTGTTTGCTCAGTCTTCTGGTTAGCTCTGTCTCCCGCTGTCATTGTTTGGAAGAGTTTAATTATAAAATTGTCAGTCAATCTAATCTCTTCAAAGAGTTTTTTCTGCTTCTTCAAAACTAATCCAATTACATCTACCTTGTGATCTGCTGTGATGTAAAAATGATTGCCCAATCAAAAGAATTAGGTACGTTTTACACATCAATCAACTTCAACTTATATTATTTCAGTGATAAATCTTAAAACAAGATAACAGGACTATTTACAGGCTAAGTAAATAATCATCAATTTGCTGAAACTCATATTCACACTCGTATTGCATTTCATACACTCTACACTTAAAAAGCACTAATCATTCATTCTCTTCCCTAAACACTTCCACAAATAATACACCAAACATAATAGATCCAGGAGGTTCTGAATTCAATGGATAATATAATTCAATAACTTAGATTGGACTGCAGCATGAACCCTTACAATTGTTTCTGGATTTACAGACATATTAGAAGAAACTATCTTTAAGACAGATGCTGCAGTCAATCATATGCTGGCTAATGTTAAGGAGGGATCGCAGGCAGGAAGGAAGGAAATTTAATACAGAAAAGTGAGGATTATTTGAGAGAGGATGGTGGTGGGGCATAGCATGGTTAGGAGATTTTTTTAAAAAAATTGTCAAAGTTCTGTTATTTTACTCAAGAGAAACAGATCCGTTTAAGAGTGCCCGTTTTTGTAATATAAGAGACATTTACTTCTTTAAGGCCGGCTCATAAAATGTTGCTGCTCTTGGCATCTGAATAGGAGAACGAGTTATTTGTGGATTACATAGAACTCATTTTCCTTTTTTATTTTTAATGTATTTTCTTAACATTTCACTTGTAGTGTGTTCTTCATGTAGTAATAATAATAATAATCCTTGCATTCGATATAGCGCTTTTCACGTCGGGAGGACGTCCCAAAGCGCTTCACAAAACACACTGTAAAGTGAATTGACTGTATATTTGTGGGCGAACGCGGCAGCCAATTGCGCACAGCAATGTCCCACAAACAGTCGTAGATTGAAAACCATGTGCCAATATACAGAATATAATGTCAGCCTGAAGCCTAACATGTACAGACTTAAGAAACCATGACAAAACTGCACAAAATGAAGATCTATATTTTGTTGCTTCAGAGCTGCCAGCCATCTCTTTCCAATTTGATTTGTGCTTGGAATTATGCATGTTAAATAAAATCTCATCTCGAAGTGCTCCTTCGATGAAAAAGGCCTGAATTAAGGAGTTGGCAGCTTGCATTCCTGACTGCAGCTGCAGGTCTCCCAAGAGCTCTTCATAATTCACCAACACAGGTTTCAGCTTCATGCGGTCATTTAGCCTAATGGTGACTGAGTCACTCCATTCAAAAGGACTTGCTTTTCTGACCTGCTGTGTGTGTATGTGGGTATTGACACCTGGAATTAATTACTCTCTGCCCCCACCAACTTGAATTAGGAGCCTCACCCTTGGGTAAAATGATTCAGCTTCGGAAAATTGTATTCATCTTTTTCGAATGGAGTAGCACATCATATTTCAGATCTTTTCATGAGGCATCGTTTTGAAGAAAGAAAAAACTCAAAGCAGCACTTTAACGATCGGTTAATTAATTCAGTGGATTCTAATGAGAGCAGTCAGCATTAGGGCAGGGTCTGCTGCATTCATAATGCTTTAACTTTTGTTCAGTTTCCTGCCTACACTAGGCTTAAATAATTGGCTCACATTAATTTGCAGAGATTCTTGGCTGGTGGAAATGGTTGGTAAGGTAAATGTTTGTTAGCTTAACGTGTCAAGAGGTACTACATTACCTGATCTTTTTAAACACTAAACAATTAAAAGCAGAAGAATAAGCAGTTTATATTGAGTAGTAAATATTTAAATAGAGAAGAATAAGCAGTTTACATTTGAGTAGTTTTTCTTTTTATATTTACAGCTTGACTTTCACACATTTAACAGATTCTTAATTCAGTGATCCCTCTACCCTACTATACAACCGCAAAAACATTTTACTTTAGAGAATCTTTCCAATCAACGCTCTTGAGAAAGATAGCAGCCAACTTATAAACACCGATTAAGATAATTTCAATGTAAATTTACATGGTGTTATTTTACATAAATGGCGAGTTTGATTTTTTTACTGATTATCTGCAGTCTTGTTACATAATTAAGATATTTTAGCAGTTTGGTATTATTTTAAATTAACATAAGCCTACAAACAAGAACTTGCAATTTATATAGCGCCCTTCATACAGGCTAGCAATAATTGAATTGACATTCACTAAAGCAAAATCACTGAGTGCACCCACTTGGATTTAAATGAATTCATTATTTACTAAGGGGATTCAAAAGACATACACAACATAAGTCGAAATAACAAACAAGAAGAAAAGTCTGGGATGATATTAGCAAGTCATATTCTTGAGACAGTAATAATGAAATCTGGTGATTTCAGGACAGGTCAATAATCACAACATTAATGTATTTGTTACCTGGAAAGCTTGTCAAACATATTGACAAGTTTCATTGCTTCGTATTCTTTCTGTTCCTCTGTCATTCCATCCATTGGATTGGGCATTGGCTCTTCAACACGTCCCGTGATTGGGTTAATACTGAAAATGAAAAAAAAGCCATCTATCCACAAACTGCACACTCCACTCAGAAATACACAAACTTAGATTACATGAAAATGGCTCCAAATAAACATGAAATGCCAAAATGTTTAACCTGAAACAATTATAACTAAAGGAATGACCACAGTTGTCATAGCTCTCATAACTCTTACCTTTCCTAACACTCAAATAGGTTAGGATTTCAATTTTATTTAAAACTTAAAAAAATTTTTTGTAATTCTATAACAAAAAAAATTGACTATTACCATCTCACAACTTCTATGAATTGACTAACAGAGACATGGGGCTTAACAATGTAAACAACAAACTAGCTATTCTTTGAAAGTTGATCTCTGCAATAAAACATATACATAACACAGCTCCCTTCGCCTTCAGAAAAATATTTTAATAATTAATCTATTTGGAAACTAGATACAGCACTTACAAAGATTTTACACTTTTGTACTCTTCAGTATCAGTGTCTTCATCATCAGAGTATTGACCTTCTCCTCTCCCTCCTGCCAGCAAGCCATGGGCAGCAAGCAGCCCTGCAGCATTGCCATAACCTGTGTACTTTAACAAGCTGTCAACTAAAACAGGGAAGCATCTGTCAGCAGGTTACAAGTCTTACTGGAAAGCATTTTCAGGTACTTCTTGGAAAATGGATGCACACAAGAGATATGAGTAAGCAACGTTTAAATCGTGTTTATCTATTGGCAGTGAAGTCACTGGTTACAAAACAATGACATTAATGAGTGTGCATTATTAACAATCTAAAGTTTATTTGTAGTCCCCCACAGTTACACTATAGTTAAATTATTGATATCCAAAATATCTGGTGTTTTCCGCCAACACTTGCCAGCTAGCGACACCGAACCGGTGGGTACGGTCGAAGAGGAAGGTCTTCAGGCGCGACCTGAAGATGTGGAAGAAAGGAGCAAGGCGGAGGAATAGAGGAAGAGTGTTCCAGATTCCAAACTATGGAATAAGCACTGCATTAGTCTGGTGAAAGTGCAGGGAGAACCATGCTAGGTTTCAACTGCTACACCGATACTCACCATTCTCTTTGCATAACACAAAAAGGAACTCTGCTGCTGTATGCTTCACTCCAGTATCAATGTTGGTCATAAGACGTACTAACTTATTTCGAACTGTAGTGCCAACTTCAGGTCTATTTGTTACATCTTTTAAAGGAGGCAGCACCTGTTAATAAAAAAAACCACCAACTCAAACATACGACTCTTTCACCAACAAATATGAGATGAGTACCCAATTCATCTGAATTTGGGGAGGAATTTGACCATAAGAGGGATATAAGCTAAACTAACCTGAAGAAAAACTGCACTTTTCTTTGAACTAGTGTCTACCTGAATCATTAAGCTGATGGAACCTAAGTTAATTTTCACCTCCCACTAGTCATCTGGCTTTCCAAAGCCCTGCCAGAACCAGTTAACTGTTTGCAAATTGGTTCACAGGCACAGTGGACGGTGGGTGTGGGGGTATAAAATTAAAAAAATAGGTTAAAGAAACACTGCTTTCATTTTGATGTTGACTGAAGTCCTTACCCTTGAACGGATGTACTTCCTCATATCTGCGTGACATCTGGAACATTCTGTCATCAGGCTTAAAACTGGAGTCACCCCTTCTCTTAAATTGGAACTCTAAAAAATTCAAAAAGATGTGAATGAGCACATAGAGATCACAAGTTGAAGATGAACTTATTCATTTCACTGTATCTCGTCACTTTTAGTACAACATTCAGGACAGCCACTAGCCAATTTCTTCTCCTTATGCCACTTGCTGAAAATGATGTAGTCACTCAAATAGAAAACAACCGTTTATTTCACAAAACTAAAGCTGTAGCTGAGGGAATAGAATGCAAAAGCGGCATTAACAAATTCAGCAAAGTTTGCTTACGTAACCCTCCAACCAACTATGAAAAACAACCTGAATCTCTTCAATAATTATACAACATTTGGGACGTCCTCCCGACGTGAAAAGCGCTATATCAAATGCAAGGATTATTATTATTATTATTAACATAATTGTGAAATTCGGGTACAGTACAAAGTACTTGTGAATACTTGTGATGCTAATCTCCGTCTACAATGAAGCAACATTAAGTGGAGTAACACATTACATCAAACTCGTCCCAGTATGTAAAAATAAGACAATAGCAAGCTTCCAATTTGTCTCTCTCTGCAGCAATGAGATATTAATTAGAAATCACAGTAGACAAACTCCATAACCAGCAACAAACCACCAGTTCTCAGAAGAAAACTCTCAGATGCAATATTGTATTTTAACAAGACAACAACAACAAAGTACATTTGTATAGCGCCTTTCACGTTGGGAGGATTCCCCAAATGCTGAATAACATATGTGAAAACGCCAGACTCTGCCTACTGGAAGTAGAAATTAACCCCACAAATTACTACTGTGATTCAAAAGATTGGCTGTTAAACATTTTGTAAATTTGTAGAGTGAAAGTTTGGTTAGCCCTAGATTACTTGTTAAGGATCACTTCATCCATTGGGCCTGAACTCAAACTCAATTGCCCTTCCTCCCACTGTACAAGTTTGACATTGAGCTGCACTGAATGTATAAATAAATAAGCTTATTTTTTCTCCTTTCAAAAAAATTAAATGAATGCAGCAGGTAAAGAGCTTACCCGGTCTATTCTCTTTTCCATGAAACCTAACAAAACTTCAACGGCATCCATTTTCTTCCCATTGTAACTGACTATTCCATTTTGTATGTTGGGGCTGAAGAGGACATCCTGGCATGTCACTGGAATGTTGTTCAAAAGATTGATTGTGTGGCTAAAGAAAGAGAGATGAAATAAGTGTATGCGGCTCATTGAAACATCGATCCAAGAAGACTTAAAACAGACATTTATAGTTCATGTATTATCCAAACAAGTTTGCATATTCATGCAGCTCATCATAGGAAAATGTGAGGAAAAGAACATCAACAAACTACTGTAGCTTTGTACACTTCAAAGTTTTTTGCTGTGACTTCATCACACAAACTTATATTAAAAGAATTACCCACAAAAAATCTTCAGTACAAACTTAGCTCCTCCCACCTATATATAACATTTTACCAGACGATTTTGAAATCGGGTTTTACTAATATTTCCTGAATATTAATTTACCCCATGATACTGCTACAATTCTCTTTCATAGCAATCATCTCAACTCCAAAGAGCAAATTAAATTTACAGTAGTGTCTAGTTTAAACTCAACAGAAGAGATAAACATCTTCTTGGGCTTAAACTAAGGATCTCCTGTAATATTCCTATATTGAATAGCTATTTGGGAAAGAAAATCAAGTGACCTGTAGATAGAGCAATGTATAAACTGGTGTGGCAAACTTGAATCCCACACTGACAACGGAGTCGATTTCCGAGATTAGGAATTACGATTACCCAGTTGCTTAGGGAATAATCTGTAGAAACTAATAAACTATCTACAATTGGGAACACTTGTTGCACAATTCATATGCAGTATATGTGTATATATATGTGTGTATATATATATTATATATACATACAAAATATATATAGGGAATGGTAAAATTATTACAAAATAAAATCCAGACAACATTGGGGACATGTCACACATGCCTAACTTATGTTTGGCATTAAAATAAAAAAATACAAACCACAATATTTGCTGGACATTTGCTGATATTGAGATATTAAGAGTATGTTCAGCTCTGGGTTGCAGAAATGTGAAAAGATATTCTCAATATTAATTTAGAAATTGTTCTTAACAGACAGCTGTACTACATGGCAGCCGTTGTATAGAATTTTTGCATAATTCCACTAGAGCCATGCCTTCCAGCACCTGCTGTGGAAAGGCCATAACCTCTTAATACTTCATACATTTTCAGATCTTTTAAATTACTGGTGTCAGTTCCTGAGGCTGGCTCCTTACATAAGGCAAGCTCGGTGCGTTTCAGTTTTCTAATATGTGAGGTCCCTTCTCATACACCAGCATGTAAAAGATTTTCTAACACCTTTAAACTTAATTTTATGGATCACTGTGTTTCCGTGATGCTATTCAGAATAGGATGCCCGACTTTCTGATCTCTTGTCACTCCACTGACAATTTTATTTGGAGCAGAAGAGGGTATGAAATTCCTCAGCTTCCAGCAAGTCTGCCACCATACACAGGTCTACACAAAGCCATTAGCATTCTTTCCTTGGGGGGTAGAAATACACAGTGGTGCAGAGCATATATTAGACCCGATTACATCCCGCAGAGCTCATTAATCATCCAGGGATGACACTCACCCCCTCAGCTCTCAGCCCCCTCCTGATTGATGCACTGAATGAAGTGCTGAACTCTTCCCAGTCACTTCTCATAACCCATCCACAGAGTGCACACACAGACACAAATCAGTTGGCACATTCAACTCAGTGGCAACTCACAACCTTTCAGCATTACAAGACAGAAGATGGATGAAGTGCAGATCTCTTTAGCCCTCTACAGATTACACCTTTATAAGCCAATTAAATGTGGTCTTAAATGCATTTCTAATTAGAGCAGAAATAGTACCCATGCTAATCAATTGGATATCAGTGAGGTTGACGTGGAATGGGTTTGATATTAAAATGCAGATACTAGAAGGCTGGTGTCTAGTAACCAAGTGATTTCAGATTTGTTTTACTCTAACCTGTGAAATTCTTCTGTTCTGTCTTCAGCTTGTGTCTTTGCCAATAAACAATGGCATAGAATGGCAGTAAGATGGCGGTGTTGGTGAGCTGCATCCTGTACAAGAGAAAATACATCTTTATTTCATAGAAATTTCCATTACAGTAACTTCTCATTATAATGCTCCTATTTACCACCTGGCGTCACCCATGGCTAGCTCATTAACAGCAAAGTCATATACTTCATCCTGGCATGCATCTCACCTTCATGATAATATGAAATAATTATATTTTCTCCCACATTCACTTGCAGTCATAAAAAGAGATGAACAGACTAGAAGAGGTGTGCAGTGTTAACTCTCCTCTTCCCTCCACCTATCTGGCTCGACCACACAACAATAGTGAATCAGATCACAGCTCAGAGTAAGGAGAGGGTAAAACAAACCAGGTTCTACTTCACTACCATAAACACACAACTTTTATATCACTTGTGAAGAACTATGTGACTAATTGGCTCCGCTCCATCAGTTGGACAGAGTGTCCAAATCAAAGAATCACACATTAAAAAAAATCTGAAATATTTAAAAATGCATGTACAAGATAAATCCTGTTTTGTTAACCTAATTGTTCCATTACAGGTCAAGTAACTATTTGTGCTGCACACGCTACTTTGGCATTCGCTTGAAAGTTTTTACATAGAACAACAACAAAGAGCCTTTCGTATCAGAAGGATGGCCCAAGGCACTGGGCAGTGAAAGGTTTGCGCCCGAGCTGGGGGTTTGAGTCAAGAGGAGTGGAATGTGGCCATTTAGTCCAACTCGTCTGTGGCAATGTTTAGACTCCTCGTGAGCCTCGATCCTTCCCAATCCCCTCATCCCATTCCCCTCTACTCTCTTCTCTGACATGCACATCATAATCTGGCTTTGATTATGTTCTTGCAACTTGTACAATCATTTTATTCCAACACCTCATTAAAGTGCAATATTTGCAGCTTGTTTATCATCATGTGAATGAAAATGGCCACTAAGTAACATTCAAGACATGCAACCTCTATACAAGACAGTGAGTAGAAAGACCTAAAGACCCCAGCTTTATGTAATTACAGCATGGAATGGGAATATTTTGCATTCTCCAGCACAAACAACCATAATTATAGATAATAAAATAAAACAAGCTCCATACATTTTTCCCATTAGAGCTTTACCTCTAATACAGCATATAATAATCCTCATATTTGATACAGCGAATTATCACGTCATTAAGAAATCTCACTAACTGGCACTTTGTAGGATTTTACTGGGAAGTGCAGTGACTATGTAATTGGAGGCCAATGTAAGATGTTGCTCTTTCCCTGTACCTTTTAATTCTTCTTCAAATGTTTATCCAGTTACATTTTAATTATTTTGTGGTGTGAGACACAAACAGAACTGAAAGTATTCTGAGTATAATCAAATATATTTTTTGAAGTTCCTGCTCCCTTTGTCTGTTCCAGAGAGATTGACATCAGGAGGAATCACGATTTGCTTCGTACTCCGTTAATGAATAGGTATGGCAGTTACGTAATAATTACACTGAATTATGAAGGGATGGAAAGAGTGGACTATGATTTACTCCAATTACTCCATAAACCACAAGCACAATCAGCAGGTGGTTTGCAATAGTCATTTGAACCTTTAGTCTACTCCCTGGTGTAATTTTTGCTCTTAAAAGTTCAAGAAAACAATTACCCAAATGGCACTGAGTTGTGCCAGCATCTACTATTGACATTAGTACAGAATACAGAAAGTCATCTGGCACTTTTCTTTACACGAAAACTGGTTACAGTATCTTCTTACTGTGCACCAAATCACTGGGAGCAGGGATTCTTCCCACTCAGCTCCTATTAACTCTGCAAGCCAAAGCCCGCTCACTGGAACTCCATTCCCAAATCCCTCCCCCCACCCATCTTTGGTAGGTAAGCCTCAAAACACTTCGTTGGCCTCAGTTTCGGTCATTCTTATCCTCGTCACCTCTGGCCTATTAAGTGCATTGGGATATCCACCTGATATGAAAGGCACTATGTATGTGTAAATTTTATTGTATTGTAATTAGAAAGGAAATTAGAGTACACTACATTATGAGAAATAAGTAGGGGTATTTTGTTATGCAGGGCTGGACCACTATTTTACCTGTAGCTCTACTTAGCAAAACGCAGATCTAATATTTTGAATAACATTCCTTTAATCCAAGCCACCTGTACCCAACCCATCAAGCGCTAAAATAAATACGAGTCACTCACTTCATCGACTTCTTGTCGGTTGCAGTCATAGGTGACGTTAAAAAGCGTTTTCAGTGACTCCATAGCAAAATCCATCTGCTCTTGAGTCAACGGAGTATCACTTTGATCAGTGGCCACCACATACTTATCCGACCATCTGATATTCAGTGTGTTCTCAAGGACATCTATCAACAGCGGCAGTCCTCGCAATTCTTCCATTAGCTTAGCTCTGAGATCCATCCGCAGGGCAGACAGCAGGAAAAGGAGACGTACGTCAAAGAACTTAATCTCTTGAGCCATGTTTTTGTCTCTGTGCATCTTTAAACGCTCACAAGCTCCAGCGGCAACCTTAAATTCCACACAAAGTTGCTGCGCCGTCTCACTGTTGAACACGATGTTACACAGACATTTTAAAGCCTCAATAATGACAGCAAAGTCTGACATCTCCTGCACGGGGGTTTGGGTGTATTCTAATCCAGCCAATTTTAGTAGAGTAAGCATGGCTGGCTTGGTAGTTACAGGAGCCAAAATCTTCTTATCCCTCGACAGGATACGGATGGTTTCCAAACAAGTGGCTTGACAAGAAGGCCCCAAATTCGTCTGCAGCATTTTCAGTGTTTCGTCACATAGTTTCTGTGAAATGCAAAACGGCAGGTGGACATTTAATAATCATCATCAAAGGTGTAAATTTGGCAATTCTTCAGCAATACACATTAGGAAAACAATTAATGTGTAAAGTGAATTTTCTTCCATGTCAGTTGGTCACCATACCCTAACCACTCCCTCTGCTCCGCAAACTAGGGCCTGCTGAACATTTCCCATCCCTTCCACCTCACTATTGGTTGCTAAACTTCAAGGTACTATAACTCTGCTCTGGATTCTCCCCCAAAACTCCTAAATTACATAGCCTCAAATATCTTCTAAAATCTACAGGGTTAAGATTTTGATTCAGTTGAAACATTTTGCACATTCAACTGCAAATAAGTAGGTCAAATAGCCCCATTTATTCTTTCTTTCAAACTCACATGCAGAAAACATTATTCTATTTGTAAACTTTCCTAGCAATTCAGTCGAGAGCTTTGAAATCAGTGGCACTAATGACACAAATGATAAGAGATGGGAGCACGGTCGGTCACTTGCACAGCTAAGTCAGCAAGATACATTCCTCTGGGAGTATGCAGGTATTCCTTTCCAGACACAGAGAAATTTCCATGCACAAGTGGCATACACATGTGGAACACTCAGTCAGGTTTGGGTACCTCGAAGCTTAGTAATAGGTTTCTGCATATGTCAGACACCTCGCTGACCAAAAACTCACTTGACGTAACGCAATATAAACCACACCAAAGCAACAGGGGATTTGGAGGTCACAGTAAACTAAGGAGACAGGGTTCTGCCCTGCTGGCCACCAAGAGGCCCAGTTGAGCTACCACTATCCTGTCAGCTTGTCTTTTCGCTCAAGCGCAACTCTGCCTAGCTAAACATCCTCTAAGCCACTGGTGTGCAACAAGGGAACAAAAGAAGGTACAAAGAAGAGCTAAAGTAAGATAAAAGAACCTTGGAAATGCATTGAATGAAGCCTACATTTGTACAAGACTTGCATGTTCACAACCACTAGCTGACAATTTTTTTCCCCCAAAAAATCTATAAATGACACGAATGGCTAAAAGTATCAACTTAGGTATCCCAGCAACAAGTCAGAGGCCTTTCTCGAGGCTGCTGCCTGCACTTGTGTTCCTGACCCACAGCAGTCCTCACCACCTGGAGAGTTTATGCTCGACTAACTTAACCCTCATTGTCAACATTTCATTGAGAAGATAGGATTTTAGTGTTATTTGAAGCAAGAGGGGAAAACATACCCCGAGGACAAGTGCTAACAACAACAAAATGACATTTGTATAGCGCCTTTCACGTGGGGAGGACGTCCCAACTTCACACGCTAAAGCACGACACATAAAGTAAATGTAATACGCCGAGCGCGCAGATTTTCAAAGTGAATTCAAATATTGTACTGAATGAAGGATTTCCTCCCATCAAAAGAAATATCGGAAAAATATCACATACAAGTGTAGAACAGTTATCCGTATGAACAGAACAGTTTAAGTTGTGAGCACACTTCAAAATTTAAAGTTGACTAACTAATTTAAAGTTAAATTTGACACAAATCTGTACACGACAGAGAAAATGTCTCTCACAAGACAGAACACGTCTTGAAGGGTGGGAGACAGTGATTATTATTATAATTACAGTAAATTATAATAATAAGCCTTGCATTTGATTTAGCAGCTTTTTGCGTCGTTAAAATGCCTCAAAGCACTTCACAGAACTGTATTTTGTAGGCGAACAGGGAAGTCAGTTTGTACTCAACAGTGTATCGCAAACAGTCATGAAGTAAATAACATACTTCATGGGGAACTCTTGGCATGGCATAGGGAGAAACTCCCTTCTCTTTTTGTACTGTCATAGGATCTTTAATGTACTTTAAAACAGGCACATGAGACCTTTGGTTTAATATCTCTTTAAAGCACAGCACCTCCAACAAAGCAACCCTTCTCCAGATCTGCAGTGGAGTGTCTGCCTAGACTATAAGCATAGGGCCTTGAACCCATAACCATCTGACTCAGAGGCAAGAGAACTACCAACTGGTTTTGTGATACCTTATGTCCATTCAGACTTAACTAACCCTTTACAGGAAATGTTTACAATGCCAATGTAAGTATAGAACATGTCAAACTCAATGTTTTTAAATCTGCTGATCATATAGCAGACTGCAAGATCTGCAAATAGCTTGATACTTATACGTCATGTGCCTTGGATTTTTTTTAAAAAATTTGCCAAACTTAGATCATGACCATTTTCTTACCTTTCTCTTTTCTTCCTCCATTAGATCAAATGTGAACGTTCGACTATTCTGTTAAGTAACAAACACAATACGCGTTTCAATATTAGATTAAAGATTGTATACATTGAAGAATGTTAGAACAGTATTACTTTGACCATTTTCCTTATTTGTCCATTTGTATTTCACACCAAGTCATCCTAACAGAGAAAAATGACGTGACACTAATGTTCCTTGCAGTTGATACCCTTCACATTGGGAGGACATCTCAAAGGGATTCACAGGATTTGCAATAGTCACTGTGTATTTTGTAGGCAAACACAGTAGCAAATTTGCACACAGCAATGTCCCACAAGCAGCACAAAAGTGAAAAAATTATTTTATTTGGGAGACATTCGGCCAGAACAACAGGAGGAACAGCTTTTCGAATAGAATCCAACTCCCAGCTCAGTTGCAAAACCCTCAACTGTCCAGCACCTTGGCATAATTCCAATGTGAAGAGTGCTTTATAAATACAATTTGTTGATGTTCTCAAAGACGTGATAAGGCACTACATCAAATGCAAGGATTATTATTATTGTTACAACTTGGACTTGCATAGTGATTTTCACGGAGGTAAATATCTTGATGTGCTTTACTTACTTTACCTTACAGGGTGGGATAGTAAGCAAACTGCTCCAAACTTCCTCAAATTCAACAATATAAACTGACTGATTCCGGCATCCTTTTATTATAGGGGACTATTTATTTAATATAAATTCTTCATTGTCTGAACTAGTACATATAACAAAATATATAATATATAAATAATACTAAACCATACTAGACTTAGAAAACATAGTTAAAAGAAAATATTAAAGCACATCTTATGTAAGAGTGTTTGGTTATGGAACAGTTAATATCAGTAATTTTTTTAAAAAAATAAAGCACTTTGGAGGTACAGACATACCAACCTTTGTTTAAGACAGAACTAATCTGGACCAAGTTTGTCATATCAATACTTTCAAGAGAGGATGCATGTTAATGTTATATATAACATTTTACTGTTATCAAACTGATTTATAACTAAAATGCTTGCTGAAGTCTTTAATATGACTGTACAGACTCAAACTAGAATTGACACTAATTTTAAATGAAACCAATTTTTGATCAGATCACAATCCTATGACTAATTCACCCCATAGAATACGACTGAAAAGATAAGGCCTGTTGAGATGTTCAGTTTATATTTTCCACCACTAACCGTCTCCTCTGTCCACCTTCCCATACCTCGCCCATCCTCTCCTCAAATGCCAACTGTGAGGAGATCTGGACTTCCTCGAATCTAAAATCGAGGGGATACGTTCAGCCTCCTCAGCCCCATCTACAGCCACCCCCACATCACCTCTCCCTCATGACCCAGCCCACACCTATTCCCCCTTTCTCCTTAGACCCTATCTCTCCCTCCTCCTTCACCACGACTGTCTGCAAACTCAAACTCACCAACTGCTCCCTCGATTCCATCCCCACCTCTCTCCTCATCTCCCATCTCCACCTTCTGCCACCCCCCCTCCTGTCTGATGTCATCAACCTCTCCCTGTCCACCGGTTCAGTTCTCACCCCACTAAAAACGGCCGTCATTACTCCCATCCTGAAAAAACCTTCCCTGGATCCATCCCTCCTCTCCAGCTACCGCTCCATCTCTAACCTCCCATTCCTCTCCAAGGTCCTGGGACGAGACGTCGCGTCCCAGCTCCGCTCCTTTCTCTCTCGCCATTCCCTCTTTGAACCCCTCCAATCCGGCTTCCACGCTTCCCACAGCACGGAAACAGCCCTGGTTAAAGTCACTAATGACATTCTGAACATCTGTGATATCAGGGCTCCCTCTGCTTCCTTGTCCTCCTCGACCTCTCTGTCGCCACTGTCAACCACTCCATCCTCATACACCGCCTCTCCGCTTTACTCAATCTTCACGGATCTGCCCTTGCCTGGTTCGATTCCTAACTCTCTCACCTTCTCCACTTTGTTGCCTCTAACAGTTTCTCCTCCAGCCCCACACTGTCACATCTGGCGTCCCCCAGGGCTCTGTCCTTGGCTCTCTCCTCTTTAATATCTACATGCTCCCCCCTTGGTGACATCATCCACAGACATGGGGTCAACTTCCACATGTATGCGGATGACACCCAATTCTTATCTTTCTGCCTCCACCCTCAACTCCAGGCCCACTGCTGTCCTGACAGACTGTCTGTCGGACATCAAGTCCTGGATGAGGGCAAATTTCCTACAGTTGAATGTGAACAAGACTGAGGCCCTCCTGATTGGCTCACGTCAGCGCCTCTGCACCTCAGGCTCTGGCAGCATCAACCTCCATGGTTGCACACTACAACTCACCAAACCAGTCAGGAACCGAGGTGTCTTGTTCGACCCTCAACTGTCTTTTCTCCCCCACATTCAAGCCATTCCCTCACTTCCGTAACATCGCCCGACTCCGCCACTGCCTCACCCCTCAGGCCGCTGAAGCTCTTGTTCATGCCTTAATCACCTCCAGGCTCGACTATGCAAACGCCCTGCTTGTCAGCCTTCCCAACTCCTCCCTCCACAGGCTATAGACAATCCAGATCTCTGCAGCCCGTGTCCTCTCCCGCACCAAACTCCGTGACACCATCTCCCCCACTCTCGCCCACTTCCATAGGCTCCCTATCCTTCAGAGGATCCAGTTCAAGATCCTGGTCCTCACATACAAAGCCCTCCATAGCCTCGCCCCACCCAACCTTTGCAACCTCCTAACCCCCTAAGCCCGTTCCCTCCGCTCAGATGGCTCTGGCCTGCTCCACGTCCCCTGACCCACCCATCCCCCCCTGGCAGGAGAGCTGAAATGCTGTACTCGGTCCAACGCCTTGGGACTTCCTCCCAACGTGAAAGGCGCTACACAAATGTAATCTTGTTGTTGTGTATAACTCTTACAGAAATCATAGTTGAATAACATTAATGTATTGATCCAAAATATGAATATTGGTGAACTTGACACGTTTAACAATAAGAAAGGAAATTACAAAAATATTCATCTTGATTTTTTTGCGGGGAATTGCATATTTTTTCTTGAAAAATCAGACAGGATTGTTTCGGATTTTTTGGGGGGTGATGGGTGGGGGGGTTGGAAACAACAAATCGACAAAGTTGAAATGCTACACAGAGCGCGTTGAGATGTTTCAACAACGTTAATCTTCTATGTCAAATGCAAGGATTCTTATTCTTAGTATAAGCTGATAACAGGTTTGAAGGCTCTCTGAACTGAACTGATCAGGGCTCTTACACACCGGCTGCACAAGCAGTCAGTACATAAATATGAAAATGTATATATATCTATATATATTTATATAAAGCAAATATTAAATATATACTATACATTTAATAATATAACTTTAAGAATTTGCTAGGCGAAGGAAGACTGGGAAAGTCCATCCAGTTTGCCTTACATCACACGACATGTCGTGTCCCAAATTACAGCATATATTTCCCCCACAAACATAGTCAGGTCGCTTTAAAAACGCTTGACATATTCTGTGAAGCCATTTGAGACGTCTCAAAGACGTGGCAAGGATTAATATTATTATATATTGTGCAGTCCTGTAGCTCTGTGGTTAGAGCACTCGCTTCACAAGCCACAGACCTGGGTTCTATTCCTGGCGGGGCAAAATGTTGAGCAAGTTTCCTTACTCGACACACCTCTGTTTACCCAGCAGTAAGCAGGAACCCGGCTGGTAGTTGATTGGCGGATCGCTTTTCCGGGGATAATAAAACCCTTTTAAAAAATATAATGAACTGGGTCACATCAATCCACGGCTGTTTGCGCAGTTAGCTGCCGCGTGCCGCCCACAAACTATACAGTCAGATTCACTTCGCCGTGTGTCCCGCGAAGCGCTTTGAGACGTCCGGAAGACGTGGTGACAAATAACAACCCTCGCATCGCCTTACGAGCGCTTTTCACGGCGAATACGCCTCGAAGCGCGTGCATCGAATGCGAGGACTATTATTATTATCTGTGGAGTCCTGTAGCTCAGTGGTTAGAGCACTCGCTTTGCAAGTGAGAGACCTGAGTTCAATTCCAGGCAGAGGGCGAAACCTTGGGCAAGTTTCCTTACTCCACACAGAGCCTAATAATAATCCCTCCAAAACCAAAACAATAATAAATTGGTCATTTTCAATCTACGACTGTTTGTGGGACATCGCTGTGCGCAATTGGCTGCCGCGTTCGCCCACAAATATACAGTCAATTCACTTTACAGTGTGTTCTGTGAAGCGCTTTGGGACGTCCTCCCGACGTGAAAAGCGCTATATCAAATGCGAGGATTATTATTATTATTATTATCGTTGTTGTATACTGTAACCCTGAGATATTATTTCCGAGTCCCTGCGCACACCCGCACCAAATAAACAAACAGATGGATAGAGAGATCAGATACATCTGCACAGCCCCAAACGGGTTCAATGTTGACAGCCTGAGGCCCCGTGACCTCTGACCTGACCAGACACCGACCGACGGAGGAATGAAGGATCAATGGGGGCTCCGCGGGGTCGGGTGACGGCGGGGCCTGGTCTGGTCTGGTCTGGTCAGGCCCCGGCACCGGCCCCGGCGGGGACTTTAGTCGCTTTACCTTCTTGTTGAACTGCTGCAGCGCTTCCTCCGTCTCCCGCTCACCGCCGCCGCCGCCGCCGCCCAGCGCCGCCACAGCCCCGTCCACGTCCATCGCCAAGGCCGACCGCGCCACCCGACCCAACCCTGACCTCGCGACACCCACCGACACCAACCGTCACCTCCTCGCCGTGACTCACCGGCACAGCGCCCCCACCGCGCCCCCCCCCCCGCGCACAGCCGTCACTTCCGGCCGCCTCTACCGCCCCGCCCACACCCCGCTCCACCGCCCCGCCCATACCACTACAGCCCCGCCCACACCCTCTCCACAGCCCCGCCCACACCTCCACCGCCCCGCCCACACCCCGCTCCACCGCCCCGCCCATACCACTACAGCCCCGCCCACACCCTCTCCACAGCCCCGCCCACACCTCCACCGCCCCGCCCACCCCGCTCCACCGCCCCGCCCACACCCTCCACAGCCCCTCCCATACCACTACAGCCCCTCCCACACCCTCTCCACAGCCCCTCCCATACCACTACAGCCCCGCCCACACCCCTCGACAGCCCCGCCCACCCCCTCCACAGCCCCTCCCATCCACAGCCCCGCCCACACCCTCCACAGCCCCTCCACACCCCTCCACAGCCCCTCCCATACCACTACAGCCCCGCCCACACCCCCTCCACAGTCCCGCCCACACCTCCACAGCCCCGCCCACAACCCCACCACAGCCCCGCCCACACTCGCACAAACCCACCCACAACCCCTCCACAGCCCCGCCCACTTCTCCACAGCCCCTCCCACACCCCCTCGACAGCCCCGCCCACATATCCTCCACAGCCCCGCCCACAACCCTCCACAGCCCCGCCCGTACCCCTTCCACAGCCCCGCCCACATATCCTCCACAGCCCCGCCCACATATCCGACACAGCCCCGCCCACATATCCGACACAGCCCCGCCCGCACCCCCTCCGCAGCCCCGTCCACATATCCTCCACAGCCCCGCCCACATATCCTCCACAGCCCCGCCCACATATCGTCCGCAGCCCCGCCCACTATCCTCCACAGCCCCGCCCACATATCCTCCACAGCCCCACCCACATATCCTCCACAGCCCCGCCCATATATCCTCCGCAGCCCCGCCCAGACCAATGCAGACTCCCCCACACCAGCACAACTACGACTATTGTGCAAACCACTTCGAATTAGAGAATTATACAGCGCGGAAGGAGGCCATTCGGCGCATCGTGTCTGTGCCGGCTCTTCGAAAAGAGTTTTCCAAATCAATCCCCCGTGCTCTCTCCCCACAGCCCTGCAAACTTGTCCTTCACAAGTAATTAACTTAACATTGATTCACAATCTGATTGCTTTTGCGGAATGAAGCTCATGGTATTGAACTCCTAAATGCCAAATCCTTGTCTTCTGAAAAGATTGTCAAAAGAAAGAATGATCCCACTCGGCCACAGCTCTCTCTCCCTTTTCCAGGAATCGATGGTATGCGTCAATCTTCTTTCTTGAAGTGAGAATGGGAGAGACACGTGCACAAAGATAAATGAAGAGAAAGGAGCTACTGGTATCGCCAGAGCAAAGGCATTACAAAGGCTTTGCAACTGAATCGGGGGAACAAACACTGTTTCTCCTCCTTCCCACACAAGCTGACCACAGGATATTCTGTAGCAACGTGGCATTTGGGATCTTTAATTATGTCCTTCATGGTGTCAACCTGGCTCAGTTCGCAGCGGAGGTTCTCGCCTTTGAGTCAGAAGGTTGTGGGTTCAAGCCCCACGTTGGGACTTTGAGCTTATTGTCATCGACACTCATGCAATGCTTGGGAGAGCCTTGCACTGTCAGAGGTGCTGTCCTTCTGATGAAGCATTAAACTGTCGGCCTGTTCAGATGGACGTTAAAGATCCCATGCCACTATTTGAAAAGAGAAGATCGGCGCTTCCGCTGTCTTGGCCAACAATCCCGCAGATAAAATTGGTCATTCAGTTCATGGCTGTTGTGGGACAGTGCAGTGCGCACATTGGTTACCTTGTTTGCCTACAAACAAACAGTCACTGCACTTTACAGCAAATATCTTTGCGGTGTTTTAATGCCATGATAAGGCAATATATCAAATAGTATTACCCTTTCTTTAAACTGTATTTCTGAACCACTTTGGTGTGAAAGCAACTTAATCTAGTGAGTAGTTGAGCCGGATAATTCAGAAAAATCCCATCTTTGTTCACCAAACTATTGTAATTTTTACCATTTATAGTTAAAATTAAAATTATGCTCTTTTAAAAATACTCATGCAATGTTTATTATTCCACAAGCTGCCACATCCACACACTGACTTACTTAAATACCCTGCATGCTGAGGATAAGATAGACGACAACTGAGAAGAGAAAAATATAGAAATCACTGAAGCTGGAAAGAGACAGGAGGATTTTGCATTCCATTCAATGCCTGCTTGTAATAATGAAGAATGATGACAAGTTGCGGGGCAATGCAAATAATTAGTTTAATCCCAGTCATCAAAATAAACATTCCTGTGTCTTTTATATTGTAATAGGGAATACTGAGCTGCCAAAATACGTGGCTTTACTTCATATATTAATCAGCTTTCTTGCCCGCTTCTGCAGCTGAAGAATACGAGAATGCTTAGTGCAACCACACAGAAACAATGGAGGATTCAAGTTATCTTATAAACAGAGAGAGAGGATTTTACTGAAAAGTGTAGTGACTGTGTATTTGTAGGTGAACACAGCAGCCAGTTTAGGCACAGTATTGTCCCACTGCCGAAAACTGTGGTTGAAGCAAAAAACATCAATGTATTTAAGAGCAAACTTGATACATACATGAGGAAAAAGGGAATATAGGGATATAAGAGAGGGGAACAGGCCAGGTGGAGGCTGGTGTTGAGATTAAATACTGGCAGGGACTATTTGGGCCGAATGACCTGTTTCTATACTGTATTATTTTATACAATTCTATGTAATTCAACAAGGAATGTCATTCCTGAAGAAAATCTCTCATATTGATGGACAGTGTACATTGATCTTGTCCACAACTAATTGTTTCAATTACAGTATATTATATGTAACATAATTATAGAACAGGTATCACTGTGACTGACAATAGGCATTGCTGGGAATCAGACATTCATTGTTTACGGCTTCAATCAAGAAAGCCGGTAATAAAAGACTTTTGAGAAGATCGTCCAAAAATGCCAATCGTTCACATCGCACATTTAAGTGACTGGAGTGGCAAGTACAGCTGACATAAAGTATTATAGATTAACGACCACTGTGGGGCAGAGCAGCTTAAAGAAAAGACTGGTTTCTTGTTGTAGGATTCCATTTTGTATTTTTTTTTAAATGTTTTTGAGGAATACGCAGTGAAATAAAGGCCTGCTGTCTTTCTTGATATGTCTCTGCGGTGATTTCCTGGGCCATACAAAGAAAACATAGATCAGTGAATCACTCCCACAGCTTGACCTACTTGTTGAGCGTAGAAATGGTCGCTCCCTCACATTTTACTGAAATGTTTCTGCTACATCTTGTGTTTTGTATTGCTTGCTTTTAGAATAACAGCACACGAGTTGTCCCAGATAATGGAAAAGAAATCTTCACGGCTACATATCTCTGGGAGGCTGTTATGCTAAAAGGCAGTTCTCTAAAAAGTAATCACAAGCGAGAAAATTGTTTTCATCTTTGCCTGTTAATTGATTATCTCCAAACACAGTGAATTTCTTATTAAACAAGACACACTGAATTTCTTATTCTGGAAAATCCCTTTCAGCTTTAAATAATAAACAATTTAGAATATTGTATTCAGCAACTCCACATTTTTGGGAGTGTCTTGGGATGTCCTCCCGACTTGAAAGGCCCATCCACCAGTTATGTTATTTAAAATGACTTTGGATCATTGTTTGAGCAGCGCATGACTCAACCTGAAAGGACAGTATTTGATGCTGACACGAGCTGCTAGTTGTGAAATTCAAACTTTGAGACCGAACAGCTCCGAGTGTGTTTTGTGCGACGCAAGACTTTTCATTAACTTCAAACTTAAATCCGTCCAGAATTATTTCACGTTTTAAATGTAACTTCAATCCCTATTTCCAATCAGAATTCATGGGATTAGTGAGCGTTACATGTTGTTGAGCATCGTTAAAGTTCGACAAATCTGATTCAGGGGCTGCTTTATTGGATTAAACCGGTTGATAATTCGACAGCCACCTCATTTTAAGAGTTAATTTGGAAAGAAAATGTTGGATTAGTGCAGATGTGAAGGGGGGAGGGTAGACTGAGTTGCAACTCTGATTAGAAATGTGACTATTTACTTTAGCCAGAACATACTGTGTGCTTTTCCCATGTGCAGTTGTTTTATCCCAACGCTTCGAGCAGTGTCTGGCTGTGAGTTTCATGGATTTGCGGGTCAGTCATAACAGAAATACAGAGTCTTGTGTCAAAGGTCAAAGTGTCGGAGAGCATTGACCCTAACAGCAAGAAGAACTTGCCAAGAGATTGAATTCATTCTACCTAATACACCTTTCATTGAACATTCCCTGCTGGGCTTTTTTTAGTCTTTGCAAATAAACTTCCTCGAGTTTGAATGATGTTTGAAAATAATGATGTTCACGGCGCATTAAGAGTATTCTGTCCACAAACCACTAAATGTAAAATTCTACCCCAGGTTCATGAAATAAATACTCCTTGCACAGAGCATTCATTTTATTGCAGATTACCAAGACTACAATCCTCTTGTAAAGAGATTCGTTCTCATTGTTTGCCCAACACTGCCAAACCCTTATTCATAATTTCTTCCTCATTAGACTAAACTTCTAAAATGCCCTCCTCACTGGCCTCCCCTACTCCACCATCTGCAAGCTCCAACTCACCCAAAAGTTCACTGCCCGCATTCTTACTCACACAAAACTTTGTGCCTTGCTAGGCTCCACCGTTGTCTCCTGCACCACCTTCAATATCCTTACACTGACCTACAAATCCCTTTATGCCCTCACATAATAATAATAATAATAATAATAATCCTTGCATTTGATATAGCACTTTTCACGTCGGGAGGACGTCCCAAAGCGCTTCACAGAACACACTGTAAAGTGAATTGACTGTATATTTGTGGGCGAACGCGGCAGCCAATTGTGCACAGCAATGTCCCACAAACAGTCGTAGATTGAAGATGACCAATTTATTATTGTTTTTGGAGGGATTATTATTAGGCTCTGTGTGGAGTAAGGAAACTTGCCCAAGGTTTCGCCCTCTGCCTGGAATTGAACTCAAGTCTCTCACTTGCAAAACGAGTGCTCTAACCACTGAGCTACAGGACTCCATATCAAATGAATGCATTATTTATTACTATCTACTTTCAAAAACTAGTTAACAAGTTACCTCTATGCCTAAAGTTACCACGAACAAAGGTTTGAATTTGGAATCGGGTGACTAAATTTCCCTTTCTACTGTCATTCCGCTTCACACTAAAACTAAATAATTCTTTTAAGGGTAAAAAAAAAGCCATTTAAAATGTTGCTTTATTGACACAAGAATCCAGATTACCTTTACTATTGGTAACCTGTAATATCCACTGTTCAGCTTCCATCATCTGCCACCACCAGATAACATACTGTACTTCATCATGTGATTTGGAGTACTTGAACATCTCAGTTTAAACCCATCCCTCGAACCCGCAATCCTCTCCCCAACTATTTATTTTCAACCTGCTTTTAATTGACTCAATCTCACATGCTCCAACAACACTGCAACTCTCAGACTGAATACCCAATGTGCTACATCTTATTTTTCAATTAGATTTAAACTCATTGACAATAGAAGCAATGATAAGCTTATATAAATAGCTCCATTGCTAGTTTTAATTGAATGCTATTGAAAATATCTTTGTGGCTACAAGTAATCTTAGTTCAAGTGTGCTTACAGATGGATATTGTTTGCACATCTTTTGTTACACAGTGGATCAGAATGTAAAATGCATAGTTCAAAAAATAACATGAAATGATCTGACAGTGGTGCAGACACATAAACCTTGCTATAAGGTAACTGACATAATGAATGCTTTCATATTTGTAAATTTCTGTATTATGTTGTTAATCACTTATAAAATGTAGACTCACCTTTGAGTTGATCCCAAGTGTTCAGAATTACCATTGACCAAACTATCTGTTATGTGCTTTGTTAAAAGGTTTCCATAATTGGATCCAACAGGCTTTTATTTAATCCTGTCTTTATGCTTTTTATTAATCAGATATCAAGAATAAATTTGTTTCAAAGGTTTTGAATGATATATAGGAGTTTTTTTTAGGCCTAAGTCCTATACAGAATAAAATGAATCTCACATTTTCGATCCTGACAATATAAAGATTTAATGATTCATCAGTTAGGTTAGTTTCCTCGCAGTATTGTTCAGTTCCTCATTCTTATTTATTCAGACATATTGTGCAATGTCAGACACACTGTATTACTGTCCAATGTTTGAATATCTAATTTATGTTTACAGATTTATTTATTTTGTTCACTCATAGAGTAGTATTTCATAATTATAAAGAAGCAAGATTATACATAACACAGTCTTTTTAAAAGAAATTGTAGTTTTACTATTTTAAGGTTTTTGATTTCCTTAACGATTTCCTCAATTGAGCTATAATTCGATTTCGCCAGTTAGCTTACATGTTAGCACAAACGTAAGCAGCACATTGGGTATATTAGGTAAGATTGAATTTAAGGAGAGCTTTTCTACTAATATTAAACATCACTTCCTCTCACTCAGTATTTCATAAAACCAGATGTGGTGTCCTTTTGATAGATTTTAAGGCAATTTTCTGTTTGTGTGTAGACATGAGATTGTATATGTGAAGAAACAAGGAATGTTACAAAATTGACATGTTGCCCAATGACATGTTGGGGAATTACATATTTATTCTTTATTATTATTAATAATAATCCTTGCATTTGATACAGTGACTTTTACATCTCAAAGCCCTTCACAGGATTTAGTGTAAAGCTTAGTGACTGGGCATTTTGTAGTCGAACACAACAACCTATTTGTAAACATCAGTGTTCCACAAACAACCAAGAAGTGCAGAACCAATTTGATTAGGAAGATTATTATCCAGAACACCAGGAGAAATGTCTTTCCTCTTTTCGAACAGTGCCATGGAATCTTTAATGTCAACCGACAGGATCTCGGTTTAACGTCTCATCCAATTTAGACCCAATCACTTTAAATAATTCTATCTCAGTGCTGTATACACTGTCTACACTGAAACGTTGAAAGAATAACCATTACATCAACAAAAGTCAAGGCTAGATATTTTTTTAAAAATTTATTTGTATTTTGAAATGTATTGCCTTCATATATCTTGCACTTCTGTACAAATATCACCATGTACTTCAGATTTATCCACAGCCATAGTTACCACACAGGGTGCTATCAGTGCTTTTATTTACAAGTCTAAAGTTTCTTGTGTTATTCTTTCAGTCATTCGCCTTACCCATAGGGTAATATGTCCATATACATTGCTGAGTGCATTTTGTAATTGCAAAACAGTACAGAAATAAACTATGTTAATCAACTAGAACAACAACAGCAGACATACACTAAGGACAAATAAGAGGAAAATTATTTCTACAGAGCAGTTCATCAATAATACAATTGAAAATTAGATAAACATTTCACACGTACACAATATAGTTTCTAAGGCACAGCTTTAAGTATCGTAAGGGTTTCTGTGGGAACACACAAACACTAATAGTTATACAAAGGTCCACAGTTTAGAATCTTCTCGCTATTCAGTACAGCATGATTGAGTCAGAGTCTAAAAACTCGAGGCAAAATGCCATTAGATGCTGGTGGTCTGCAAGATCCAAAGGTAGGTGCACCAAAATACAAACAACCTTGTTTTCAACAAGGCCTATCGGGCATTAAACAAAACTGAGGTCTGCAACCCATTGTTAAGCCAACTTTAAAGACAGTAAGGGAAGCAATAATGCCCTAAATATCACTGGAACCGAGGTACTGATGTTTATTGGCAGTTGACAGAGAGACAGGGAGTGGGGCACACTTCCTGAATGCAGTAAACATCACTTCCTATCATTCAGTATTTCCTTAAAACCTCTGCTATAAATTTAAGATCACACGCTGCAAAGGGTATTTCCCAAGGAGGATACAAAAAGAATGCGATACGTTTTAAAGGGAGAGATGGAGATCCTATGTATACAGTGTGTCTGCCACCTGACGCAGTTGAAGCAGTGCAACTGCGGATTAACAAGAAGGAAACATTCTGTTTTCTCCAAGACATCATTTCTGATTCAATCACAGATAATCCATCCTCAATGTTGACAATAAAGGACAAAATTGGTGTCTCTTCCAGGCCTTTATAGTGATCCAGGGGGAAAAAAAAAATTCTGTTTTCTATACGCATTGCGTTCAGTGCCTATCAGTGTTCAGCCATGATTTATTCTGCATTCCTTTTTGATTATTTTCCAGTCACAGTGTCAGCAAATTGATTATTTAGCCCATCCCGTGGTTGCTTCGCCATTGATGTAAGCAAAACCAGGAAAATGCTGCACGTGTTCATATTCCGCACTCCGTCGGCTGGTCAGCGGGGTGTACATCTCACTAGAGTTCCCGTAGCGTGCCGAGTGCATGCTCGGAGTGCCGTAGCAGCTGTTTGCGGTCGGGACATCGGGCCAGCGTGGGGTGACTGGAGTCGGGTGCAGTCGTGGGGTACTGCTCATCAAGCAGGGCTCCATCCGCGATGTCTGGCTGTTAAAAGGATACTGCGAAACACGAAACGAAACGTCAATCATAAAGAGATTTTCGGAAAATACAGTCAAATGAGTACTGCAACAACAACAACAACTTGCATTTATATAGCGCCCCTCACGCAGGGTAACCCCCAGAGCGCTGACTGCACTCAGGAGTCATCGTAGATTATAAGCTCTAATCCTCTGAGTGGGTTTCAGTTTCCAAACCTTCTGACCCAGAGATGAAAGTGCTCCCAAGAGAGCCGAACTGGCCCAAGGTTAGATTGTCGATGTGAAAATATACTCCCGTACCCTGATCGCTTTAACCTGGTAAGCAGAATATTCACAAAACACATTGCCAATTATGTGGGTTTCACATAAATTGCATCCAAATTACGAATTCCATTCAATGCTTTTTGTTTGAGCTCGCCAGACTCAATAACGGACTGTAAACAGTAATATCAGATGATTTTTTCAAAAACAACAACAAGTTGCATTTACGTAGCACCTTTCACGTGGGTTAGCAACCCGGAGCACTTTACAAATCGTTAACAACATGAGGGATTGTTATTCCAGTAATAAAGGTGCTTTTGCAGATGTGTCTGGAGGGTGGTTCTGTAATTGTATTTACTCCAAAACATTAATGCGTGAATATTGTGCTTTTCAGTGTTCCAAACTGTGTTCCACACTGTTCCAAAGAGCCATATAAAAATGACAACATGTTCTACTTATAGACAATTCTCCCTAACATTGGATAAAGCTGACTTCCCCAAGTTATGGCAGCTGTCTTAATTTACATTACTAATTTTTCACATGGAATTTTGAGTCCACGGTATCAGATACAGAAACAGAGTTTGATATTGAACTAGTGAATCCGTTTCAGGCTATTCTGTTTATATTTGGCATAGTTTCCACGTCAGAAAAATAAAAAGCAGCCCACGTTTTATTTCTATCCGGAATAGCAAAATTGAAGTCAGGGAGAATTGACCCTAACTAAGAATCCTGTAAATTCAGTCATATTCAGACTTAACACTGACAACTTTGTTGCAGCACAACAGCTGACTGCATGTGGACCATTGCTGGCCCTTCATTTCTTTTTTATGCACTGCAGAGATCACTGAAAAACCATTTCATAAACACCCCGCACCCTTTCTCCATTATCAAATCAGCTGATGAAGCATCTATTGAGCCCCACTGAAGTGTCCAGAGTACAGCCATCTGTGCGGATGTCTGTCTGGGCTGCCACAATCAGCCTTCACACACTGTATCCGGTTTCATGAAGAGTTCTTGAGCACATTGGATGCAAACACTGAGTCCTACTGATCTCCACCAAACACAAAGGCAATGTTTGTTGGAGGACCCTTAACAGGAAATTACCATTATAAGGGTCAACTCATAATGTAGACAAAAAATTCTGACTCTCTTTCTGTCCAACGTTCATTTCACTAAACACAAGTAACCAATGCTGCATGCAAACTACTGTTAGTAATAGGGAATGGTTTAAGAGATTTATACACGAAGAAAATACCAAAGGGAGATTATTTCGGCTATGAGCGGTGCAATGTAAATCACCTCTCTCGGCAGCAGACTGCAATTCTCCAAAGCTGAGCTTCAAGAGAAAGGAAGAAAGTCCTCATTCAGATTTGCCAGGCTGCTCATTATGCAGAGTGTGAATGATGGCTCTGTTTAAGCAGCAAAACATTTGCCTTCTGAGTGCAGCTCTAGGTTCACAGAGGCTGAGGCCGTTCTTTCACAGAGAAAAATGAACTCAGTTGGCTAAATCCAGATTTAACCGTTTCTCTCTTAATCCTGTACACATCAGACAGAACACCCCTCTGATAAGAACAGCAGTGTTTCTGCAACCACCTGCCAAATAAAGCAGGCTTTACAATCTGATTTTTTTTTAAGCTTCGGCTTTTGAAACTTGATGCCAGTTTTGCAGCATGCACAATGAAAAAATTGGTAAGAAACAAAGTAAAAAGTGCCTGGATGATGTTTTTTTTCCCTTGAACTGGAGATATTAACAGTTTATTTTTAATTAGCCTGACTCCAGGTAACAAAGTTACTCACCCAGCTTGCTTGGTTTGACGAGGTTAATATTATTTGGTTTAGTTGTTAACTTTAGTTATAATAATAATAATAATAATCCTTGCATTTGATATAGCGCTTTTCACGTCGGGAGGACGTCCCAAAGCGCTTCACAGAACACACTGTAAAGTGAATTGACTGTATATTTGTGGGCGAACGCGGCAGCCAATTGCGCACAGCGATGTCCCACAAACAGTCGTAGATTGAAGTGACCAATTTATATTGTTTTTGGTTTTGGAGGGATTAGTATTAGGCTCTGTGTGGAGTAAGGAAACTTGCCCAAGGTTTCGCCCTCTGCCTGGAATTGAACTCAGGTCTCTTGCTTGCAAAGCAAGTGCTCTAACCATTGAGCTACAGGACTCCGTCAGAAGGACAGAGAAAACCACAATAAACTAATGGAAAGGAGCAGCGTGAGTGCAGAAGCAGAGTGTCAAGGTAATATTATTATTATTATTATAAAACAACTGTAGTGAGCATGGTCTATTTGCATTATCCTTCAGTGGATGATAAAGGGATTTCTTACTTGGAAAAGGCCATGAGAAGCTGAAATAGTGGGACTCTGTACAGGTAGATCAGGTAGTTTCCTTACTCCACACAGAGCCTAATAAATGCAACATACAATACTGATGGAGCATCATTAAAGACTTAATATGTGCTTTAATGATAATATAAGGATAGACGACAAATCTGATGGACAAAGTCACAACATTAGGCAGACACTGGGTGTGTTTGTTCATTATTACTTAGAAGTATATGTTAGAATAGTTTAGGAATGCCCCATGATGTCTCGAAGAACAGCATCCTTCATTATGTACATTCTTGGTTATGCAAAAAAAACTTTCAGAGATCAAATGATCTTATTTTTTAAATTTAGACGTTGTACCAATTGTGAAATAACCAATATTTGGTAGACAATAGAATTAGTGTTTCTTGTATACACCTATAGTACTTAGAGAAGCAGGTAACTATAAAGCACTGATTGTCACTTTGAGAACATTATCAAACACTGGGGAGGTTCAGACAGAAAACAAACAATTGTAGTCTCCATATTCCAAAAGGGTGACAGAGCCATAAATGTCAACCACAAACCTTTTATCCCAATGTCAACAATTAAAAAACTATTTAAATAAATCATCAGAATCAAATGGAAGAGGCCCAGAATCAAATGGAAGAGCTCCCTTCCATTGACAGTGGACAATGGAAGTAGATTTCCAAAATAAATTACTACATGAAAGACTCCTTTACAAATTTATGTGAGTCGGAATCTATGGTAGGATATGGATGTGGTTTAGAAATGGGCCAAAGTGAAGGAAGCAGAGGCTAATTGCAAAGAGAGCAGCAACACATGGAGCGCAGGTTATTTGCAATACTTGCTGAATTCCTGATCTCCTGTGGGGATCTGTCAAACTGAGGCTCATCCTCACAGAATGGGAAGGACAATAATACTTACTCCCACACACCTCATAGCGGCACTAATAGAGGGCTGGGAACAGGCTGTCAGCTCAATTTCAATCAAAATACACTCAGAAGAAAACAGAGCTAATTCATGCCCTCGAAAATAAAGCAATAGATTGATTTTTTAAAACAAGAAATAAATTGCACTTATAATACACCTTATACGTATAAAAAGTTTCAAACCACTTTACAGTAATTATTGCCAACCTGTAGGAAAACAGGAGAGATAATTTGCATACAACAAAATCCCACAACTAGCAAAGAGGCAAATGATTAATTAGCCTGAGGGATTGTTGACCAGGAAGTTGGGAGAAACTCCCTTTTCTTTTTAACCCATGCCCAGGGATTTTTAATGCCCACCTGAAAAGCACACAGAACCTTGATTTAATGTCTCATCCATCGGCACTCATGACAATACAACTCTCCCCCAGTACTGCACTGAAAGACATTTTAATTTATGAGCTCAAATCATGACATGTGCCTTAATCCCACAACATTTTGACATGGAGGCAAGAGTGCTACCAATTGCATCAGACTTCAAGATGACACCATGAATAAGAGTACAACCACAAATAATTATATCCTTCTCAGTTATCCATGGTTTATTTACAGGACCAACTCATTCCACTTCCATTTCATTCCTGCTATGCAATAAATAAAGTTTTCATTGTATATTTATGGGGACGGCCAGGACTAAATATGTCAGTGTCTTCTTAAGTGCCTTTTTAGCAGCATTTAGTTGTTTTCTGCAAGTTTCTGCCATTATAGGCACTTAATGCCGGACTTCCGATTTTTACCAGACTGTCACAGAATTGGCATTTTTTGCATTATTCAGCAATCTTTATTTCATGTGACACTGATCATTTCTGCCCACTTCTGTGCAGATAAACTGGTTCTATTGATCTTTGTCTTTCAGAGTTCATTTCTTTAGGTTGGTCATAAAATGAACACGTGCATACATATGTACATACAACAATGGCAACAACAACTTGCACTTATATAATGCCCTTCACGTGGGGTAGCATCCTGGAGCGCTTTACATTAACAAATATACCGCGATGGGTTCATCACCAAGGTGCAGCATTTGTGAGATCTGTTAAAATAAGCCAAAATGCATAATAACAGTTGTTCAGAAATGACTAACCTGTGAGGTACTCCTGTGATATGCAGGGTAAGGAATTGGAGCAGTAAGGCTACTGTCATGTGGAAGGGCTGGGTATTGACTCTGAATGGGATGTGGAGGCTGATTGCTGTAACTACCATAGTTATACCCTCCTGAATATCTGCAAAATATAAATTATTACAATTGTGTTTAATTGCATTTGTCAAAACAAGGTTTCTTTACATAAATTATTGCACACAAACAAAGGAAACAATTGGTTCAAAATGTTCAAGATGTTTTGACTTGCAAAGCATAATTTTGTCATGCAAAACTCCCTAATGCTCCATAAAACCTCTTCATTTTGACACTCAGCAGTTTTAGCAGTGAGACTATTCATTGGGACTCACCCCACGAGTGGCCAAATGTAAGGTGTGGTAGAAGATCTCAGATTCAATCTCAGGTGTAATCTATTCTAAATTGGTTCTTATCAAATGGAGTGAGTATGTCAGTATCTCTGGCTAGGACTGCGAAAGAACTGGTCAGAATACCCACTACCCATCATAATGCCATGGGCCTTCTTGGACAGTGAATGTCATCTCCCTGAATACTTCTTTAAGTTTATAATCTGCGCTCTGAGATGTTTTGGTGTTGTTACAGTCACAATGCTAACCAACCGTCCATGTACGAATCTATTTAAGATGAAATTAATTGAACCTACAAATAAACATTTGCTTGAATAAAGTTAAAGTTTCCTTAAAACTTCAATAATAAAACTTTGCTGCATAACAATGACAACATGATATTCATGTCCAAAACTTTTTTTTTGAAAAATGCAAGCATACAGGTGCAATAGCAGGAGGAATATAATGCAACAACAACAATAACCTGCATTTATATAATGCCCTTCACTCCGGATAGCATCTCAGAGCGCTTTACACAGAATCTTGGGTGTAATTCCAAGACAAAACAGACAAAATCGCACGTTCTATCAGATCACAATTCCAATTCACTAACAGCACCATTTGACAGTGTTTAAAACGAACGGACAAGTTCACACATAATACCAATTCCAATTAATTGATAACACTATTGGGCGGTGAATAAAACAAATGAACACATGGAGCCCAAAATACACATTGAACTCAAAGCAATAAGATCAGAGGAAAACCAGTGATGGACCTACCCGTGATCCTCTCTGTGCGGGTAGATAGGCATTCTGTGAGTGGAGGAGGAGGAGGGGGAAACATGAGTGCTTCTCATGCACGGCAGCTGCTGAGGGCTGTCAGGAGCTGTAGAGCCAGCAGTTGTAACAGTATAGGTCAGAGACCATGTGTATGACTGAATAGCTGCTGTCAAAAAAGCACAGATTGCAAATAATGATCAACTGTGATGGACGTTTATGATAGTCGTAATTAGAATAGTTATAAATGGGATTTTTTGAGACTGAGAAAACCTGAAGGAATACCTTTTATATTAAAAAAATAATCTGTGCTGGTGAATTTTAGCAATTTGTTTGGTACCACTAAATTTCCAAGAGAGCTGCTAGAAAAACCTACCTGTTTCACTTCTTAAAGGGTGTTGGGCTTTATGTAGGGTTATGAATGAACAGTACATGGAGTAAAACTCTGCATAAATCTGTACAAATCATATAATTGCCAAAGTCGTACATCTGCCCAAGTCCCGTTGAATTTCCTATTATTAATAAGTTTCAGATAACTCATACTTTGCATAAGTCATATTTAATGTATGGTCCCAACTGACTCAGCTATGTATAATACTGTATAATGCAGAGTCCTGTAGCTCAGTGGTTAGAGCACTCGTCTCACAAGTGAGAGACCTGGGTTTGATTCCTGGCAGGGAAAAATGTTGGGCAAGTTTCCTTACTCCACACGTCTCTGTTTATCTAACAGTAAGTAGGATCCCGGATGTTAGTCGATTGGCGGATCGCTTTTCCGGGATAATAATCCCTCAAAAAAAAAACAATAATAATTTGGTCACTAAATCCACGACTGTTTGTGGGACACTGCTGTGTGCAATTGGCTGCCTCATTTCTCGTACAAAAAAAATACAGTCAATTCACTTTACAGTATATTCTGTGAAGCGCTTTGAGGCGTCTAGAAGAAGTGAAAAGCACTATATCAAATGCAAGGATTATTATTATTAATGCAGGGGGATTTTGCTATTTTATAAATATATCCCGAGTAATGGAGAATATTTTTGGTGTAGGTCTGCTATAATGCTAGGATAAACCCTTCTTTCTATCTGCAGTGCCGAAGGAGCAATGATAAAAATTTACTGGCATGGCTTTCCAACTTTCCCAACATGTTTGCTCTACAGGACATCATTTGCAAAACACATCACGTGATTATTCGGGTTCCTGACTGTTCCAAGCTCTTCCCCTGTTTTAGTCCAATAATCAATGTGGGCAACAAGGCAGATAATTTGGTGCTGATATGGAGAAAGGGGAATAAAAGATACAAGTGTGAACAACAAATCACTAATGTCAAAAGAAACTTCTACTAGGAATGTCTGGGAAAGGGAGGAGGGAGGGGAGAAGAGATCCTCTCCTTTGCAGTAAATTTACTCAACCTTGGTGGCAGCATGTATTATTCTCCAAGAATAATAGGTAAACTAAAGTTACCATTTTACTTCCTATCTCAGCATGCTGTATTCGAAGATACTGTTTCATAAAGGCTGAATCAATTTCTGCGTTCAACTTCAAGGAAGGCCATTTCTTGCAAGCTATTTAATACTAAAGTGACTCCATTATAATAGTTAGCTATTATCACCGCTTTGACAGCTTTAAAGGCACCATAAAGCAATGCAGAGGTAAACTGGTGGTAAAGTGAAAAGTAAATCTGTAACCACAGACTGGCTAAGGCGGACTTTATCCAGTCTTTCACAGCACAGAAAGATCAATGCTTGCTGAGTAAGCTGAATATCAATCATCAGAACCTGAAAGCCTAACGTCACCATACAATTCACCCCTGACAGCACATGAGGGACTGTCTAAGACTGAATGACCCCCTGAAACAGGATGTCAAATCAGAAACACAAAGGTGAACACGTAGCTTTGTGGAAAACATTCTGAATACTGTGGGCCTCCCTCCACAAATTCACATAACACAGCACCCATGCAATCCTCGTACACTCAAAGTGAGCCCCAAATACAAGCAGAAGAATTTGATAGAAGAAAATGCATTCATAGAGTTCTTGTGTCTGTAAGAGTAAGGGTATCAGACCTCTCCATTTCTTCTCAAAGTTACATTTACAAATTAGAATGGTGAGGTTATTTATTCCAATCTTTAGGGATACTGAATCACCTCGGTTATCATTTTAAATATGAGCCTGGGATATCTTTACCAGACTCACTCAATCATCCTTGATTTTGGCTGCAGACCTGTTAGTCTTAGGCAAGCTCAAAGCAAGGATTATGCACAAAACCCCCCGATCAAATGTCATCATGATGTTTAGCTCCAATGACGCGATTAACAATAATCAACTCTTCCCATTCCCAAGGGCATGGCTTCATGACCTCGCATGTGATAAAGAGTTCCGCCTACCTTTAACAAGCAGGGTAACAAAGGGTGGCTAAGAAGAGAGTAGTAAATCAGTGAGTAGCTAAATCTGCCATTAATATTTGGGATGAGCTAACAATGCAAAGGACTAATTTCGTTTAAATGCCTCTATCAACATTGCCTGCGTGACAAATACGTTTTGTGCTGTGGTATATAATATAGGAAAGGAATCTACAGCCATATACAGCAAATAGCAGTAACGATACCCACATTTGAACATAATCAAATTCTAAAAACAGCAATAATCGTTCATGAGATGGTCAACTGTTTACAGAATATCCTAAACCTCAAACCTTATAATGAAGCTTTTCTTTTCACCCAAAGGCAAGCGTTATTATATAAAAAATGAATGTCCCCTTCTGTATTCTATATCTGAGAGGCTAGGCAGCTGCTTTCTGTGCTTTTTCTAATGCCACTCAAGCCTGAACCAATCACTCGGAACTATACAGAGACATTTGTCTGTGTGCCTCATTTGAAGCAACAGACTTCTGCTCTGCTTCTCCCAAATCACTGCCATTGGAAGTAAACTGAATTGACCTGGAGACATACATCGGTATGCACCATCTTACATTTTGGAAGAGTTCCATCTTTATTGTGGATGAGTTATCGACATATAAGTATTCAATGTAAAGCTTGTTTTCATTGAAGTTGTTGGAATGTTTGAAGTATTACGCAATGATGACAAATCAATATTATAATGAGTGACACCTTTTCTACATATTACGTTTGTTGTACATTATTCCCCAATTATGACAGACCTCCTTCCTTCCTCTTTCTCTCGGGTTAGAGTAATGTGCTGCATGTGACATGCTCACCTGTGGTTGGTACTGCAGGATATTCAGGTGACTGGCTACTCACGGGTGACGCTGGCTGGATTTCCACAGTGACAGACTTGGCAGGAGAGAAAGGCACTGGAGACGTTGATGGAGGAGTGGGATCAGACAAAACTATTTCTTCCCTTCTTTCTGCTGAGGAATGAGATGAAACAGATTGAACATTGGCCAGTAATTGATCAGTATCATGCCATTTCTGATGGAAACATTATTACTTTTATTGACTCTTTGCTGTACTGCACTACAATACAATACAAAATTTCATCTGTAAAGCACTGATCACCGTTCATTTACTACAAATGAGGAGGCATAAACTTGATCTCCAGTAGCAAGTCTTAAATAATAATAAAAAAAATAATCCTTGCATTTGATATAGCGCTGTTCACGTCTTCTAGACGTCTCAAAGCGCTTCACAGAATATACTGTAAAGGAATTGACTGTATATTTTGTGGGCGAAACACGGCAGCCAATTGCGCACAGCAGTGACCCACAAACAGTTGTGAATTTAGTGACCAATTTCTTACCATTTTTAAAAAATGTTTGGAAGGAATTATTACCCCCTGGAAAGCGACCCGCCAACTGACTAACAAACAGGGTTCCTACTTACTGCTCGATAAGCAGAGGCGTGTGGAGTAAGGAAACTTGCCCAACATTTCACCCTGCCCGGGAATCAAACCCAGGTCTCTGGCTTGCGAGGCGAGTGCTCTAACCACTGAGCTACAGGGAGTTTAAGAGAAACTTCTTTATGCAGAGAGTGATGAGAATGTGGAACGAGCTGTCAGACACTGTGGGTGAAGCAAAAGGCATGAACCACTTTTAACAGGAAACGTGATACACACATAAGGGAGAAGGAGAGAAGTAAAAACACCAGACGTGCTATTTGGGCCGAAAGGCCTGTTTTCGTGCTGTAACCTATTTAATTTTTTTTTAAAAAAACTAGCATTTTTGTTAAGCTCCCCTTGTATAACATGAACATCTCAAAGAGCTTCACAAAATGAGGTTAAATGGAATTGAGGCGAATTTTGCTGTGGAATTAAAAGCAGGAGCTAAATTGTTCCAGCAACCTAATGCCTCAGAAGTCAGCCTTTGTTTCAGAGATGAAGAAACACATTATAATGTTAATATGCTTTAGACAATTCATACTAGTTTTAGGCCACACTATGAATAATCGTTAAATGATATAATAATTATAAAAGTTATATACTATATTTCCGACCTGCGTTGCCCTCTCCCTTCATTGCTCTCATGAGTTCATTGGCCCTTTCTTGGCAGTGAAGAGACTCCAGCAGGTAAAGTACATAGTCATCAAATGTCAGATGAATAAGGTGGAAGGAACCTGCAATAGAATAAAAGAAATGTATTGAAATTGCATCACAAATGCATCTTCATTTAATGATACGAAGAGAACCTTTGATGAAATAATTTGCAGAATGGGAGAAGAAATCCCAATAGCATTTTCTAAATATGCAGGCTTGAGATTTGAACTTTCAGAAAATTGACCCATAACCTTTTAATAATCTTTAGTCTTGTTCTTAAAGGCGTTAGTCTTTCCTGAACAGTTGGAGGACATTCTATCATTACCTAAACATATCTAAACAACCTGGAAAACCCAAACATTCTGATTCAGTCTCTAGGCCTTTCGCGGAAGAGAAGAATGTGCTGTATCTTCCAGAAGAGACGGCTATCTCTGGTCTCTGGAAGCAGTACTGTTTCTGATGGTAATGTAAGACAGATGTCTATTTTGGCTGTTTAGATTTTCAGGCCACATACTAAGGTCAGAAAAATGACATTTCGTTCGTTTGGCCTGTGGAAGTCCAATAAACAGAAGCAAAAAGAAAAACAACTTGCATTTATATACAGTAGCTTCCCTCATGGAACACTTCAAATACAACCAATTACGAACTGTGGCTTAAAAGTAACAGGACATAAGCAGGTTCGTGCATTCACAGTTACTCTGTAATTCCAGCAAGGGTGGAACCTTCCTGCAATATATACGAAGCAGACTCCCCAGTGCTGAGACCTTGAGGCAATAAAAGAACCACATTGTGAAGAGTTTCTGCAATATAAATAGGCTGTGGTTCTGGGTAAAGGAAACAGAACGGATTTATTTTCATTAAAATCCGTGTCTGTTAAGACTGAAAATTATATTAAAACAATAATTGTCAATCAAAATACAGATTTTTTTCAATGCAGACAGTAGCAACGGATAGAACAGCTTGAAACAAAGATTCCCATCCAGACAGTACCAAAGAATTGGATTTGAAAGAGACTTCATGCTATTAAGTTGCATGGATAATACAATCTACATATTATGATGTCCTCCCATTGCAGCAATGGACAATAAACACCAGTGGCCATTCACAAAGAAGAGAGTGGTACACACATATCATAAAACACTAATATATACAGATTCAGGAAAGCTGTCTATTGTTAATTAGCCATTTTCTTAAAGAGGAAGCTTTATCAAAACACTGCCACCAACTGTGCCTTTGATATGCATAGACAGGGGGGGCAGGACTTTGTTGAAAAGGTGTCTCTTTCAGCTTTTCTAACCTACTAAACATTTTTAAAAATGTACTTTCTTTCCACACCATCTGCACAAATACCTATCCTGTTTTCTGTACCTTTATGTTATTGTTTAAACCAGAAGAAAAGCTTAGCGACACAAATGCAAACCAAGCGATAAATATGCAGCACAAAGCAAAAATCGTCAAGGAATGTCAAACATGCCAATAGGTCCAGAACCAAATACTGTAAATGACAACATACCAAAACTCGGTGCACTGTGCAAAGTCATGTCCCGAATGACTCTTGTTCCAAAGCATGACCACATCAACAAGAATTGCCGTGCTACTTTTTTCAGACAACCAGGTTTTTTGGTTGCTACCTATAAAAGAAACATTAAACCAGTGATTAGCAGATGAAGAATACTTTGCGTGTTCATAATATATCTCACATCAAACCACTCGTTTGGACAGAATTACCTTTATATGGGAGGGATAGATCCTGCCTTTGCTCCATGAATGAAAAATATGCCATATTTGGGGATTTGGAGAAATTCAGACTTAATGCAGACAAATTGTAATCATTATTACAATAATAATTGATAGACATGACAACAGACTTGACAAGTAATCTTGAAATTTGGTTGGACAACTATATATTAATACCAACTCTGCTCTTCTTTTAAAACAAATTACTACAACAGTTAATTGAATACATCATAAGATTAACGATTCTAGTTTTAATCATATGCAAATAATCACCTGTATTGTACTAACAATAAATTAGACTAATCCTACTTAAAAGTTGCTGTAGAACATCTCAAAGTATTTTAAAGGGATGATGTGGAAATTAAAAACAAAAATCCAATTTCCTTTCTTCTTATGTTGTCCTTAGCCAAGAACATATGCTAGACATATTTTGAAGATCCTATTTATAAAACGTTTTAATGTTAACCTCATTAAGAACAGAATTCAAATGGAACTGACAACTACAGGCATCAAAATATTGTGCTATCCCTGGAAATATGCTGGTATGAATCTTCAGAATATGTAGCCGCACAGACACTTCTCATATGTCCTGGATTGGGCATATTCACTGCTTAATTTCATTACTAAATAGTTTTACCTCAGTTCTACAGGATGACAAAAAGTTATGATTACTACCCTATTATCTAAAACAAAATCATAATTTCTTTAGCACTTATTAGTCATTGTAATGGTATCATGACTTTTTAGTCACCCTGTACATTCAGAACTTGCAGACACTTAGCACAGATAGTATGTTCAGCTGCACTACACAAAAAAAACCTTTGGCAATAGTCATTTTCTGTTGGCAGACTTCCTCAGAGCAGTACTTGAAGAATTGGGATGTGTGTTGTTGTTTTGTGTATTGCCAGCGCTGGGAAATTCCTGTCCTCTGAGCTACGTTCCTGCCTTGCAGAATAAGGAGAACTAATTGCCTAATTGTAGATAGGACCTGTAGCTTTTAAATTCTCAATTGTTTGGTTGAACAGCCATGTGATTTACATGGAAAAAGACCTTATACGTGAAACTGGTTGACAAAATCAGGTTCAATTTTAGTTCCTTATCTCTCAGCTAGATTGGTCTCGCTGGAATAATGCTATAGTGTACGTAAATGGACAAAACTGTGTGCAGATCCAGCCAGCTGGAACGGAGATGCAGCAAGTGGGCTTTTTATCCCTTAATATCCTCAACTCATTTAACGAAAAACGTTGTAAACTTCTTTTTGTAATCTCAGTGATTTCGCTTTTAAAGGCAATTTGGAAGGCACTACTGAACAGCTAACAAATGAAGATGAAATGTCTCATACGTTGATAGCACTACATAAACAAAACTCAAAGCCAATGAGAAGATAGATTTTATACCTCCTACATTTATATTGCACAACGGTTAGCTTCAGCTTCGTTCTACACTTTGGATTGGATTCTTTATGGAATGCCAAAAGGCAAATTTTTTTTGCGGGGTCAACCCGGGTGTCTGACACATGCAGAAACCCATCACCATCCAAACGAAACTGAGAATTCCATGCTTCCCACCTACGCATGGAAATTCCAAGGATAGATTGTTGGAATGCAATATAAAAAAAGCAGCGCTTATTTTGAAATAAAATTTGTACTGAGTAAAAGGCTTTTCATCTATCTATTGTCGGATTATGAATGAAGAAAACTCGCAAAACAATACAAAAGCAAGGAAGTAATGTTGAACTTGTACAAGTCCTTAATTAGGCCTCAGTTTGGAGTATTATGTGAAGTCCTTACTAGTCCACTATAGGAAGAATATAAAAGCAACAGAAAAGGTGCAGTGTGAATTCATTCGGATGTTGCAGAGTAGAGAATGTTAATGGGAGACCTGATAAAGAACTCCAAGATTATGAAGCGTTAAGACAAGACAAATAATAGAATATTTATACAATTTGGTGACTTAGTAATAAGAGAGCATAATTTCAGATCATCGCAAAACAAATGAAAGAAAGGAGTTAGAAAAGCAATCCAGAGAGTAGTTGGAATGGGAAATTATTTGCACAAGTTGTTGAGGCAAAGACCATAACTTCTTTTAAAAGGAAATTAGACTGATGCTTGTCAAGGAGGAACATTAAAGGTTATAGGGAGCAAGCAAAAGAGTGGGATTAGATTAGGTAACTCATGCGGAAAGAAAAAAAACAACAGGGAAGACTTGATGGGCCAAATTGCCTCTAACGTTCTATAATTCTATGAACACAAATTCTGTTACCAACCTTGACAACACATCTGTCCACCATGGAATCCAACCATTCAATGTAGGACTCAATGGGTGACTGCTCTTCCAAGAGATGATCAAATTCCTGATACACTACGAAGACAAAAAATGGTGCAAGATAAAAGAGTTGGCCCTGGTGATAACAATGACACAGAAACATTGCTTTCAATCACATGGATGGCCGGGCAAAACACAAGCTGAGTGAGCGATCACATCTCACCTACAGACACAAGATTTTTAAATTCCATAATGCTTGGGTCTTAATACTTATTAGTGATATGATCTAGAAAACATGCCCACAATTAAATAATTTATATAACTATACTTGACTGACTACTCTCCAGAATAATACACATGCCATCATTTTTAGATTGGGGAAGGGGTGTGGGGCACGTAGGATATCCTACGTTACCTATGAATGAATAATTATTTCACAAGTTTAAAAACATCATGGTTTATGAACACTGAGGCATGAATGAAATAAAATTAGGAAATAAATCTCTTCATGCAATGAAGAGGGCAATGTTCCTGGAGATCAGGGTACAGAGAGCCAAGAGATCAGCATGAAGGATCCAGAAGAGCAGCGTGGAGAGAGGAGATCAGCCACTAACATAACAAACACTTTCAGTATTTTTTAATTAAATTCCTTTTGCAATTCCCACAAATCAGACCAAAATGAGCTGCCATTATGGGAGCAAGGAGAATATTTTCTGTGGATGATTATTGTTCCATATTGTATTAACTTTTACATATCACAAAGTCCATGTGATCTTAGTACATTTTCATCAGCTAGTAAGAGAGGAGTGGTGAAGGCCAATGTGTATAAACACTGGCACAGATTAGATGGGCTGAGTGGCCGATTTCTGCTAATGGCTTCATCTGATCTGGCCTTTCGCATGTAGTAAGTTTGTTGGATTTAGAATAAATTTAACAATATACAATAAGCATTTCATCCTTGGTCCATATGGAGACATTGCTGAGCTACAGTTCAGTGGTGGTATGTTTGGCCCTTACATTTTATGATGAGTTTCCTGTGCTCCTCCCTTGAATCCTCCATGGTGTATAGTGTTTGTTTGGTGATGCTGTGCAAATCCACGTTTCTCCAGTCTTCCAGCATTTGAAAGGTTATATCAGCACTGTGGATTACTGTCCTGGACGCCTGCAAGATAGAATGTCAAATGTTTTCATTTGGAAACACAAATGCCTCTAAGGCCCTCCTCCCTTATTCTTCCATGCTTAATAACTGCTCTTCCTCTTGCCATGATCTCTATTAACTAAAACATGGGCACTTACTTGACAGAGGTGATTTAAAGAGGTTTGCCGTCGGAGAACCTGTGAAAATCTTCTGGCCACTGCAAAATAAACCCAGAAAAACTTCTGTCAACTCTGGTCAAATGAAAAACTGACCCAAGCGTAGAATTCCAGCATTTAAATGACTTCCAATACACCATCATAGACGTCCTCATCTAACCACAAAAGGTTAACCCGATTATCAACTTTCTTAATGCAGGGTAAATGTGGCCAGCCTGCTGTCATATTTCGTCCCATAAAAGTAAATTTTAAAAGTCCAATTTTGACTCTGTAAAAACTTTTCTTTAACCTTTTGCTGTTGTTCAGTTTGCTCCTTGTTGTGGTGAATGATTAGGTGAGGACGGAGATGAATAAATACTCCACAGGATTCAATGATCTCTGAGCTACTGGGGGGAGGAAATGTTGTCAGTGAAGGAAAAGAGTGTTTGCTTGATTGACTTTGGACTTAAGACAGTCTTTATGTAGAATGGTGCCTCAGGGGAGAGTGCACGGGGTGAAACCCATGATAGGGTAGATTTTGTCTGGACTGTGGAAGGAGTGGGTCTGATGCGATAATTCTCTGCTTCAAATGTTCTTACACCATTTGAGAATACTTTAATGGATGTAAATCATGGTATAAGCATGTCTGCACAAACGCTTGTATGAATGAATGAGGGCATCTGCATACTCCACATCTGTATAATATGCATCTTTTTTCATTTAACAGTTGTATAAGGAGGAATATGATGTTGAATTTAGGTGAAGCTTTGCAATAACAAAATTCCATTGCTACTATATATCATAGAATCATAGAATTATACAGCACAAGAGGAGGCCATTCAGCAAATATGTATATGATATGCATTGCTTATATTGATCCAGAACTTACACTCAAATTTAATATTTCTTAAATTTTCAGGAAGTTCATGAAGTGCAACTTTTAGCCACTCGTCCAGCTGTTTGGCAAACTTTCGGATCACCTGAGTCAAACTGAAAATAAGAGAGAAAGAGACAGAGTCCAATATATTATTCAATGAGCCGTAAAGCATACTCTCTTATGTGCATACCAAGCTTTTTAATTGTGGTACCATTTAACCATAATAATATTGTACAAACACTTTGGTGTTTTAAACCTTAGCTACTAATGGTTTATTAGACGTTGACCAACATTTCAATGGATTTCAAATGTGTCCCACAGTCTCTTCGCTTTGCTCCCTCCCTTGACTCCTTCAAGACACATCTCAAGACACTCCTCCTTGGTCACCCTCCAACCCCTATCCTCCCTGACCTCCACCCTCCTGATCCCAAGCCCCAACTCGGGTCCAACTCCCTGACTGCCCAGTGCCTGATGTGAAAGGCGCTTTACAAATGAAATTTGTTGTCGTATTTTGGGTGAAAATTTTGCAAATAATAAAATCTTTTCTGCTTGGATATATTTGTGTCATTTTAGAGACATTGACTGACTAAAAGGTAATCTGCCCATTTAAACAAATCAGGTATTGTAGGGCTGTGCATAAATTAGAGCACTGTTACTCTGGCTTACAGGGTGGCAGCAAAGTGGGTTCCTTGCTCTTGTAATTCCTTGGATGAGTTCCTGACCTCAGTCAAAACATTAGGGGATGGAGTCAAGTGGAGGTGAGACACTCCTCCTGCTCTTACACACCTCCTTGTGGCCAGTTCAAGATTAACATTGGCAAAGGTCTAGGACCACATTAACTGCACTCTTGGTTGGAGTAAGATTACCAGACAGCGATATCATTGGTAAGTAACGCGGGTTTAGCTGGTCAGATAATCAAGACTCACTGAGTTGGACGAAATAAACATGTGGCGCGGGGGAGGGGGAGTAAGTAAATTGTATTTATTCCATGTTATTTATTGTTCATATACCAATTTTCTCCAAAGAGGTACAAATAATGCAAATCAATATTTTGTTGAATGGTAATTATTTGATTACTTATTAACACACAATACATTCCAGCTCGAAAGCCAACGTGTACTTATCTTCCGTTTGGAACAAATGTATTTTATAACTAATAAAGAATTGTAGGGTGGTCCAACATAAAAAGATGGACTCTGTTTACTAAAAAGTAATTAAAAGTCTCTACGGGTTAAACTAGCATAACACTCTCAGTAAAAGAATTAACATAAGGTACCTGGCTTAGCAGCTACCATGATAACACATAAATCCACCCATTGCGACCAGGGTTAGAGTTCAAATCTTAATTGACATTTAAACTCAGATAGATCAGGGTTATGTAATACTCTGTCTTGGGGTGGAATAAAATATGGTGATGGAGCAGGGGAGAAATCAGTAAATGGTCCAGTGTAACTTGACGGTAGAGCAAGAGAGCACAGGCTCAGGGTTGATTCAAAGGATGACTTCAAGACAGACATCAGGAAATATTTATTTGCACAGAGGATAACTAACAACTGGAACAGGTTACTAGGAATGGGTGATTGAGGCCAGGACACAAGGCTGATCATCTGAGCCTCTCTTGTGATCTAACGTTTCTACCACAAAGATTACATTCATGGTTACACGTAGGAAAAGCTGAAATAGTTCTGCCTCAGGTTTCCAATGATTCCCCTTTATTTGCAAATTGGCACTACACCAACCTGTCTGGTAATGCCTGTAACACTGTTGGCATAAGGACTCCAGAAATTGCTTTGTACAATATTGAATCACAAACACCGACTATGTTCACCACCGTTGAAGAGCCCAAGACAGGCAGCATGTGGGGAGGCATCCCTTGCCAAAAGTGAAGCAGAAAACTTTGCACCTGTTTCAAATGAGAAAAGAGTAACTTGAAAATATGATTTTTAACAGAGAAATCATTTTTGCATTTGATATAGTGCCTTATCACGTCATCAAGACGTCTCGAAGCGCTTCACAGAATATATTGTAGACTGTGTTTTTTGTGGGAGAAACGTGGCAGCCAATTTTTACACAGAGAGGTGTTAGGGTCTGGAATGCACTACCTGAAAGAGTGATGGAAACCAATTCAATAACAACTTTCAAAAGGGAATTGGATAGGTACTTGAAAAGGAAAAAATTGCAAGGTTACGGGGAAAGAGCGGGGGAGTAAGAGTGATTGGGTATCTCTTCCAAAGAGCCGGCACAGGCACAGGCACAACGGGCGGAATGGCCTCCTTCTGTGCTGTAACATTCTGTGATTCTATGATTAGTAGAAACAGTGTCCTACAAACAGTCGTAGATTGAGTGATCCAATTTTTTTTGAGGGATTATTCCCCCCCAGAAAGCAATCCACCAAGTGTCTAACATCCGGGTTCCTACTTGCTGCTCGGCAAACAGAAATATTAAGGATGAATCTATTTTCATGGGAAGCGCTTACCTCATCAAAATTTGCTCTTATCACTGTATCGAGAATCCTCTGACAGTGAGTTCTGTACATCATAATGAAGGTGGAAACCTATAAAAAGAGAGGAAGGGAATTATTCGTAACTTCTAAACTGCGACTGTATTACGTTATAATGTTTTATTTTCTATCTACCTCAGTGGATTTAAAGAGAGTAACATGAATTATTTCATGACTATCCATTTGTCTTTTAATATATCATGACTACCTCAAAATCAAATAAAGAAAAATAAAGAAACTTTAGTTCATCAACATTCAATTGCTCTATTAACATATAAGTATGAACATCAGGACTTCTAGTTATAATGCAAGTATTTAATAATGTACATAAATTATCTAGAGGACAGCCAGCTGAATTTTGTAATTTAACAATAAATAAATCCCAAAATGAGATCTGTAACTGCAAAGAGCGAATGAGTTAATGTTACACAAAATAAAGAATTTGGTGTGAATTCTAGATGGAGTAAAGTCTATTGTATTTTACCATTTATCCAAAACAACCTGGAATTACACAAACATCCGTAATTCACCCTGGCCAACTTTTATAATCTATCACAATCTATCACAAGAATGTCAAACAAAAGAAAATCACTGAAATAAAATAATGCGTTTAGTCTTTACATTAATAGTAGAGCTGGTCTTAAAATTCGATTTTTGTACACACTATATTTGGAAAGCATATATAGATTTTTAATGTATATATTTGCATGAAGCTGTGGAAGGTAATGATTCAGTCAGGCATTGTGAGTTTGTTTACCTTCTCCTCTGGCAGGCTGGCTGGCAGATTTAAATCTTTGACATTTGGAAACTCTGGCAATAGTGTACCCAGCTTGGATCTTGGTGAATACGCCACTGTCTGTTTAGTGACTTCTTTCTTTCCTGTTTCATTTACCCAGGCTGCGCCTTTCTTAGAGTACATCACATCATAATACTGAGAGGTTTCCTTCACTGCGATTCCATAGTAATGATATCTGATAATGAGGGATGAATTGTATCATAAGGTTCAGAATTAGAAAACAAATTTTGTAAATTCAGAAGAAACGAAACAACTACATTTAGATCACATACATATGACCTGCATGTTTAATTATGTAACACATAGAACATTACAGTATGGAAACAGGCCTTTCAGCCCAACTAATTGATAAATTATCATTTATACTCCACATGAGCCTCCACTTAATCTCCTTTCCCATCTCCCATTGTTCCCTTCTCTAATATGTTCGCATTAAGTTGCCACTTGTGTGTGTATAAGGAATATTGTTTCGCCCACAAAATATACAGTCAATTCACTTTACAGTATATTCTGTGATGCTCTTTGACACGTCTTGAAGACGTGATCAGTCGCTATATCAAATGCAAGGATTATTATTATCTTGAGTATAAGTGCACTTAAATATAATGTGAATTTGAACACTGAATCCAGCAACACAAAGCTCACCAACACCACAGGTCCTGTTACGTATACGTGTAAATCTCTAATAATTGGTACTTACCAATACACTCAAAATCAGCTGTACTTTACATATTCTTGCTTATTAAGTGTTTGACTTTATGGCATCTATTTTCTTGATCTCCAGCAAGAAAATATATAACCATAAATTGTCACATGTGCTGTTATTGCTAAGCATCAATCTTAACGTGTCAGCTTTCCATGAAAATAGATAGTCATTCAGATAACGGGCACAATTACACATTCAAGGATTTCCACATTCAGACACAAAGGGAATATCATAGCCAGCAGAGTGATGTGATAAATTTCTCTACAAATGAAGCTGAGCAGATAGCTGACAAATGACAGGGTCACAGATAGGTGATATAGTCAGCATCACAAACAGAGATATTTATCACATCACACATCTGGTTATGGCATATTCCACTTAAACACACATTGGAGGTTTTGGAACAGGTGCCAAATGAATTTTACTGAGCATTTCCATCGAGTTTCTAATCCATGAAAATCACTTGTTACTATTGTGTAGTATCATCTTTGTAAAAGCACCTCTATTAACTTGGGGAAATGAAACTGGACAGTCCACCATATAAAATGATGGATAAAATCCCACACTACCTTGCTTCAATTGCTGAGTTTATTTTCTCTAAAAGTGTTTTTGCTTTGATGCTTTAAAACATCATTTTTTTATTGCTTAATAAAATGAGAACACCCTAAAAATGAAAACTTCTGCCATAAGAAAGTACTGGTGAAACAAACCAACGCTGTAAATAAAAGTATGTTTCCCAATTTCTCTTCTCTTTGAGTTTGATACTGTTTACAGCATTAGAAATAAAAAAAGTAAAAGTTAAATGGAAAGGTTACTTACTTTGACTGCCCCCTTGTTCCTAGTCTTCTCGTAGTTAGTTGGGGAAATTGCTGTCTAATTATCTGAATGAAAATAAAAACGTCAGGAAGATTTGCTGGTGCTTTCATTCGTATGTGTTAAACACCCAGAGTGTTAAATAAAACACTTGCAACGCTTGATGATCAATTTGAGAAACTATATTCTCCCAAAGATAAATAAAAAGCACCTTAGAAATATGTAGTATTCTTTTTCTGAAGCAAACACCAATGTGGTGATGACTGAATTGGTTTTTACAACGCTCACAAATTGTCTTTCTGTTGTTTATTGCAAATTCGAGAAAACTGCACTTGTACAAATAAGAGGTTTTTTTCCTCCAAAATTGCAAAAAAAAAAATCACGAGACGTCTAGAAATAAGGCTTTTTGGATAACACATCGTCGGGAGGGGGGGAGGGGGGGAGGGAATTGCTCATTTGTATTTTTTCCCCTACAAAAGTCACCTTGTTTAAAGAGTACTGTGTTTTTACGTAAATTTATGTAAATGTTGGTGGTGTAACAAAGGACTCGGAATCATATGGTGCAAAAAAAAAGGAGAAGCCTAATAGAAGGCAAATCCAATAAAAAAAAATCATTGGGTGTCAGGGAAGCAGAATCTCTCTTGTGTGTGTGTGTGTGTGTTTGTGTGTTTGTGTGTGTGTTTTTTTAAAAAGTTATTTTTTGGGGGGGCTGGATACCCCCCCCCCCCCCCCACACACACACACACACAAATATTTGCTGCTGGTGAGAATGAGCTTTGCTGAGAGCCTGGCAGGGAGACTGCTTTTAATTTCTCACTGAAAGTTTCAGCAAACAGACTGCAGTGCAGGGAGGTGGGGGCAGTGGCTGGAGCTTTCCTGGGCTGTGTGATAAATGAGCAGACAGGGAGACAGGGCAGTGTGGGTTTTTTTTTGTGTGAATGCAGTGGAGCTTGGCTAAAGGACACCCCTGCTGTTGCAGCTACTGATCTAACATTCCGGAACATCACTGCCTTCCACATTTTCTTTAATTGCACATTAATCCCCCCCCCCCACCCCTATCCTTTAAGATCCTCATGTACGTCTTAGTGAACTTCACAGGACTGTGGGAAAACAGGGACTTGGAGTGGCCAGCCCTCTACAGACAAAGAAGTTTACTTTCATGTCTAAGTTTTTCCTAAACACTAGGTAACAGTCTTTCTCCACTCCCTCCCCACTCCCCCAACTCTCTCTCTCTCTCTCTCTCTCTCTCTCACTCACTCCATCTTATCTTCCTGGATTCTAAATGAAGATAAAATCTTATAACACACCTCTGCAGCTGCAAATAAACCCCAATATCCCATCCCTTTTCGGACTGTGAAATTTTTTGAATTGAAAAGAAAGGTATTTCTGGTGTTTTGAACAGTGGGTGTGTGGCTGTGGGTTATCAGGCACTGAGATATATATATATATATATAGAGAGAGAGAGAGAGAGAGAGATGGCTGCCTTGTGAGTTATTGGGAAATTGTTGGGTCCCCAACATTGACTGCTCCTGGGACAAAGCCTCTGGACTGTTACTGTACATTGCTGTTCCCAGGCCACAGCTCTTTGGGCGGATGGGATATGCTGTACTTTTAAAGACTGCAGTCATACTTCCTGAGGTTCAAACACGGTTCAAGGTTGGCACTGTACATTCCACCTGCCAGTCCTCCCAAACAGAGTAAAACTCGCCTAAGTCTGATCCGTATAAATCGTACAATCGCTGCCCTAAGTCATACATCTGCCCAAGACCTGGTCAACAGTTCATATTCTATGCAAGTTTGACATAACTCATACTTGGCATAAGTCAGATTAAATGTATGGTCCCTGATACGACTTATGTAACATTAGAAGCATTTCACTCTCACATTGCCCCCATTATTTTCTTTCCATGGCTGTAGAAAATATGTTACTCGTGGGCAAAGATGAGTACTCCTCTTAAATAAGTGATATTTAACTATTCAAACTTTGGAGACCGAGCCCATTTTTTTTGCTAGTTTAGGCTTGTTTTTGAGAGGGGGGGGGGGGGGGGGGGAGAGAACAAAATATGAAAATCAAAGCAATAAAAAAAACCTTAATAGATTTTCTTCTTGACAACTGAGCTGGAAGGCTGTTCTCTAAACAAGAGGATGTACTGATGTGTGCAGTACATATGATGAACATACATCAAGGCATTGGGATGGAACTGTTTTCATAACTTGCTATTGATATCACTTATTTATGACTAAACAAAACCGAAGGAACAGTGTCCTTTTGCTGCTGCTGACAACATTTGACCTTTTTTAATTTTTTTTTACTCCCTTCAGACACCTGCAATATATATATATATATATATATACACACATAGAGATACAGATAGAGATATAATCATTGGGATATCCGATTAATAGCATTTTTTTAAAAAAAAAAAGTTGCCTTCTTTTTACCTTCTGAGCAATTTTGAAGGAGGATTTAGGGGATTTTTTTAAAAAAAAACTGGGAAAGAAACCCACTTATTGAGACCTACGCGACACAACAAATACATCTGCTCTTCTGCAAGTCGGTAAAGGGGTACCTCTGGCCCCAGTGTCTCTCTCACCTTGCCAAAGCTCGCTGCATTGACTGGTTGTGTATCATTCTTCTCACAGAAATCCAGGTAATGCATGTACAGGGCACTTCGAGGGATACAGACCCCTTCAGCGATTTCATAATTCTCTTCGAGCCTGAAATGGGTTCAACGTTAGAGGATTTGGCTTTGATTCCATGCAATTTGCCCCATAGAGTACATCAAATTTGCCCCATAGAGTACATCAAATTTGCCCCATAGAGTACATCATCACACAAACACACACACACCACACACACCACACAACGAAAATATTCCTTGTACCCTCATACCATCAACGACAAGTACTGTGTTTCACTAAACAACTCAAGGACATGTCGAATGGGGTTTCTTTGAAGGGTAGTGACAGGTGTCGGTGGTGTTGGTTGAGAAAGCTCATCACAGTAATTATTATTTTTAGACCCAGTGTAGTGAGTCTCTTAATAATCCCAAATTCTTAAATACAGTGTTTGATTTTGGGTTCTCTTAAGATTTATTTTGATAGAATTCCGGAGATGAAACTGAAATGAACAATTTGCCCAATTCCACACACTCTGAAGTGTTACGTTAAAAGAGTGAATCCAAACCCTGGGAGGATTTTTACCTAATATTTGCTAATGGGAATATCATTTACCTTAAACAAGGACGGAACACGACGAAAAAAAAACAACTCATTTCTGTCAACTTCTGGTGCAGAAGGAAAAAAAAAGGATCTCAATATTTTTATTGCGCTAAATCCACAAAATAACTCGTCCTTATTTCAAAGTCCTGAACAAAACTCCTTTACCTAAAACTTCCCTTCATAGTCGACGAAGGTAGAGGAAATTCCTCCCATGTTATCTCTTTGCTTGGACATTAATGCAGCAGGAAAACATGATCTCATCTAACTCTGTGTTTTGTTGCACACAAGAAATGGATAAGATTTGTCCCCAAAAGTTGTTCCAATGAACAGCTCTATTTTGCTGAGTGAACTCTGCAGTGTATCGTAGGGCACATTCAGTCAAGTCAACTAAATGCACAGAAAAAATCCGACGTGAGATGATCTGCAATGTTCTAATACAACGAATACGGACCTTTGCTCAGTTATTAGTCAAACATATACAAGTGGAATATCTACCGCTAATAATACAACAAACTTTATTGGGTGTAATTTCAGAGGTACACTCCTACTGAAAACAGTTCCATCTAATCGTACCTGGGAAGCGTATAACATCTGAGATGACGTTATATTCTCGCGTTCTCATTTCTTGTGCTCTGGTGCTGTGTTCTCGAGATGTTTAGTTCTTCGACAACAAGTTACTGAGTTATTGAGAAACAGTCTGAATTATTCAACTAAACTTACCATTGCAGAGTAGCCGGTGTCGAGTGTGGTTTGGAAGCTCTGTTGTTTTCTTTTTCTTCGTCTATTAACAAAGATATACATATATATACACACATATATATAAAAAAAACACGTTGCAAAAGTGGACTCAAATTACACGTCCAATGCATTGAAACCCGGAGTTCTTCCATGAACAACAAAAACTGCTCAAATGGTTGTGGGTGTAAATCGTCCGAAAAAAAAAATACCATTTAATTATGACTATTAATGAGATTTAGAGTCAGATTCACGGGTTGTTGGTCACGTCGACTTGTCCTGAGGCCAATTCCTGATCACTGGAACCAAATATCTATCAGGGGTTCTCTCTACTGCTGTACATGTACAGGAGATACTCACGTTCATCGCTATTTGACACGTTTCCCAGGGATGTGTGGCTTGTAAACCGTTTGCTTTCACTCTCATTAAGGCACCTTTCAATCCAGCTCTCTGTAAAGCAAACACTGCCGACGTTATATTCATATGCAATATTATTTAGATTACATATAAGAAATAACTCGCTCATTTCACCTCTTGAAACAAATAGGCATCAAGGCGTTTGGGAAGATATTTCTTTATAACTCGATAGACCTGTTGCTATTCGAGCAGGAGAAGGAAACCAATATTAATCCACGTTGCAATAAGTGAAGTCTCCATAAAAAGGTTCCGAATGTTATGCATCGGTTGGTCTTTCTCACTTGTAATTCCCCCCCGTAAATCGGATCAATGTGCATTTCCCCAACTTCTGGGGCAAGTTCCACACAAACAGTTATATCTGCTTTAGATAATCCGGATCAAATTGCTAGTAAATAGGGGGAGGAATGATGTTATAGTACTTCAAGGTGTTAAGCCATTTAAAGCCAATGGGTTCCACAGAACCATTGCAAATGGTTTTGCAATGGTTCTGTGGAACCCATTGGCTATAAATGCTGTAGACCTTTGCTCACAGATCTGATCTGCACCTGTGGTCACTGGCGGTGGTCACTGATGGGATTTCTTGGAAGAACTTCCCACGCGGGTAACATTATTGTACATTTTTCCCTCCAGCGTTCATCACCATCAAGTCTCCTGTTTTGTGGTGTAGAGTTGATCGACGGGGTGGACGCTAAATATTGCCTCGTTTCAGAGTTTATAATAATAATAATAATAATATAGTTTGGGTGGAGAGGAAGAGTAGCTTTGCTTTGGATGCGAATGAGGACTGACAGAAACATAGGTGTTTTGCAGTTGGGAGTAACATAAACTGTAAGGTGTTTAAGGGTTGCATTTATCCAGCTTTAGAGTCAGGGATTAGCAACTTTAGTCCATCTTCTTGGCGAGTTCTGCCAAGACATTACCCACAGCTTCCACCAACAGCCCAGAGCCTCCAGCCACAGGGTGTTCTGCCCCCAACAAAATCACACAGTGGTCAGTCAGGTCAGGTGTGAGGAACATGGTAAGGAGAATGCCACGTAACTCTAACTCAGCAGTGAGATTAGCTGCTGCCACTAATAAAGTGTGCTGATAATGTGCTTTTTCCAACTGAACTTCCAAGGACTGCATCAAATCCTATTACAGTGAAGAGAGGGAGAGAGAGAGAGAGAGTGGGGGGAGAGGGGGTGGGGGGAGGATGGTCCAGAGGAACTGTCCATTGGGGGGGTGGGATGGGTTGTGTGTGTGTTTGGGCAGTTCAGGGAGAGGCAGAGGGAATGTGTGCTGGAGTTCACCAGAGTTTCCATTGACCTGCTCTATTCCTCGCCTCTTTATTCCGAGCTGTGGGACTTCTCCATTGTTCCAGGCTTTGACCTCCAAACACACACACACACACACACACATACACACATGCTCATTTTCATCCTGCTCTTTGCCAAAGACTGAGGGGCTTTGTGTTCCCCCTTTCTATAAGAGAATGCAGAACGCAAACTAATAATATTTGGCTTTTTTTTTCCACCCCACCACCAAAAAAAAAAAAAAAATCTGTTTCCTCCACAGCCCAAATGGTAACCAAGGCATCCTTGGCTGGACATAGTAGCCATTGGCAACCTGGCTCTGGATACGTCGAGATACTTTTCGACTTCCCAGTGGCACATTTTGGTGGAGATTTAATTCACAGATCACAAGCTATAAAAGGACTTGAAACGCTGAAATGATCACTCGTAGGCCATTTCCATTTGCTGGTTAACTTCTTTCCCTCTGGCCTCTCTGCTTGGGACAATGGGATCCTGAACCTTGGAAATAACTGACCAAAAAAAAAAAAAAACACCTTCAAAAGACTTGCAAGGAGTTAAAGTAAACTTTACTTTGTAAACGATACTCAACAACAGAGAGAGAGAAAAAAAAACGATAAGTAACATTCAGGTTGCAGCTTCAGGGCAACAAGGGAAGCTCATGAATTCTTAATGTTATATATATATATATATATAGTATATATGGGGTGATATTTTAGCCAATGCAAATATAGGAGTACTTCATACTGCTGCAAGTTATCGTTTAATTTTGGGAGGTTTTTACTGCTGTGTCCTGTGCACAGTTGTTCCTCTATAAAAATAGATTTATGTTTATGTGATGTAATTTGAAAAAAAATGCAACATACGTTTTGAAACGAACCTAACCTCACAATAAGTTAATACATACAGCCCAAACTATCAAAAACAAACGCCTCATTTGGTTTTGAACGATATGTTCTAATACATTCATTCATTTATGTCTTTGAAAGATCTCTCGAGTCCCATTAGTTTTTGACATGAATAAGGCGCTGTAATATTTTGAAACTGGGCATTTGCAGCGGGGGGGAAGGGTGGGGGGGAGCAAAATTGAGTATAAAATAAACTTTCCTGAAATTAATGAGCAATTATATAAAAAAAAACACTTGTTGTGATAGTAGCGCCTTATCACGTCGTTGAGAAGTCTAAAAGCCCTTCAAGGAATATACCGCAAAGTGAATTGACTGTATTTTGTGGACCAAATGCAGTCTCTCTTTAGGGTAACTTTACAGTGTCACTTTTATTGGGAATGTTTTACAGTGGTGGGGAGTTGACCATCTAACAGGGGGAGCGGTGGCTATAGACACAGTGAATGTGATGGGTTTTAAGGGAAGATTTAAAGATTTAAAGATTTAAAGACAAGTCGGAGGGATAGAGGGGATGGAGCAGAAACTGGAGATATAACTAGAGGTTTATTTGCTGGATCTGAAGGTAGCAATTGTGTTGCTGCTCTGGTTTGGAGCAATGTTTTACTGGTGTCTGAATCCCTGCTTAACATTTTGCCTAAAGACAAGGATCACTGGGATTTAAAGAGTATGTATTTCAGGATTGTTATTGAAGATGTGAATAACAGGGAACATGCGAGTAAATGGGAGTATTGCATTCTGTTAGGGGGCACTGTATTTTTTATTCGTGTATCACATAAATACGCAGAACGAAGGTTAAAATGAACGCGAGGTCGACTTTACAGCCTTGAACACAAAACGAGGTGACAAATCGAACCGATAGGAAAAAAAATAGTAACCTATAAAATCCCATTACACAACGTCTTAAATAAGCCACACAGTCAACCCACGTTCAGTGATGAATTATGTTCACCGGATTTTAAAAAAAGACTAAGGCATTGAGAGCATCCCTTCTCACCAGCAGGTTAGGGGTCAGGTTTTATTGAATAATCCTCCAAAAAAGAAAGTCACGTAGAGAAAAATCACTCGCCCCCACACAAGCCCGAATATCCGAAGAGATCCCCACGGTCCAGGTTAAACTTTATCAACTCTCATCTTGGCATAAATTATCGAGACCTTTGAAGAACACGTCGGAATTACCGACTCTGTGCAGCAAACACAACAACAGTATTTTGAGTTTGCTTTGCTAACTTGAAAATGCAAACGTTCATAAGCGACCTCGCCCGACGAATTTGAGGGTAGTTTAACAATTTCTAATGGTAATTCTAATTATTATTAGACCTAATCATTTTAATTTTAAACCACACACACACCCCCCCCACCCCCAAACGTTTGCTAAAGTTGCACTCTGGCAACGGTGACTTGAAGTCATTCGGATTAAAGGGAGGATTTGTTTAACTGCTGTTCATAATGTTTCTGAAGCAACAGCTAACATTAGGATAATTATTTGTTCTGCACATTTACGCAAAGACTGGGCTCATGTCGTGACTTGCAGACGAAATATATCATCAAACTTTGCTGCCAGTTTAACCTGAATTGGCAACAGAGAACGTACTCAACCGACCGTTAGTGAAATGTTCTGCGTTTCATTTCAGGGACATTTGTCACCAAACATAGGAACTTCTCTGACAATATTACACTCCACTAAAACACGTAAGAGAGTCGCTTACACTGTGAATCAGTCACCTTCTGCTATTTTGATACCTTGTGTTATTGGTGTGAACTAGTTAACTGATTGCTACCTGGATATCATATATAATATATATATATATATGATATCCAGGTAGCAATCAATAATATATATATACACACAGTAACATGTTTACGCTATTAATCTAAATAGGTTAATATCTGTAAGGTACAATATATTGGAGTCGGATCTTGCACAAACCCCAGGGCTTCTCTATTGCAAACTGGTCACCAGCTTTATTATTTCACATTCATTTCTTGCAGACAAATCCTCCTCACCGGGAAGATTTAGCGCATATGCATATATAGTCCATATATATATATCAAATGCAAGGATTATTATTATTATTATTATACTTACCAAAATAGGTACAGCCACAGTAAATTGGTTTAGCATTCAATATACTCTCTTACTTTTGAACGAGAGGTGGTGGAATGATTAATTTCTAACACATTACCCCCCGAGCAGCTACAACGACAACTAACAACACTGGTTATAAGTGCAACAGGTTGTACAAAAACTCTTACTTGATGCTTTTTTCCCCCCTTATTGGGGTTGTTTCCAGTTCACTTGACATCAATAACGTCTGTACTTAAATAACTATCACACACATATGTAATGTATCTGCCCTTGAAGTCTGGCTCGAAAACCGAAAATCCAAACATATTTAGTGCACTTGAAATCCGCATTTTAATTATAGTCCTCACAATTGATCCTTTACGATGTTGTTGGAATCTACACTTCAAAGGATAACATTCTATTTTTTATTACAAGAAATAATCAAATACAAGTTTAGTCTCATTTATATTTCATCCAAACGACACAGAAACGGATACTTTTACCATTTTTGTTTGCTCCTTAACACCAGGTAAAGTGCTTTGTTACCAAACCAACAGAGAATGGCTTCAAGTACATGTTCAGCAGTTACGTATAATTAACGTAACACAAAATGCCACATTTGGCATTGCTGAATGATTATTACTAACAAAACTGCACTGGTTAACACATAACAGGTTGAGCAGCAATCGAGCTCCAGCCTGGATTATCTGACCCATCACAAGCAACGCAGAGCAATATCTTTACAGCAAACCTAAACCAACAGCTGAGAGAGAGAGAGGAGAGGGGGAAAAAAAATAGTCCTAAATTGCAATTCGTTGCATTTGCAAACTTACTTCTCCTGGATATCAGGTTAGAGAGCCCCCCACCCCCCCCCACCCCCCAGCCCCCACCCCACCACTGGCCAGACCTTCTTTAGAGTAAAAACCACGACTTAATCTATTGAATCCCTATTGAATTCTACAGACAGCCTTTTATTTTAATTCTTCACAAAGTTCTCCCCCCCACCCCCCCACCCCCCCGTTCCCAAAGAAACACCAACCTGTGGAATCCATGTCTGGGTCTTCCAACAGCCCACAATGCATACTCTTCCCATGGACACTACAGCCAAACCCTGGGGTGGAGATAGTGTGAGCCTCTGTGTGTGTGTGTGTGTGTGTGATGGGTACCCTGTGTAATCCAACAGAGACAGACCCCGTCAAAATGTTTGCTGATGTTTCATGGGAAAAAAAACCATCATTTTATAGGAGCCCTGATGTGAGAAATGTCATTGATAGGCCCGACAGTGTGATGAATGGCAGCTTGTCAGAGGTCCATGTGGCCAGGCGCTCTGTGAAGCCCATTGTGATGGTATTTTGAATAAGAAAGGCCAAAAAAAGGGAGGCTTAGATACACGCAAGCCTCACATTTTGTCCTCCCCCCTTCCATTATACCATTAGAAACGTTTCCCCCCCCCCCCCTCTTATTTAAACTCCCAGAGCTGCCCTTGCCTGCTCATTATGGGGTCTTAATGAAAATTGGCTCAGCTTTGAATACAGTTTACTGCTAATCGCATTTATTGCCAATCCAGATCACTATTTCTCTCTCTCTCTCTCCCCCACTCCCACCCCTTTGCTCTCTCTCTCTCTCTCTCTTTCTCCAAGAAGGAGGATATGCAACTTTTCCTTCTCGATTTGTTCCAGTCAGTCTGACTTTTTTATTTTAATTTTAATGTTATTATAATATATATATATAGATAGATATAGATATGCATAAATAATAAAAAAAGGGAAAATACTTTTTGGTGCAGTGCTAAAACAGACACTAAAGTCTGCAAACTTTTAACAACTGCTTGTCTGGGGACAAAATGGTTGCATTGTCTTGGAAGGGAATGGGGGGGTGGGGGGGGAGAAAAAAAGCACTTTGAAATAGAAAGTGTCAAATGGTCGCTGTGTGTTCAGTTTGGGTGCCCAAGTGAAAGAGAAGCTTGCGATGTTTGCGAAAGGGGAAGCCAGTGATTAGAATATGAATGAAGCTTGTGGAGAAAAAGGGATTAATGGCTGAATTACTTTCACCATGGACAGCACCACTTTTCCATTGGGGAAGAACATGAAACTCACTCTTACTGCATTTAGCCAAATAACAACCCCCCCCCCCCCCCTCCACCCCCACCCCAATGATATTTTAATACAGTGTGTGCATATGTGTGTATATTTAAAATATATGAAATTATTGGATTAGGGTGGAGATCTTAGTGCTTGGAGCTGCAAACAACTTGTGGTCATGCTTGGCCCTGATCAAAACAGCTGTATAGCTAACCCTAACATTAGGATAGAGTTCCACTTAAAACCACTATCACCTCTTTAATTGTCCTGTTATTATTTCAAATCTCTGCTTTGAAAAGATAACAACAGGAAATTGTGCTTATCCTCCCCACTGAAATGCTTGAAGTCTGCTGAGGTTTAGTCCTGGCAAAACAGTAACCAACCTGCCTTCTTCAAGATCTCCTTGCCATCCTCGTTTTATGTCTGACTTAGTTCACTCTTGCTTTCTTAGCAATCATTTTTATTGTTTAAAAATACGATTATTTTTTTTCCCTCTGGGCCTCAAAGGGTTAATTAACAGTGCAATCTCAAGTAATTGTTATTTCTCTTTTCCTTCACGTTGCCAAAGCGAATATATATATATTATTGCAAGACAAATAATTAATAATAAATAAGGCAATAAACACACTTTATGTCAGATTTAAGCAGAGGGGAGGAAACCTTATGGATAGAATGAGAACAGACAAGTGAAGGATAGCACTATATACAGTGCGAATGTGCTCATTATTGCTGCAGATCCTAAGAAGGGAGGAAAGAAGGGAAAGAGAAAAAGAGAGGGAGCAGAGAGTGAGAGGGAGGGAGGGGGAGAGAGGGAGAGAAAAGGAGAGAGGAGAGAGAGAGAGGGAGAGAGTGAGGGGGGGGGAGAGGAAAGAAGAAAGAGAGAGAAAGAGAGGGAGAGGAAGGAAGGAAGAAAGAGAAAGAGAGGGAGAGGAAGGAAGGAAGAAAGAGAAAGAGAGGGAGAGGAAGGAAGGAAGGAAGGAAGAAAGAGAGAGAAAGAGAGGGAGAGGAAGGAAGGAAGGAAGAAAGAGAGAGAAAGAGAGGGAGAGGAAGGAAGGAAGGAAGGAAGAAAGAGAGAGAAAGAGAGGGAGAGGAAGGAAGAAAGAGAGAGAGGGAGGGAGAGAGAGGGCAGGAGATGGGTCCTGGTGACTGGACACCTCTTAGTTCTGCATTATTATCAGTTTCATTCTAATTGGATTGCTAATGTGCTGCTGATCCCACAGCTCAAACAGCTCATTAAGATGTGATTAGTATTGACAGGCGAGATCTGCACTCAGCATTTAACACCGGTCATCCACACAGCACCATTGGGCACAATTATCCCCAAACTAAACCCCTCAAAGAAATAACATTCATAAAAAAAAATGATGTGATATCAATGTTACAGTAGTGCTGGTTGTTGCTAACTCCCTTTGAAGACTTATGTGCAATTCAGAGCACAGCAGCTACTTATTTATGCTGAACCAGACTTCTTTTTTTTGGGTGAAGACAAAAATACAGCAACATGAATAGGCGAGAATTATCTGTTGGTGAATTGTGACTCGCACAGATGGTTGGAGATTTGTCTTCAAGGTGGATTTCAGCGGAAAAGCAACAGGTGCATAAGTCAAACACTCTTGCAATGTAAAGTGCTAACTATTGTGCCAATCGAGAGATTGAGAGTATTATTATTATTATTATTGACAAGATCATGGAAAGCCCTGGATTTTGGCTACCAACGTTCCGATATTACAGTCTGTGCTTCTGTATTGTAGTGTCAATTATTATTTTTTAAGTGTTATTTATTGTGAAGTACGTGATTAAATAATAATTAAATAATAAATAATAACGACACACAATGCATAACCCCTTAGTTGGTCGGCAGTCTTGACTTTCAGCTCTCAATTGGAATGAGCAAGAGAATAATGAAAAAGACCTGGGAAGATTTATGTCCAAATCGAAACAGATTGAACATTTATAACAGAGATGTATTTGAAATGCTAACAATATGGTATCTAAGCGTTTGTACGGTGGGGAAAGGGGGAGAGTTAAACAGTTATTTCTCTTCCACTGGGTTTCAGACTTCAGGTTACACACAACTGTTGAGCCCTATCTCTGTCAATTTCAGGCCAGGAATCAGATTCCTGATACAGTATATTTACACAACTCAGCAAACCTCAACTGGCTTGAAAAGATACAGGTACTTTTATACATATATAATATGTAGCATTTGTTGAAAGACACTATAGAAAAAAATTGCATTGAGTTACCAAAACATCATCAGGAGTCACTTACCACATCAACCATTTTTTTTAACGTACACTGATTCAAAACGTTTTGTACTTATTTCAGTTTGAAAGACAGTGAAAGGAGACCAAAGGCATATGAAGACCCTTAGCTGCTGTAATCTATTATTATTATTAATCTATTTCACCCACAAAATACACAGTCAATTCACATTACAGTATATTCTGTGAAGCCCTTGGAGAAGTCTCAATGACGAGATAAGGCGCTATATTAAATACAAGGATTATTATTATTATTATTATTATCTCTCCTGTGACACTGCCACTAGGGTTAGAACAGAGATAGAAAATTTGGGAACGATCATGTTATTAAAAAATGATTTTCATCACCAACTCACTCAGTGCTAACCTGTTCCTAATATGAGTTGTTACTTTGTCCTTTTGTCATTTCTGTGTAATTTTGTCCATCAGTGCAAATTTTCATCTCCAGTTGAGCTGACATGAAAGACTATCATCACAGAGTACTGTACAGTGCCTTATAAACCTCCAATTCTAAATACCCCCCACATTCTCGTACAAGAAAGTCAGCTTTGATGAAGTCATTTTCAGTGAAGTGCAGAACACCAACATTATAAATTTGTCAGAATCAGACTTGAACGAACAGAATAATATTCTAAGGTAATAAACTGAAGTATGATCAATTTCTTTGATTTCTTTGAGAACGTGTATTTATTAAATTCAAGCCGTTTGTTTTGATCGTTTCAATTATGGACAAGATATTTGACATCATATATTATATCTTACAATTTTATTTCTGGAAGCAGAAAGTGTCGGTTCTTTTAAGAACAAATTAGACAGTAAATCAAAGAAATTAATAATAATAAATAAGAATATATAAAGCGGATTGGCAAGTTATACCACATTGTGTTGATTCAATGCCGTTTCCACATGGACTTGATCTTATATTAGTCCCATTCACATAGTAACCTGGCCTGATTACAGTTGGTGAAAAGCTAACTTAAAAAATTAATAAAATAAATTTAAGTCCTGGTACTGTCAAATAAGCTGCACTAATGCTTTTTTTTTACACTGATAGAAAGAAAAGCAATACTGGCAGTAATGCCTTAGAGAACACATAATCCATCTCCACAATTACATACCATCATATTTCTTGACGTATCTCCAAAAGTATTTGTCTAAAGCCATATTCACTAGATATTATATTGTTGTCTTCAGGAAGAAAAAAAAATACATCAATTCCAGTGTGAACTATCCTGTATCTCTGTTTGTGGTTCTTCATGCACTGCAATTAAATATTGTGGTAGGAGCTATTTAAGTAGAGTGTGTACATGATATTTTTACCATGAACACCTGAATAGGAAGATGATTGGAGAAGCTTACAAAACCAATTTTTTGGATGAAAGCTCAATGACATCAGATCATAAACCATTTGTGGCTCAGGTGTAGTATTCAAGCCTCTGGATCAAAAAGATTAGTCCAGTCTGATACTCCAGTGCAGTGTTGGTGGAGTGCTGTATGAGAGATACTGTCGTTTGGATTAGATGTTAAATGTGAGATGGATTTTAAAGATCCCAGGATACTATCCAAAGAGAAGGGAGTTTATCCCCAGATTCTGGCAACAAATCCTCCAGATCAATTGTTTTTCACTTTGTGATTGTTTGCGTAAATGACTGCTGCATTAACAGAACAAATGACTACACTTGATAGTAAATTATCTACAAACCACTTGAGACAATTTGACGTAAGACACTAGAAAAATTCTGAGTTACAACTTGAATCTGCTGCCTATTTGACAAGGGAGAGGCAATTAAGACCACTCTCATCAATTATTTCTTTAATGTAAGTATTACCCTTCACTAACCTACAGTGCACTTATCAAATGTGTATACTTACCATCTAACCTATTTTAAGGATCTGTAAGACTTAAGTCTAAATGATGGTTCAGCCTTAAAAGATTTCAGACCAGGAGATAGAAGGGAATTGATGTTGCTCTTGGTTACAGATATCACCTTGATTTTGGGAGCAATTGATTCATAACACCATTATTTATATCATAAAGCAGCAGCTATGAATCAATTTGGGCTCTGCTTACAATATGTCTCTTCAAAGTTGTTGGATAATTTGTACAGAAAGCTCAAAAACTCTTTTATTGCTATGAGTCAGTTATGTGATGTTACCTTTAACATGTTTGTATTTTATATTATGATTAGACAGAAATTCTAATTTACATTTAACGTATATTGTCTGCAGATTAATTAATCTATTTCTGGGATAATGCTCCCAGGGCAGTTAATTTACTGTGGCAACAGTACAGTAGGATCTCTGTGCATAATTACTTTGAATGCAATGATTACTTTTATTGCATATTCTTGTATTTGAAGCCGTTAGAAACATTTTTCCATTCCACTTAATACCTTTTTAGAGTCATTTGTTTCTGTATCTTCAGAACAGAACAGCAAAAGAGAATTTTTCAGAATCTATTAAAATGGAACTTCAGAATACCATTCATTATCACACCTAGGTCAAGTGAACGTAATTTGCTGCTCAATACTGCTGACACCCCCAAAAATATTTTAAATCTCAAAAGTTTGCAAGTTGCTGAAGTCAGACAAGTTACCAGTTATTAGATTACCCGTATTCAGCGTTTTTCACATACACGTTAGATCTTTTTTTAAAAATAAGCTTACTTTTATTCTAGTTTTCATAGAATATACAACAAAAAGCAGCACTCCAGTAGAAATGTACAAGAAAAACAAAATAATCCTCTTCTTTGAAAAGAGCCGTTTTGACCTTGATTTTCAATGTACAGTTTCCTAGCCGTGAACCACTAAAGAATAATTTTGACTCGTTCTGGTAACATTTGTTGATCCTGAGCTTCTTTTCTTGTTTGACAGTGAAAGTAATATCAATGAACAAACAAGGCCTTGTATGAACTGGTTTTGTTTGCTTGGTCAAACAGAGATGGTCAGACATCATTTATAACGGCAACTCAAGTCATTGCTGTTGGGTTATATTAGTTCATTAAACACAACTAAAGTATGCTTCCCTCTCTTGCCAACTTGAGCTCAAATGGAAATATTAAGGACCGACTGTGTTTTAAAAAGTGAAATTTGAAAATTTCAGCCTCTCTCCAGAGTGATGATATTCTTTAGACCAGAAGTATTCCAGTTGAATCTGTGCCATCTCCGTAATTCTGTGTCTTTCTTGTTCGCTATTGCTCTCTTTTGCGATTCATTCATTGTATTTGGACAGTTTCAGTCTGGGCACAATGTTCATAGACTGAAGCTCTTGGAAGAGCAGTTTACATGCATATGGAATACGCAATGAAGAGACATGGCACGATGACTTGCAGTAATGGCACCTAAACAGACAAAAAGATCTCACATTATATTTAAAAACTTAAGGTGAGGTTAAGTTAAGTTTTTTTATACCTTATAGTAATTAAATTTTACACTTCTGAAGTACAATACAGTATAATCCTGATCATTCACTCTGCACATTGCAGGTGGAGATAGATCGGTACTTAGCCTCAACCATATTCTGGGAACATGGGTAGTTAGTTCTAGTTTTCAGAAAAATAATTTACATAAACTTGTCTTAAGGCTTCCAGATGACAGGAAAGTTCAATTCTGTATTTATATTATCAAATTCAAGGACAACATTAAATCTGCTTCAAATATTTAACTTTATTTTTGAAACGCATTCACCGGTCACATTTTCCCTCCAAAATACGACTTCGCTGATACTCACCATCCAGAGTAACCCAGCAGCCCGCACTGTCCACAAACATCCACCTCGAATGCATCGCTGGAGATCATTAACCTTTCCAAAAGTAACATGCTTGCTCCATAGCCAATCAGGCAATCCCGTTCCATCTCACCAAGACGTAAGCCACCATCACGAGATCGACCTTCTGTTGGTTGTCTACAAATACACAAGTCATTATATGAAGCAAATATCTCATTTTAGAAGAGGAGTTTATCTCTTCGATCAGTCTGAATCTAAAAGCACTTTCAAGGTGTGTGTACTGAATATTGTTATCTGCACAGGAGACTCAGCATGATTTTGGAATCAATTTACAGCCATCGGTCTTGCATTGTCCTATATTTAAATCAACAGCCAGTTAATGAAATAAAACAAAACAATGTAGAAAGAATGCCACCTTTGAGGAACAACAATATTTCAGAATAATCTATTTTAAAACAGTTAAAACCGATTTGTTTCGGTAAATATTGTGTAAAGTTCCACACTAACACCTAATTTTGCCCCACAATAAGTAATAAACAATTTTTGAATTTTTGAAGTTAATGCAAGACATTATTTTTTGAAACCTTCTTAAACCAGTCTTTACTCAAAGTGCTAAATAAACACACTAACCTATCGTTTCAGACCTTTTATTTAATTTCGACAAATACTAGAATAAATTAAATTCTTGTAACTTTTGGACTATTATTTCCCACCAGGCCACAATGAGATTGTAATACAAGTAACCAGTGGATGTTACCAACACCTTAAACAATCCATACAACAACTTGCATTTATTTGGACCCTTTACATACATGGGATAATATCTTGGGAGTTATAATAATAATCCTTGCATTTGATATAGTATTATTGCATTTGATATAGTATTTATTATTGATTATCGCATCTTCGAGACGTCACAAAGCGCTTCACAGAATACACTGTAAAGTAATTTGACTGTATATTTTGAGGGCGAGTTACAGGGTAACGTCTTGGGAGTGCTTCAATAAAGTGTGGTTATTTATTGAATGTTTTACCATCTAACACCTCCTACCTGGTAAGAACAGCTCGGGGACCTCGAGCTCTTGCATGCATCTTATCCAGCACCATGTGCTTCAGCTTCTGGTAATACACAGGACCAAAGTAGATATACGCTTCCAAAGGTTCGCTTTTTTAAAAACAAAGAACAATGTTTTTTTTAACAAAATGATTGATTTAATTTTGATACGTTTGTTCTACAATGGAATCATTTGGACCCCTCTTCATTTTTAATTAAAAAAAACACATTTTAACCCTACTTCTTTTCTTTCCATGCACATCCAAAAAATATAATTCACATCGATAAACTTAAATTCTTCTAAAACACCATATCTCAAGGACACCAGGGAAAATTTCCAACAATCGGAGTGTATTATATAGGATGTTGAGTGTATTTACCATTCTTACCCTGTAATTCCAGAAGTCACATAATCCTTGCCCAGATAGTTATAGCCATGACGTATTAAATCCTCACACACATCCTTCACTTTACTCCCTCCAAAGGCGGTGCCATAGTGGAACCTGCCATCCAGAACCCCTGCCTTTCCTGCCAGTAGCTCAATCAACTTCCCAACCTATGGAGATAAGAAAATAACACACAACATGTCAATGGATATTTAAATTCTACAGCTCAAAGTTAATCATTCCTATTAATTAAAGTCAAGCTCTAGTCTACTATATATTTCACAAAAATAAACATGTTCACTGNTTTTTTTTACAGCCAGACTTTAGAAACACACAAACTTTAAGAAGCATATGTAAACCATGATTAATTACGTCCAATGGTTTGCAATGCAGTGAGGGTTTATCTTATTCTGCTTTTTAAGTCTTCTATGGACATTCTTAAAGCTGAGGGATGTTACCAGTATTTCTAAACAATTGCAGTAAACCATTTCTGCCCACAGAGGAAAGAGTAGAGGGATTTGAGTCTCACCGTCATTCGGGACGGATAACCATGTGGGTTCATGATGATATCAGGACAAATTCCACTATCACAGAAAGGCATGTCTTCCTGAGGTACAATCAAACCACAGACACCTATAAGACAGACATTAAATCAGAACTTTTTTATTATTTAAATTCCTATAATTTGCTGCAAGTTATAGCCTTACACAGGTAATGATATCAGTAAGGTGAATAAAAACACTCTCTAAACCTAACCCATCAATGGTTAGAACCTACCTGAAAACATATTGACCAGGCATTTTGTAGTATTACATTACAGAATCTAATTTTTGTAAGTGACATAGAATTGAGTATAGAAAAAGTCTTCCTGTACAGAACAGTTTAAGGGATTGGCCCATTTTTGTAACTGGTTGAGTCCTGGCTCCCTCAGAAAATAATTGTGAGTTATGGATACAAAGCTCATAAAATCAGCTGCCACAGCGAGGAACAGATTCAGGAGTTCTGTCAAGTTAAGGTACCTTTCAACATAAATTACACTTTATGGGAGGGAAAAGGCCAGTTAAGCAAGGGCAGCATATTCTGCAGCAATAGGAAAGTTCCACCATCGAACTTGAAGGTTATCATATGGTTGTACATTCTCATGATGTGAAGCAAACACAAACAGCAGCTTAAATGGGTTAAAATGCAATGTAAAAACAAGGCTATACAGTTGAATAACCACAATATCAGATGTAACAGGTGATCAGATATAGCAAATCTTCATGGAAGTAATATTGTGTATGATAAATATGTACTAAAGGACAACGCTGAATAATAGCAGACTGTGGAAAATGGTGATGGTTCAGACCACAGAGAGCCACTGTGTGTTGTTTGTTTTGTGTGAAAGAGAATGATAAAAGATGCATGAAATTGACACAGAAAGGAAAGAAAACAGAAAGAACGGAGGGTGCTCCATCATAGGCAGCTTGTTGCCTTTGCTGCGCTGTATAACAATGGGATCTACACATTCAACCCCAGATCCAACACAGCTGTGTATTTCATTAGATGAAGAGACTGGTGACAAAAGTAAATAATTAACTTATTGTAGTCTAGAGAAGACGCTGACAGAACTAACCATATCCAATGGATTTTAATAAGATTTCCCCGACTTAATTGCATTTTTGGTTAGATATATGGTATTAATTAAACAGCAGGCAATAAAATGTTTAAAATTCTAAAAAAAAGAGTGTTCTACTAATTCATATATTAGATTTATCCTTCAATGGATATTCAATTTTTATATACAATAACTTTGTTCAAACATTTCATATACAACAACTCCTGCATGTTAAATCCAATGACAGGCAACAATAATCCCAGAGTAAATCTAGTTACAGCATCTTTATATACCAATATCTATGCAAACCAAACGTATTCAAGCAGTTAGGCAAAATTCTGTCTGTCCCCTAGATTTGAGGTCAATTTTAACCTTCCCAGTCTGTAAATATTGTGATCTATACCACCATTTCAATATCACCTGTTGTACATAGGATTTTCCCAAGAAATCGTTACTGTTTTTCACACACGACAAATAAATTAGCCTAAATTGGAGAGCCTGAATACTAATTAATACATTAGAAAGATTAAAATGCTCTAGGGAGCAGCTATTATAAAACAATTAGCTCAAAGACTTTAGAAGGTACACACTGGAAAATGAGCTAAAGCTGCTTTTTTTTTACAATGTAGTTCGCATTCATTGTTTCGCTACTGGATGGTATTTGTGCTAGGCAATTGCCTGTCGTAAAATAGTAATGAAACTGTTTTGAATAATTAAGTAGAAGGTCATAGGGTTACCGGCTCAGTATTTGTATCTGAAAACACCCTTGCAGGGGTAATTCAATGCGGGTTCCAGCTTTTACGGGTTATTTAAAAAAAGAACTAGTGGAAGTTAACGAAAGTTAAAACACCCCCTGCAGTGCAACGTGACAAAGCCCATGTCATATTACACATTTCAGATCCCTGACTGTCCAGCGCCTTGGGACGTCCTCCTGATGTGAAAGGCGCTATACAAATGTAATTTTGTATTGGTATCTGTTATTTTTTTCAGCGCTCAATTAAAGTGGCAAAACAATGGTAAGTGAACCAAATGTAAAACAAGTAAAATTAGCCACAGTAATAGGCTATAGTTTAAGACTTGCTTATTTCTTGCATAGAGATACCCCTTACCTTGATGGCACCATTTTGTCATGTGTTTACACATCCATTTTGTAAAAACAATTAATATTTGACCATCTTTAAATACAAAATAAAATCTGTGCCCTCTCTACAGTAACTACAAGCTTTATTACGAAGTCAAAAGTCATACATTTTCCTGGTAGCATGCAACTTATTTACAAGGGAGCATCGCAATATATCTTGACTCGCTCCTTCCCTCGTTCAAGGACTATCTTAAGACATACCTCTTGGACCGCACTTTTGGTCCTCTTTCCTTCCCTCATCTCCTTTGGCTCCCACCCCTAGCTTAGGTGACCAGCCATCAGTGTCAAGCGCTGTCCTCCCAATGTGAAAGGTGTTATATAAAAAGGCCAAATGGAGCCCTAAAATTCTTAAACATTATGAACTGGTTTTAACCCAAACACACCCATGTGTTGAAGTTACCTTTCTGGCCATGTCGGCTGCTGAATTTGTCACCAATCTCTGGACGTCTTGTCTGCCTCAGTAATATTTTGATTAAGAATGCATCCTCCGAGTTTGAGGAGATCATCACCTTCTCAATATAGGAGTCTGTTGCTCCTTTGTAGCTGTTAATGTAAACAGAATTGGAGGTTGTGAATTCTAGACATATACTGCAATATAATTATGATAATTATAAATCATGGGAGACATTTGCTTCATTCTGGTTTACCAGTTGCAACATTGAACAAAAGGCGCCATACAAATGTAACTTCTTCTTCTTGTTTGGGTAGATAATAATAATATTATTAGATGAGCATCTAAGTATACAATTAATTTGAGTACTCAGCTATGACTCTATTCAGTCACGTGATCTTGACTCAGGGCAAATTTATGAATTCCATCAAATTATTTTTACTCAAATACCCTGCCAAGTGGAAAAGCCTTTGTGCATAAATAAGTTGCTAAAGATTAAATAATAAATTCCATCCAGAACTGATTCAATGTCAAGTATTCATAGCCATGCTTCAGACTTCTGGGGAAAAATATACTGGCTTCAGACTATCAGGTTTTTATTCTGATTGTATTTGTTGAAGGATAATCATGATAACTCAGAATCTAGATCAACTGGTGTTTCAACATACGTGATTGGGACATCTCGAAACTGAGGTTGTTGAGATTGAGCTGTTCCCTCCAAGGGAGTCTGTGTAACTGTTGGCATTGATTTGTTCACCAGCACTTGCCGGTTTTCCACTTTCTCACCTAAAATAAAAAGGCAGTGGAGGAATGTAAACAGCTTCTCAAATCATTTAATTTGTGTTCCTCAATATTAAAGATAATCTTCCAAAAATACACATTTGCAGAAATAACAACTGCAATAATGAATGAATTAAAGTGATTCCGATAAACGAAAAGAGAAAATGTTAATTTTCCGGACAACAATATATCAAATTAACCAAAGAGACTCCAAACGGAGAGCAATATTGCAGGGCAGAAACATCCATTAAAATACCATTTAATACATTTCTATAGATCTTTACTGTAATTACAATGGAACTTTACTTTTTCTCCATTTTAACTGATCTTTCGTTACTTGACTGGGGAAGCAGTTACATGGCACTAACAGCACTCTAGTACCTTGCCCAAATGACCATCCTTAACCTCCAGGAAGGACATCATAACAAACTTGATTCTGTTCTCACATGATATCCACAAATATATATGTCTGTAGTTATAAGAACATAAGAAATGCTAGACGAAAAAAGATCAAGGTCCATCTAGTTTGCCTTCCACCATCCTAGCGGTCACATGCACTATGTCCCGATCTACCTATGTACTATGTCCCATAAGATAGTTAGAACTCAATGAACATTGCCTCTTCTCACCTGGTGAGGAAATACCATCAGCATCCAAAATTTCATGTCGCCAAATTGGCTTCCGTGTAGCTGCATCCAGCATTGGACCCATCACTTTATCAAATGTTTGGTTGGTGTAGCGTTTCAACGTGCACTTTGCATTTTTATACACTAGACACCTTCCAAAACCTTTAGAGAAAACAAATTGTGATTGCTATCACAGCCACGCTTGCCTCAAGTTGTTTCCAAATATATATATATAAAACAATTATATATATATACACACACACACATATGCAAGAGAGACCAAATTAATACAGTATCAGGAAATTAAATACACAATAAACCTCTAAGCTTGGGAGGCAGCTTTGGTTGCAAGGTTGAACTGTAAAAGAACAAGGGAGAGCATATCTGTGCGAGGTGGACTAACATTCCTCTTCTTTTATTTATCCTGCATATTCAAATTAAACTGGGATATTATAGGAGGGATTGTCTAGCTAAGGAATACATGATTGCGCAGCAATATAAAGTCAATAGACTGAATACAAAATTCACAAGTCCAGCTCATTCTCAGGTCTACATTTAGTTATCAAAGTCTGATTGTACCATTTAGGATCATTTCCACTTTTGAAAAAAAAAGAAAATTCTTGCAATATGTGGGCAGTCTTGCTGCCATAAAGACTCATTGCAAGGACTTCGATATATGGTTTATGATACTGTGAAGTGTCTATTTCCAGCTGTCATTGGTGTGTGTTGTGATGATAGCAAGTAGAATAATGTAGTTGGGTCTGGTTTACAGTGAGCAAATGGCGATTGAACGACTGCCATTATTGTCTGGTTGATGGGCGAGTGAACAAGTGCGCTGGGATTTGGGTCATGAGCCACGAGTTGTCAAAAAGCATTGCCAACTTAAAAACATACAGTGGATTAGACTCCATATGAAGGTACAAAAAGAAGTGCAGGAAATGCGCTTCCAAATTGAGACTGAATATTTTTTTAAAAAGTTTCAAAATTCAGCATAATCTTACAATTGAACACAACAATCTTAAGGCTAAGACTATGATAAATGTTGGGAATTTCATGTCCCATGATTTTGACATAACATAATAACTTGAAGAAATTGCATTGGTCCCACCAAGGAAATCACAGATTTGTCATACCATATTGTATTCTGCAATAATCTTGGTTCAACAAGGGGATAGCTAACCTTGTCAACATATAATAATAATATAATAATAATCCTTGCATTTGATATAGCGCTTTTCACGTCGGGAGGACGTCCCAAAGCGCTTCACAGAACACACTGTAAAGTGAATTGACTGTATATTTGTGGGCGAACGCGGCAGCCAATTGCGCACAGCAATGTCCCACAAACAGTCATAGATTGAAAATGACCAATTTATTATTGTTTTGGGTTTTGGAGGGATTATTATTAGGCTCTGTGTGGAGTAAGGAAACTTGCCCAAGGTTTCGCCCTCTGCCTGGAATTGAACTCAGGTCTCTCACTTGCAAAGCGAGTGCTCTAACCACTGAGCTACAGGACTCCAAGCATATAAAAAGCAGTTCTAGGTAACATTGATGGGGAAAGTTTCCCACCTGTATTAATTAACATTGTGTTGAACAAAGGCCAAATAATTATATGAGATCAGTTAAATACAGGGTGACCAAAAAGTCGTGATACCATTATAATGTCCAATGAGTCTTTTAAATAAATTATGATTTTTTTTAAATAGGGTAGTTATCACAACTTTATGGCCACCCTGTAGATGTTTTGTGAAGATTCTGCTTATTACAAAATACAAAAGTTGACATTTTAGCTTACTTTACCTCTGTCCAAAGAAGCCTTATTTAGGACAAGAGCATCTTCAATATCGTAACCACTATAGCTCATTACTGCAATCGTAGCATTTTGTCCAGCTGGCAGCTTTTCAAATTCAATCAGTTCAATGGATTTGGTTTTCACCATGGGTTTTTGTGGATATGCAAGCAGGTACATGAGGGTGTCAATTCGATTGCGCTGATTGTAACCAATTGTGCCTGAAAAGAATAACAGCAAATCTAGTATTCCTTACAGAACTTACCAAATTTACATTTGGACCAACAAACTGTAACGCCTCAAAAATAACATTACCGTATTTAATTCTTACCACTATACATGTACGGTGTACAAACAAGAACTGTCAGAAGAAACTACAACTACAAGCCGTTTTTATAGTACCTTTCACAGAGGAGAAAGTTTCATGAAGCAGTTTACGTAGAAGAAAGTGGCCAAAGGTGAAGAGAGAGATAGAATATAAAGGTGACAATGTAGATACGTTTCAGTATTACAGCCATGAATATTCACTTCAACTTCGAAAATTATAAGTATAAAAAGCTCGTGTTTTATGCAAAAAGATCAACTGAGAACAGTTTACTTTTAAGAAATACAATATCCTATAATGTATGCTTTTCAACAACTAGTTGAGATTGTACATAGTGCAAAAGGAGGTTAATGTAAGGTTAATTACAATTATTTTATAAGAAGCACAAAGCTCAAATGGAATTCAGATGATGGATATCTGGTTCACTGTACAGTTATGACCCTTTAGTGAAGGGTTTTTTCTCAATTTATTTACAGTAATGTTTTAAAACTTCAAATCATCTTACGGGGAAAGCTAACTCAAACACTATCATGTACCACATTAGTTAAGTTTAACACTTGCAGCAGTGTCAGGAGTTAAATGTAACTAACATTTTTTCACAAGAGCTTTATGTTTTAATGATGGCATTAATCATAGGATGCACACTAAGCCTTATCACATTTACACCCAGATTTTGACAGTCGCCTCCTATTTTTAACGTCAGAAGCGACGTCAGAGAGCGGTCGGTATCCAAGGAGCTAATTGTACAAGCTCAGAGTCTGAGCAGCTGAATACACCAGTCACAGAAAAACAATGAATTGCAAATGACACTCCAAAACAAAAACACAAAAAGTTTCACACACAACAACTACAAAAGGACTCTGCATATATATTGATCTGCTGTTCTGTATGCACTGATCCTACTTATCTGTGTGTGGCAACAAATTGTTCACTTTGAAAATGATGTCAAACGGGCACAAACACAGAAAGCAATTAGGAGAAACCTTTACCACTGGTTTGGCAGAGATGACCCCACTACTGACCCCACTACCGAATTAGACAACTATTAAAGGGACATTGTGGGAGAAACTATTTATGGAAAAAATATATGTGCAGGATTATGAATCTGGACTTTGATGAGTAAACTCATCCTTTCACACTCCAAATGCTGAATAATTTTTAAAACTACCCCTAACACATTACACTGTACCTTTTCTATGACTTGAATTTCGTTTGGTAAATGTATAGCTAGAAAATGATTTATTTTTAAACTTATCGACTAAATAGGGGTACAAATTAAATGATAAGAGTTTTTTTATTTTAATGTAACAAAATATATAAGGATATGCTGACTCCACACATGCATTATGTTCATTGATATGCACATGCTCAGTCAAACTACATCACCAAATACATTTTGAATACATGGCACCATTCACACATTACACAATAAAGGTCAAACAAAGAATCTAGCATCTTAAGAATGTTTTTTTAGGGTTTAATGCACAAAATGTTCCAACTACTTTCCTGTTTTTCCTGGGTCTGTTTGGAAATTAAATACAATTTAAGGACTGTGTTTGTTCAATTAGCTGAAAGCGAGTCATCTAAAATGCCACTATCCTGATCCCTACTTTTAATCAGTGATACACACTGATGCCAGAGCACATGTTATAATGAGCGCATGTGTGGATACTATTCAAGACACAAGGTTTTCTTGCAGTAAATAAAAAAATCTACTATTCCCCCAAAATAATTTGAAATGATAACCTTTTAATTATTTTTATGGATCATTTCCTCCCCTTCCCAAATGCTGAAAGCTTACAGGCAATAAACTCCAACAGAAGACAATCTGAGGAGGAAAATCACTTACAGGAATTGTACGCCTGTAGAAGTTGGGAAAAGCTTTTCTTCCTTTTATCACTGGTAACTTGGAAGCTAGCAGGGTTCATTCATTATTGGATACAGAACTGCAGAAAGGATTTGGCATCCTGCATAAAAGTCTCTCCCCCACATAAAGTACATCAAGTAAAGGGAAATAACTATTATACATGAGGATACAAGACAGGGTAATTCACACATCGCTTATTTTAGATAAGTAACGGTTATACTCAGTCTCCCAAGGGAAAATAAAATAAAACTCAGCGAATTTTTGGACGTGACATTTAATTTTTTTTTACAAAACAGAGTTTTTGTACCCTGGAAAGCTACAGCTAACTGTTCTAGTGCCATGGCAGAGTTTACTGATTTGGGTTGTGGGAGCTATGCCAGAATCTACTCGCTTGCTGGCCTTCCTCCTCGATTAACTATAAAAAACACAAACATGAATAAAGCTACTCAAAAGATCTGGGAGTTTAATTGTTGCAATATGAACTGCTAAAATAAATGTTAAAAATAACCCTGTAAATAAAATGAACAATTTACAGCTATGTAAATAAAAGTAAATCTTACCCATGGCCTGTTTTCCCATAGCGCACTGATATGTGTTTCTTGGAGACTGATTATGGTGGGGGTACGGAATCAGACCAGCGCAAACTCCCAGTAATGTAAACGGCTCAATCTCCAAGTGGGTCGTATCTCTGAAGTAATGAAGTAGAATAAATCGCAGATGTTTAAAAAGTTTGTGAAAAAGATATATTTTTACAAATATCACCCATAAGTGTCTGAAATACGTTGCAATGCCTGTCTTTGCTTAATTATGTCTAGTTGGATGGAATTAAAATAGCTTCGTAAATTGTAATGATTGTGAAGTATTTTAAATTTATAAAATGGCCCAGAAAGGATTATCAAACAATTATAATCATGTACTATTTTCAGAATAGGCTTAGGTTATACAGCACCAGTCAGTTATGTGGAACAAAAGCTGCAGCAAATTCTTGATAAAAATCATGCAATGAGAAAAATCCTCTTGGATGGTTTATTTGACCGTGAGTTACAGCCTTGGCTGTCTGCCTTCTTCTAAATATTAGAAATGAGCAGAATTCCTAGGCAGCCGTGTCTGCAATCCCGTGTATGCTGTCTTTTTGATGCACAAACATGATTACATTCTATTTATGTAGATCAGTTATGTATGCACTTACATGTTGATCATATCCTCATAAAGTGCAATATAGCAGTCATTTTCCTCATTGACGTCGAGGTATTCCACAAGACCTTCATGAAGAAAATCTTCAAAGGACCTGTAAGTAAATCCCCCCAAAAATTCTCCAATATTACATTTGAACATCATGGAGTGGACTTCAAAGCCATTAATAAGTCCACAAGAAATAAGTGGAAGTTGTGTGTGCTGAAAACAAGCAATCTGCAGTAAGTGGGAGAATGCTGAGTACAACATTCAGAGAGAGTGTGTGGATGGGGTTAAATAATGAATACCAGAAAATCACTGATGAAGAAAATGAATAAAGAACCAGAGAGAACAGGATCCAGAGTTTTTGATGGAAAAGAGACAGAAGATGAACCACCAATGAAAACTCAGATAGAATGATTTGCAACAAACACTAGGAAGCAAAAAGCATAATTTTGTTGGAAGACCATAAGAGGACAACTTGTTTAAATCCTGTCGAAAGATTTGGAGATAACAAGAGTACAGTAGCAGAGTTCAATAGGTTCATAATACAACGAAGAAGGTAGTCAGTGAAGCAACGCATTTTGTTTAGTAGATTCACTGTAAAAGAAGTCCCGAACATATGTTCATATTTGCTTTTTAAGTGAAATGAGCGCAATAAAAGATGGCTTTTTCTATAGCACATTTTTAAAACACAGTCAGTTTTATATTACCTGTAGCCTTGAGTGAGCTCTTCTATGTGCTTGTTTCTGACAGCTGAGTTTCCATTCTTCACTATGATATAAGGCCTGAAAACAATCCAATATATTTTTTAAATTAACAAAATCTCAAAATGGTTGAATTATCTATTGTAATCAATGCTGCTTCACTTCTCTTATTTCCCAGAACAACAATCTGGGAGAATAATGGAAACACACTGAAGCTCTCAGCTAAATAAGAAAGATTAATTTGGTCAAAATGCTTAAGATTTCTAAAAAGCAAATCAATATAATATCCAGAACTATTGCCAGGAGAATGCTATACACGTTGACAATGCACACAATTTGTATTTTATCTATTCTTTCATAAGTTATTTTGGAGTTTAGTTACTTGTATGACTTTGAACTGATTTATAGGCATTTCTACTTGAAATATTTTTGAGCTAGATTTAAATTCTAAACAAGTCAACGCAGAGCGACTTTGAATGGAATCAGTAAATGGGTTACATCATCACATTGAGCTTAGTTTCGCCCACAAAATATACAGTCAATTCACTTTACAGTATATTCTATGAAGCACTTTGAGACGTCTCGAAGAGGTGATAAGGAGCTATATCAAATGCAAGGATTATTATAGTACCTGCAAAGTCTACCTCCATCAGAAGAAATATAAACACAGCGATCAGTCAGATTTGTAGAGATTGATACAAACTCATTGATGTATCCTGCTCGCCTCATCAGACGAAATGTTTTTACCAATTTCTGATGGTGACGAATTACGCCCAAGATATTACCTGAATTAGACAGAAATAAGCAGATTACAGACATTCAATGTTTCCAAAACATTTAATAATGACATTTATTACGGTGTTCCTCAAATGATGACTGCGAACCAATCTTCACACAAAAATAAATCAATCGATGAGCAGATGCTTGACTCTAAAGAGATTGACTCTAAAATAGATTATGCTTATGTATACATAAAACCTTAAAACAAAGAACAAGCAAATGTTTCTTACCGTTCAGAAATACAATGAACACATTTGGATATGAAAGTTCTTCACCGCACAGCAGATTTACATCTTCTACTCCCAGATTAAAGGCTAGTTTAATAATGGGCCCATCCTCCATATCTGTGGTGATATGCGTCATAAGTGCCAGGTTTTTCACTAGACCGCAAGCCTAAAGAGAGAGAGAAGAAAACACACCAACGTTAAAGTATGAAAAATCTCGACGTGTTAATGAAATAAATACCGAACAAAAGCAATACTCGAGTGTAGTTGGAATGTAGCATTGCACGTTAATACAACATTCTGAACACTCAATGTAGTGATACAGAACAAATGGATAGTTGGTACAAGCAGCACGGCTCAAGACCTGGTCTTTATTTCAGTTTGGTAAATGGAGCCAATCTGAGCCCACCCTTATGAGAAGAATCAGATGTGACCCACAATCATGGATATGAATAACATTGATGGCAATAACACATTGCGGTCAGCAAATAACCCTTCCTAACCCCTCCCACACTCTAGCTCGGGTTCCCAATCCGCTGTGTGAGTGATTTGAGACATTGGCCTGACATGAAAACCATTGCAAATCGCTGTTCTTGTTGGTGGTCAGATGACCTGGGGCAGCAGATCTCTGAGATGTCTACCCACGTTTCCAAGTGGGTATATCATGAACCTCTTCTGATGCAAAATGATGCTGATGTAAAATGTTTTCTAATCAACTGACGAGCAGCTCAAAGAATATCACTTTGATGGTACTACAACAAATCTGTGCTTTATCAGCCGGGAAGCATGGTTTGGTAGGAGTGACAATGGAAAAAAAACAGTTCAAATATTAGTAGTCAATTGAATTCTCCTAAAATGATACAGAACTTTGCAACATTAAAAACTATAAAGATACTTACTTCTCCCTCAGGAGTGTCTGAAGGGCAGAGCATTCCCCACTGAGATGGTTGCAAGGATCTGGGACCACTCACTTTCCTAGTCTTTTCAAACTGAGAGGAGATTCTGGTCATCATACCCAAAGCAGCTATGTAGGACAAACGGGACAATACTTGAGTCACACCTTGGCGATCCATCTTGAATCTTTTAAGAGACCAGTTTCCCTGAAATCAAAAAAACAGTAACAACATTTTGACGAGATAGGAACACTGAAATATCTCAGAGAACAAAGCTAAAGGAATATTCCGGGATGAGTCATCAAGAATTTGACTAAATCCTGAGCCAGAAACTACAGTGGAGATGGTGGCAGGTGAGCCAGAGAATGAGTTGTGCTGTGAATAATGATGTGGCACTTTCTATCTTTAACATGGACAGAAAATGTAAATAAATTTTTACCAAATTTACCTTTTTTGTGTCTAATTATTCTACTAATGTTGACAACAAACTGCCCGCACACCCCCAAAACGATTTAATTGCATTAAATAGTTTTACCAAGCAACAGAAAATACTTCCTTCAGCCAATGTTCAGTGTTGTTATCAGTTTAACCATTCACTTCACTAAATGAAACATCATATTTGTTCCCTTCAAGCGCATCTTTCTAAAATATGGTGTCATTTCAAAGTGAACTACACTTGTTCAATATCGATTCTTTGCACAATCCACTTTTTAGCCAAGAGTTCAAATGGCGAGTCCAATTGTAAAGTTACGGACAAAGTTCAGCAATAAAAATAAAATGAAGCCCAAAACAAAATGCGGACTGTAGAAACAGAAGTACTTACAGTTGAGATGGCATTCACCATGCCATTGGTGATTTGGTCCTGTCGCATGTGCTTGACTACATCAAACTGCGCTGCTCTCTGCTTGGGGATGATCTGGTCTGCAATCTTCTTCAGCTCTGAATTGAACTTTTTGAACAAGTCTTCAAAGAGAAGTGAAAGCAGCTGTGGAAAGAGAGTGGTTAGAGTGGACGAGAGGTTAGGGTTAAATAAATGAAGATAATATTCATATCAGGTTACACTGCAAGGCCCCTTTGGTCCAATAAAGATGTATATTCAATTAAATAATTTGCAAACAGTTTGTCAATGGTATTTACATACATGAAACATTTCACATATTTAATGTAGAAATTAAGCTTCCTGAATATACCTTTACTAATTATCTTAATGTCAGAGAATTCTAATTAAGCACTTTGAGATTGCTGTTAGCTTTAAAGTCTTCTAAGTGCCAAATTCTCCTTTCACACAAGCTAGTTGTGAAATTAAAAGACATTAGGCAGATTTAATTACATTATCAGAGCTGGTGGGATTAGGCAATCTCTCAAGTCAATGCCTTATTCTTTTGTCATTGGGGAAATCCCTTGCTTTCCAGGATGCCAGATTTTGGTAGCGTTCCATATCTCACACCAACAAAGCAAGCAGCATTAGAGAACAAAACTGACGACTAATAATGGGGAAACGCAGAGGAAATAATGAACACATTAAAAAATATAGAAAATTAAGGTTAAAGATTAAGCTGAAAAATTGGCAGGTTTTACAAACAGCTCCACTGGCTCGAGTCCTAACAAATCTCTAGTGGTATATGGTTTAAGAGAAAACTATGGGACTAAACTGGCTGTTAGCTGCTGTGCTCTTATCTACAAGGCGAAGCAGATTCAGCTTTACTCTCTCCCATGTGGTGTGGAATTAAAAAAACATTGTTTCCAGAAATTTTGAACACAGTTCGCTTTGTTTTTGTACATTCTCTGTATAGAAGCTATCCTTGCCCCTCCAGGAGCATTCGGCACGTTTTAATTATCTTAATTTTCTCAATTACATGGCGATATGTAATTTAACTTTAAAAAAATACAGAAACCCAAGTGCGGGGAGGGAAAGAGATAAACTGGTTGGTCATTAGAATATTTTGCTAAAATTCTTATTTATTTAATAAGAAGTACAAATCCAATTATAAATTCCATCAAAGTTGATGAGGTTTGCCAGACAGAATGTCAGTGAGGGAAGGGACTGGCGAGTATTTTGGAGGATGGTGTGCAGTAAAGGTATTTAATAATTGGGTTGTTTGGATTTGCAGTGTTAAAAGACCATTTAGGGATTTGGCTTTAGAATAGTCACCATGTGGGTAGTACTGTAGAGCCATCAGCATTGTGGGAATATAAAGAAAATAATAGTGCACTTCAGGGACTACATATTTAATCTAATCAATTGCCCAATTAAAATGATTAACTGTCCATTTACTAGAACACCAATTTTACAAGTCCAAGTCCAAATTCCTATAGTATAAACTGAGAAAGGCTTTAAACATTTTCAAGACTATTTTAATATTTTCTAACTGAACATAGATTGCTTTCCAGTAAAAGGAATATCTATGTCCCAAAATTTCTGAGCACCTCAGTATTTATATGTAGCATTTGTTTCTGCATTCAACCCGTATTTAATGTAGATTCTGAACTAGACCCTTAATTAAAATATAACTAGAAGATACTAAACCCATTTTGTAGAAAAGATCTGGTTGGAACACGCACAAACATGTGAACTATAGTATCTAGTAAAATGATTGATGATTTGTAGAAACCAGGTTTGGCAGATATGAATATAAATTCTATGACTCTCTAAATGGAATGTTTGGCAGAGAAAGCTTGCATCTTTTGCGTAAGTAACGAATAACATTTCTGTTATAATAATCATACAATTAGAACTGCTAGCTGAAAATGAATCCAGAAACATTGCTTTTTGCAAACAACAACAAAATTACATTTGTATAGTGGAAAACGTTCTGAGAGTGTGAAATGCACTATTCTGGAAGGCCATAGATTGCAGAATCAGTTCAGGTTTGGGAGATACGTAAGCACTTGGGAAGAAATGGTATTAATAGATGTAGAGAGAAAGATATAAAAGCTGATAAAATTTTTGATAAAATGGTAGAGCAGGCTCAATGGCCCGAATAGCCTACTCCTGTTGCCAGAGCTGTATTCAAACTGTTTAATAATTATTTTCTCAATGAGAGCAACTACTATCAACTAAATTTTCTATCTCACAGGTCACTGCAAGGCACAGCTTTTTTCTTGACCGTAAAAAAACAAGCTAGTGCTCCGATTCATGAAGCACCTTCATACAAATGGGGAAAGGGTGGAAGAAAACTAAATGGATATGTGTCATTTGATGTTGGCGAGTCCTGGCCAGACTGGCAGAAATGTCAGTAAGAATGACAACGCCTCCTCGCCTCTCATGATTGCTCACCAGCAGTTCTTGGAGAATGCAACACAAAGCAACAAAGCAATGTTTCCCTTTCGAATATTGAACGAATGGTTGTACATTTCCAGGATTTGTGTTTCTTATTTCACAACAATCATTTTTCAGCATACTTGGTTATATTATGAAACAATATTACTACTCAGCTAGTTTTCTTTTGAATCTGTTTTCCCCTTTTCTCTCCTGAAACCACGAGATAGTTTTCCACGGGTGCGAGTCATACTTTACTATCTGACTCAAGTGGCCATTCTTTATGTGTGAGCCTGAGCAACGAGTCATTTCATTGAACCAAGGGATTACAGGCAAACTCTATTCTGTTCTCACCCAGGGTCATTGGAGAGTAATCAGGAATGGGAACCCTAGACCATTTTTCCCTTGACTAGTCTAACATCAATGATCTGCTATTGCTGCCTGGTTGAGATCAGTTTTACCCAGCGGAGATCAGGGATTGAACGGACACTATTCTAGTCTGCATCGCTGAATTTCGTACAGAGACGTGGCTTTACCAAATGATTCAGCTGGGAGCATATTCAGTTTATCTTTGAATATAGTAATATAAGAGAATTTTATCAGAGCAGTAAGACATAGGGTTTGGAATATACAATTGCCCCATACTGCCTGTCCAGGTAGATGTTAAAGTTCCCATGGTACCATTCAAAAATATGAATAAAGTGAAGGGAGTTTATCCCGGTGTCCTGGCCAACAATCGCCCCAAAATAATTGATCACTCACTCCATGGCTATTTGTGGGACATTGGTGTGCGCCAATTGGCTTCAGTGTTTGCCCACAAAATGCATCGAATCACACCACGTTATGGTATATATCCAGTGAAGTGCTCTGAGACGTCTCAATAATGTAATAACAACAACAAGAGTACATAATAAGACTCTATACCAAATTGAAGGATATGGTGCTGCAGGTTCCTAACCTCATCCCTGTAATCAAGAAGATGTACCATGTGTCTCCTTACAAAGAAGGATCTTTGAAAGGCAAATAACAAGTCATTGTTGTCAAGAGCTGCACGCAATGGTAGGCGGCACAGAAACAAACTTTTTAAGAGCAAAACCACCCCTTTAAAAAGATAAAAATACACCTTTATCAATAGAGTAGTTGGGAATAAAACAAAGCTCACCTGTCCAGCAAGTTCCAGACGTTTATTTCCATAATAATCTCGGTCATCTACTTTGTTGTCTCCTTGAGCTAGAATTACCCTGCGAACCATAACAGCTGTGTAGATGCACTTTGCACAAAAGTTGAATTCTTTGACCTATGATAAATAGGTAGACATTTGGACATCCTTTTCGATACATGAAGTGAATCTGTATAGATATATCTTGTAGCAGTCATGAGTAACAATAACACAACCATCAGTTTACAAAAGGAAACTTTTCTGTACTCTCTTCAGCCTGCATACATTTATACAAATTGTGAAATTCTGTAGTAAATGCATGACTTTAGGCTAAACTTTATAAAATCCCTAATATGTCAATTCAAATAGTTCAAATTCAAACTGAGCAGACCCCACAAAAATTCCCCTGGTAAATGGGGTATCAACCCCATTTGAAAGTCGTACAAATCATTGAAAGTTGTACAAATTTAAAAAGAAATTAGTGATATGATTTTGTGGGACTTAAACAAAAGTAAAATTAAAAATGTTTTAAAACAACAGGTTACATTTGTATAGCATCTCGCACATCGGGAGGATGTCCTAATGTGTTAGTTTTAGAACATAATACTAGTTAACCTTATTATGAGAATCAGAATAACTGATAACAACAACTTGAACAACAACAGCTTGGATTTATATAACGCCCTTGGGTAATGGGTAAACTTGTTGCACAATTTGTTTACTTAAATACACGTTTAATGCTTACAGGCACATGAGTAAGAACAGTTGATGCTAGCAGTTCCCGTGCTTCTTCCATCTTGGTTTTCTTCGGTCCTCCCCACATTCGTTGCCTTCGTACTTTGTTTCCAATATACTTTAATGCCTATGATTCGATATGAATAATGCTAATGAAAGCCACAATTTCACAATAGCAGCGCTCGATTAACTGACATGAAAAATTGGTCCCCTTTACAGTACTCCCAATTTCTATCAGGCTTCATTCAGAAGGTTAAGTCCTTCACAATATTCCCCTCTATGTATTTAAATCAAAACTCAGCTCACTCTCTGCTTTTCTTTGATTGGACTTCAAGGTTATATGGTTCTTTTTTGCCAACAATCTTAAAACTCAAACTTTCTGAATCACCAGGCCACTTTTTCTAGTCCTCCCCCACTCTATTCAAACTTTCTAGTGTTCTGTACTATGGAGCTTAGCCATTCAGCTTTATTTTAAAAAAGAGTTAGCTTTTGCAAGTGTAAATCTCATCAGTGGGTTAAACACACATTTTAAGATTAAACTTTCACAGGTCACTGAGCCTGCAGCACTTTTTATTTATTAAGGGCATGGCAACTATCTTGTTCTTTCTTTTGGCAACTGTTTATAGCCTGATATGTGGGGAAACAACTAAACGTATATTTCTATGAAAGCACACCTGCATCTGTGTGAAAATCTGAGCTTTCTGACACTCCTCTAAACTAGGCCCAAACGCAGACATCACATGGTCCTCTGTGCCAATCATCTGTACAATCTCCTGGTCACTCTCGACTCCCATCGCCTACAATAGAAAAGACAGACAAGAGCAATATTAGCATTTCCTGTCAGCACAGTAACATTTGCTTATGCTAATACAGTATTGTTTGCTGCATCCATTCAGAATATAGACTGGGGTTTCTCTCAGACTTTGTGCCATCTGGTTTTGGCAAGCAACTCCGATTAGCCTTGACACTTGTTCCTTTAATATATATACAATTTAGAGCTCAATTGATTAATGAATAACTGGATATACCATTTGCAAAATACAGTGCTTTGGAAACTACATTTTCAGATCTGACTTGTACATCTATCTATTTGTACACACATTCACTTGTTGATCTCAAAATACAGGCAATCCACTTTACAATATGTTCTGTGAAGAGTTTTGAGACATCTGAATGACATAAGACGCTGTATCAAATGCAAGGATTATTATTATTTTAATTTATATTTTAAAACAAAGATGTACATCATTTATATGTTTCCTTGGACTGATGAAATTCAGGTTAGGAGCTTATAGTCATATACTGTATAATGCAGTAGTTAATGCATAGTTCAGTACATTTAAGCGATATTACTCACTGGTAGAATAGTCATTCCCCAGCAGGGAATTAGGTTAGGGATGGGTGTCGGGACTTAAAAACCTGTGTGATTTACGTGCTGTGTGGTCTCACTGCGGTGATCTGGCAAGCAATAAAGGCTTGAGACCTGTCAAGTGAAGCTCCTCACTACTGTAGATTACTCTAATGGATGGAAAAATGGACATCATATGCCTCACTGAAATTGCACGTTCATACAGCAGATTCCGATGGCAGTGATCACTAAGTTATTTAGAGCCCAGTACATCATACCCTCCTGGATGAAGGAACTTGTATTGTTCTAAATGTCTGTCTCCTGCAGAGAGAAATAATTCAAACGAACTAACAAAAAAAAGCTGTTTCATTGCACTACAAAACATTAGACCGTGCTGTTGCAAGTTTGCAATTTTATTTTACCAAAGCTTTAGTTCCAGTCAAATGAGAAAATACTTCATTTACATTTTCTCACTGCATTAGTTTTGTGGGATAAAATGTCTAGTGCAATGCATTCAAGCTAACAGGTTACATGGCATGACATGGGACTGATATCTCCCACAGTTAAATGCAAAGCTGAAAGCAAAGAAGAATGAAATACACACAAATGGTGGGCACTGCCTTTTGAACAGTTCTTTGCAATGTTAAGTAAAAACTATTTCACAACTTCTTGATTTGATTTCTATTTAGCAATAATCAGAGCACCCCTTTGAAGCCAAGAAAATGCTAAACTGGTTTACTGGAGTACTCACACAAACTACCCTCGCCTAATGCCAGCCAGCAGAGCAGTCCACTGATTACCAGATGGCGCTGAAACACTTTTTCTAATGCCATATCTGGATCAAAGCCACATTAATACAAACCGAAAAAAAAATACCACACAAGTTAAGCTTTTATACTTCCAGCATCAAAGTAAAATTTAGGATTGTCGCATAAAATGTTAGCAATTTGGGCAGATGGATATTTATCGAATTTCAATATCATTATAAAGTATCAATCTAAAATTCTAAAATAATAACCAGACATGTATGTAAAGTAAGATTTCTTATTAGATCTGTTCATTTAAAAATCCAATAAACTATTTATATAAAACAGTAAAAGGTTCACAGAAATTCTAAGACTTTTCTTTAGTGAGTGGGTGGGGGGGGGGGAGAAAGAGCAAAGCATTCAATAAAGGTAACAGATACGGTGCAGAATTGGTAACAGCACTCAAATGTCAAATATTATGGAGTAAAGTAGGAAAAGGTCATTGAGAAAGGGACTATTAAGGTTAGAAGTGTAAAAATGTTAATGCGTCCATTCTGAACAGAGCATATAAAAAAGGTATCGTCTGTAAGGTATCAAGTCAGCTGTTTTCCGATCAAAAGTTCATTTATTTCTATATAACAGAAAAAAAGAGCAACTGGAAATACAGCTTTTGCCACATTGGTGGTAATAATGTTCCTAAAATATCCACATGAGGGCTATTCACAACTCTGCCCTCTCCTGGTAATTGGCTGTAACAACAGAATTTAAAATCATTCTTACAATGTCAATTCTGTGGAATCGCTGTTCGGATTCCAATTTCTCACACGTTTCCTCTCCTGAAAGCAATGACGACCTGTTTTCAGAGGTACAGACAGATACCCAGCCGAGGTAGTCACTGTTCATGCAGGAAACCCAAGTGAAGCCAGTCTTGCCCTCGCCTGGCATTTACACAGAATAATCAGGCCATCGAGAGATCTCAGAGTTTCACTCTAAAGCAGGGTGACTGTATATAATCTTGTGGCCGAATGTGGCAGCCTTATATTTGATATAGCACCTTTCACTCTGAGTGCGTCATTCAAAGCACTTTACAGGATTTTACTGTAAAGTACAAGCAAACTTAAGGGCTAGTGTAAAATTTTGTTGCTGTAAAAGAAATTCTGTTAGAATGCACTTTGACAATTAAAAGTGGTTTAATTTACTTCCAGAACATTGGTATTTATCTCCATCACAGGGTGTTAAGCTGAAGTGAATCTAGTAATATTGTTGATTTTACTTTAAAATAATTATAATTCCAATGGCAAACCTATTAAAATAAATTCTACTGAATAACTCTATATATCCTTTCTTCTACGCAGAATTTTTTTTAAAAATCTGTCGAGGAGGGAGAAAAAGCACAACTCCATTTATTATCTCGATGAAATACCTTAAATATTATTGCAATGGGAATGTCTTCTGACAGAGTATTGTGGCGCAGGTAAAACCTTCCTTGTTTCACAGCGATGTTGGTTCTACTTTTTTTCTCGTGGGTAGAGCTGCAAAATGATCAAAATTGCATAAGTTGACTGTTTCTAATATTAAAAAGATAAGATTATCGATCAATATGATGCATTAAATAGAAAGAAAGTATCTAAAACACATCTAATTTTGAATATTACGAATTGTAAGAAAAATTTAAATGAATTTATAATGGCACACTGCTTCATTTTGTACAATATCTCAACATTTAAATAAAAACTTCTCACTTTTATGGGCTACTTGCTGAGTACATTACCTTGTCACAGAAGCACCAACAGTTCCTTTTCTATCTACCTCTACGATTATTCTGTTTTTCGATAACTGTTCTTGAATGAGAATAACCTTTTCTACACCCTTAACAATGAAATAGCCACCTGCAAAACACAAGTTAAGTCTTAAGTAAAACATTACTAGATGTTAAAGGCAAGAGGTTTAAAAATAAAAAAGCTCATGTGGGACGAGAGATTAGAATAAAAAAGGCAAAAGTATGTCACATAATACAAGAACTAGTCTTTTTTGTATTAATGCAGTGACAGAATTTTCTTGCAAAGTAGTGCATTAACAGGTGCAGACTTGATTATGTTTCTATTCGTAGGTAAACAAGAGGATATTGTTTGCTGAAACTGAAAGCAAATATCAACTGTACACAGACAATAAACGTGAATCATCAATCTACAAACCACTTAAGATAAAATAACCTGTGACACAAGGATCACCATTAATTACCTGGATCCAAAGGACATTCATTTAGTTTTGCAAACTCTGCAGCAGTCTTTCCTGTAAGTACGCAGTTAGAACTACGTAACATTATAGGCATCCTAGAAGGAGAAAATGTAAACAGCTGTTCTTACAAAGTAGCAATGGAATTCAAAATACACAGAAACATTTTGTAGATTACCCAACAAAGCCTGTTGTATTTGTTTTTCTTTCCTCTCCTTCAGACCTTGTATAACACACAGTATTCCCCATTTGAACAAGTGAACAGCTAACTTTCTCCCAGGCCTTAACCAAGCCAATTCTTGACTAAACCACCAGATGGCATGTACCAGCAGCAGTGCTAAACTCCCTCCAATTTCCCCACCCTTCCCAGTTCAAGTTGCAACTGTCCTACTTTTAAAACGTGCGGTTGACGATTGCTCCAAATAATGAATCCACCAAATGTAAAACATTGCTTTAAAAACCAAAAATGAAAAAGAAAGTCTGAAGACTCATCGTTTAATTTACAATGAAGATGGCAATGTCAGAAATTTCAGTCATTTAACCCTGTATAGCAAACTCAAAACAATTTAAGATCATCAGCCAGCTTTAGTTATATTCCACAGCACTATATACAAATCACACTATGATTTTATATCTGTGAGTAAGGAGTTTTTTGTCAAAGTGGAAAGAAAGAACATGGGAGCAGAAGGTCAAATCTTGTTTCTCAATTTCTCGTCCTCTTCACGTTAATGAGGAATTGTCTGCAAACAGTTACATTCAATCTTCAAACCACAGAATTTCCACCTTCACCTTACGGCAGCTCAGATCAGCATCTTCGCCGCTGACTCTCAAGTTGCCCGATAGGAGGCAGAAGGAAGAAGCCAGCGAGTAAACCTTTGATGATTTCTGATATTTTCTTAATTATGGTCTCTTTCATTTGAATTTATAAATAAAAACAAAATCCAGATAGTTACCGGCCAATAGGTAGTGCATTTCGAATTATTCTCTGGCTTCCTCTCGTATATTCAATGTCTACAGTGATTGGCGCAGAGTAGGTCATATCTCTCAGACGACACTGAAGAACAGGCAAGAAATAAATACATTGCAGGGTATATTTTAGTTACACATGAGCATTGCAGCATATATAGAAAAGGGCAACTAGACTGATAATTTGTATGAAGCAAGAGACTATAAGTTATGAAAGGCTCTGTTCATACTAAAGAAAAGAAGACTTAGGGAAGACCCTATTTAGTAATCAAGATCCTAAAGAATATAAATAAATTGAAGCTTAATAATAGATTCAACACTAGGGCCAAAAATCCGGAAGAACAGGGCATGAACACAAGCTCAGAAAAGGGAAGGTGAACAGACAGTTTGGGAATAAATATTTTGCACGGAGAATGGCAATTATGTAGAACAGACTACACAGGAAGGTTGTGAAGACAGATATTGCCAGCAAATTCAAAATAAAATAACAGTTATTTCTGAAAATTTCAATGGGGAGAGGGAAAAGAAGGGTGATTTATATAACGTCTCTCAAGTCAGGAAGACAGCAAAACAACAGTAAAGGAGAATTATTTTTCCTTTGGGACTGACCAGGTGACAAGGTGAGAAACTCGCAGAATTCCTATAGTTATAACTACACAGCAAAGATTCTCACTATACATTACCTCATGTGGAGCTACTGGTCTTGTTACATTAAAACTTTCTTCAACATCAGGAACACCAACGTATATATTGAGGTATCTATAACAAACATTTATTTTCATTAAAATAACCAGGTTGTTGCAAATTATGATATTATTATCTATTGTAAACAAAACAATTAAAAACCCCTATCTAACATAAATGAAGTAAAAAATCTTTCTTAATCCTAAAATAAGTATTTTTACACGAGACAAAATAACTACGACCATAAATAAAAACATCAAACTACTTTTGACAGTAATAAATTATTTTTAAACAATCTCTACTGTCTTTAGAAAACAATGTATTGGACTTACTTTAAGTACCACATTGGGTCAGCATCGCTGGTGACCTTTTCATTCGCTTTCATAATTTTCTTTATCTAAAGGGAAAAGTTAAAGTTATTTTTGAACAATCTGAGAAGGTTGGGATGGAAAAAGAAGATTTAAAATTTTGACGTAAATTTTACTCCAGATTCCTACCTCTACATTTATGAAATAATTGAATGAGTCAATGTGCTGTTTTACAAGGCCTTTGACCTGCAAAGAATAGGGAGAGAAGCAAATTAAAACTTAAGTAATTAAAATAAGGTAAAACATTGGTAACCCAGATTTCTGGGAAGAAATACAGCACAAATTATGACTCCAAATTCAACCAGTAAGTATTTCTTAACCAGGGACGTCAAAAAATATATAAGAAATACGTCCGAAGCTGAAATAATTCTTCGGTTATACGTGACGACCAAAAGCTCGCGATAAATACCCTATTATCTTTTAAAAATTTCATAATTTCTTTAAGACGTATTGGACATTGTAATGGTATTGCGACTTTTTGGCCACACTGTACAACTAAATGCCGCGAATTCTTGACGATGTACAACATCTCAGAATTAAGCAGACAACAAGCTCAAGTTCCTGAACTGTCTTGCCAAGTGCAGGAATTCTTTTCAAGTTCTGTAACAAATGTAATACGCACGAAGGGCAAATTGCAACACTTTCAGCAAAACATTTAGAAAACAGAACAAAACGTTGCACAGTAAAAAAGAGGCACAGCACAAGAATACAACACACTGCAACTAAAATTACATTTGTGTAGCGCCTCTCACATCGGGAGGACGTTCCAAGGCGCCTTAGCAAGAAGTGAAGAATATTTCAACGTACCTTTAGAAAAGCAGGAAGCAGTTTCCATTTTTCCTGAAGATTAACAAAACAATTTTAATATAATATAAACAATGAACCCTCAGTAAGCTGCTTCACACAGAAAATATAATTTCAACGTTTTATACCACAATTTAATATTCTATACTGAATTAATTAATTATCACAATCATTTCTAAAGTTAATTAACACATGATTAAGCCCTATTTCTGTAACCCACCAAATGGAATGGCCTTTACAAAAATATTTGATGCGGACGTTAACCTGAACAAGTAACGCTCGAG